ATATATATAATGTATTTATATGCTATGGTGCAAATCGATAGATGCATATATGTACGTATACTAAATAACCACATACACGTATACTTTCACATACCTAGCTATCTAGCAAGAAAATCTGTTAAGAATTCAACCGATATAATTAAACGGAAAATAGGTAGCGTCTATAAACCGTGAAATTAGCGTTTTTAATTTCATACAGGTCGGGGATTCTGTCGACATGCAGGAGGTTAAACACTTACGTATATGCTTGTAAGTGTACCTAGACACAGTCATATATGTAGAAAAACACAAACGATGGTTTTTACATTATTTACTGTCGGTTTGGCAGCGATTGATGCTAAACAGTGGAAAATCTTCAAGCAACAACATAATTCGATTCATCCGTCCGTCAACATACCTATCGGCAGGGTAAAAATGTCAATAACAACAATTATCATCCTCATCACCTGTAGTGGTTCAGTTTTAATTCCTTACTAAAATGTGTGAAACTACTGAAAATCGCTTTCTCTATTAAAATAACGGTCACAACTCATCAAGTGTTATTCATAATAAAATACAAGTTTTACACAAGTACACGTAACTACGTACCACATGTTAAGACAGGTAGGTATAGATACCTGTATGTATAGGGTATGTGTAGATATAAATAGGGAATTAATGTTATGGCGACTGTTTAAATATAATAAAATACTTAGACCTCTTACGTACATTCCTAGATACAAATGTTAATGTACATCTTTAGATATTATGTACTTTTTTTTTACCTATGTACCTACTGCATAGTGTAAACGTGGAATGCTGATGTAAGTATGTGTACATATCTGGGTGAATAGGTATATATGTATATCAGTGGAAGAAAAATGGAAATGACCATTCTTTTTATAAAATTTATCGTCACGTTTGTTCACCTAATTGGCCTAGATGCGAATGCGATATTGTCCTTATTAAAATAAAATTGCTATTCAAATTAAGGCAATGATAGATAAGCAAGCATGTACGTAATTGAAGAGAGCAGCAGACCAAAAGAAAATAGCGTTTACCTACAGTACACACTTCTATTTCAAAATTGATTAATTAATCTTAATTTTCTTAGGTATATATATGTGTACTGCACCTCGTTCGTATAAGTACGTACCTACTACATATTTTCAGGTAATCGTAAGAGTTATCTCATCGGAAATTTCGCAAAGAAATCGATGTGTCGAGACGACGACGCGACGTGTATTTTTATTGTCACTTCATTGAAAGGAAAGAAAAGGATAGGTGCGGTGTGTTATCGTACAAGACGACGTCGAGCGATCGATATATCGATTGCGAAGTCGTTCGTCGAGACGGACGACGGACGCTGCGAAGGGCCGCGCGTCGTTGGAAACGGGACCGATGCTTAGGGTAGGGCTTTGTCCTTATCGCCACCGTGCTGTGGCTGAAAACAACGACAAGCAAAATGTCTTTCCTTATATGTATGTATGTATGTATGTACCTATAAATGTATTCATATCTTACAAATAAGTACCTACAGAATAAATAATCCTGATTTCGTGAGTTTGAAATTTTGTGGTGTTTATTCATAAATGTATCTGTACTTAGGTACAGTAAAGATTACTGTGATATTCCTAGTTTAAATACATACAAAAAAGAGCAACCAACTAAATTTCATTAGTAATTATCTTCGTTGGTTTCCGATTACAAGTTTCAGCGGAAAGCTCATTATAAAAGATTATAATTTCGAGCATTAAATAGAAAACTTGGCCAAGTGTTTTACTACAATTTCTTTTTTTTTTTTTATTTCGATCGCAATACTTCTGATAACAGCCCTTTCCTGAATCAATTGTCTAGTTCGACATAAAAAGAAAGATAAATAATTAAGAACGATAGCTAAATATTTTATATTTAAAATTATCCCAGTGTGTGTTAATAGAGAGATGAGAAGCACAAATGCATTTAAAAATTAATTACAACAGTAAAAGAAATCAAATGGCGAGAATAAATAATAATGATAGCATCGGTTTAATAAAATACACTTGGCGGGTCATTGTGCGCGCATCTCGCAATCGGTTCAAAAATGATCTCTCGGTTTGCAACAAAGTTAGCATTTTCGCTCGTGTGTTCTTTGTTATTCTGAACGAAAACACGGCTCTAAATATTCTATTATAAATTACTTCCCGTACCCTCTAAATGCAAGCTTTCAGTTTCGGGTAATTTTCGGACATAGAAGCAAAAATAACAACTGTAAATAACATAATTAACAATGACGGGTACGTGCACTTTAAAGTCGTCGCATATTGTGAAAAGAAAATAAGATATTTACACGTTTATGCATGTACTTGGTTTTCTTCTCTTATTTCTTTCACTCACCATCAGATTATTTATACTTAATGTTACTTTGCCTACATGTTTCAACAACGAATCAATCATTAGAATTACAATTTTCTTCGTGTGATTCTTTATTAAAATGTTTTCTTGTCTTTTTTTGAATTTCGGTTCTCTGCTCTTAATTTTACATCGATACATGGCACATAGTGTGTACGTGTACACACATATGTCTACACATAATATCAAATGTAAATAGACGTATAAATACAACATACTAATGAGTTTTTCATCCTACGTCCAGACGCCTCCGATATGCGCGATTTTGACTGATAGGTAGGTGCATGCATCACTTCTATTATAAAAAATGTTTTAATATGTTTTGACCTACCCACAGATGTATTGCAACGTCATTTAAAATACGACATAAAACATCCTTTTTTGTTTTTTTTTTTAATATGTCTAACGTTGCGGAAGGGTACCCGAGATCAACATAAAACTGAAAAATGAAGAAAGATTTTTAATCTCAGCTGGAAATATTATACTTTTGAGATGTATGTATATTGCATAAAAACCACTGACATCAGATGAAGAATGTGAAAAATCAATCCTAATCCAATTTTACCTACTGCTTTATTACAAAATTTTCCCTCGTCGTCATAAGCCGAAAAAATCGAATAATCGGTTAGGGAAAACCGCAATACATATGTGACTCTATGTGTAGCATAACATGTGTACAAAATGGTATATTCTGCAGTATAAAAGTGTATCTAAATACATATATTGTACGTACATACATACATACTTATGTGTAGAATGCACACATTTGCACATACAACGCGCGCGTGAATAATAAAAGTTCCAGACATGGTATTAGGTACCTACTATACATATACATACGACGTTCTATATTTAGTCGTGAACAACTTTCATTTCTGAAAATAAAGTTCTAATCAGTGGGTAACTAACTAATGTTTTCGTTTATTAATGTGAACGTATGTATCTGTACGCATAATGAATGTTCGTCTGTAAGTTATTGCATATGGGGTCGTCAATAAGATACGTCACTCAGAATTTCACCTTTTTGAATCCCTTCCTCCCCTTCGTATCGGCTAAGCCATACCTTCAGCGACCCCCTGACAAATATTCCGTCACAAAAGCTAGTTCACTCCCTGTAAACGATTTCTTGTGATTAAAAATAGCAATAGTAATTAGGTATAGTCCGTTCAAAATTTGTTGATGTAAAATTGTCCGAAACGGGACAGGTCAATTCTCGGAATACAATAAGGGTCTGCCCCGGCTTGAGCGTATATGCAGTGGGGTACATAAAATATTACTTGGAAAGATATCTGGGTACTCCCCCTTAATTGCGAACGTAATTTATAGACGACCCCTATGTGTGTTCATTTTGTATTAATTATCTCCATGTTCGATCATGTATCTATGCAAATTATGCACAATTTTGTAAACCTTTTTCCTCAATTGTGAGAAAACACTCATCTAATGAAAGGATAACTTGAATTGTAATAGTAAGCGTACGTATTAGGCACCACAGAAGAAAAGTACGGCCTCGCGATCCGCGGCGACGCCGGAAAACTCCTGGGAGGGGGTGTAGTACGTTATTTCTAAAGCCCGTATACTCCTACTCCGAACATGGAATTTTTCCTGATTTCAGCGACGAATGCGCAGGATTTGTCTCCGAGTAAGAAATCGCATTTACTGCTTATTAAGAAAGTATCTTATCATACTCCGCGTGATTTCCTAATACGAAATAAAGTTACAAGTTTGAGAACCAGTAATGATACACCTCATAATTAATTCATTATAAAATAATAAAACGTATGACTATCCGTTTTTTTAAAAATAATAATATTACATTTTCATTTTTCTTTTTGAACTACGAAGACTGGGTAGGTACCTGGAAAGGGAGCAGCTATTAAATAAAATTAAAATGCAATTATTGTATGTACATGATAGGTCTCCAGTTACTGCCAAATTTTTTTCATTAACGTTTATGAATGGAAATTCTGAAAATAGAATGGCGTCGCGGCGCCAAATACGTCGACGATCGCGATCGTCAGGCCCAACCGTGTGAGCTTTATCATGTATAAACGTGTGACGAACCCAAGTAGCCGACAAAAACATTGCATCCCAAGGCAATTCGCGCGTTGCGGACAAAAGCGAGGGTGGAAACGTTTATACATAACTATTCATTTATGTGCACATGTACTTAACAATAACAACATGTAATGTAATTAAGACCTACTGCGTATATGTAGACCATATAACGTGGAACAGATAATTACTGACGTAGGTACATCTATAAAACAATATGAACTGCAATACATACGTGTATGAGTAGGTAGGAAACAGATGACGTATGTAGAAAAAGTTGAATAAACAAATTAAAACGTTTGTTGTAGATAACTTGCTACGCATATACGTGTGTATATTATGTATGTATTACACCTAAACTTTTATTATTATGGATATTAGGTATCTGGCAAAGGGAAATGTAATATTTTATTGTTCTTTCATTCGACTTTGGTTGAAACATTTAACGTTAAATGAACTATCTTTGAATGGTATCTAGCTAATATTGCTGGAGACATGAACTTTTACGTTATCGACGTAAGTCTATGTACACGAACAATCCAAAAACGCAATACATTGAATCATCATCATAAGGTCGTCAATCCTTTAAGACTGATTAGACACGCACCTCTATCCTGACCTAATCATCGCATTTCCCTAAAACTAGAACAATCCACATCCTTAACTATTTGCGAACAGTAATCTAATCTAGGTCTACCTTTACCCCTTCTAACTCCCGTTTCTGTCTCTAATATGTCTCTGACAATAACTAGCTTTGTATGCTGCATAAATGCGTCTAGCTTATTTGGCCGTATATTTCAATAATATTACTATTCAATATGAGCGTTACTTCTTCTATTAGGAAAACTGATTTTCTATTTTTTTTTGTTTCAGGAAAAAAATTCTTTTCTGAATTATAACGTATCCTGTATTCTCACATTACCCCCATATCAGAGGCAAGGCTACGGAAGGCTGCTCATTGATTTTAGTGAGTAATTAATTGTTAATTACCTATAATTATTGTGCAAAACCAATATTATTTAAAAAATTTAATATTTATTAATGCCAAAAATCAAACTATCATAATTTAATAAGCCTTATTGAATTTGATTGTCAAGTTGTTAATCTGCTATCTACCGGCACGTTAAACATCTACACACATAAATAAGTTTTCTATTAAGAAAATACCTATTCCCAAACGGTCGACCGCCAGTCGTAGGCACTTTTGTCACCCTTTTCAAGAGGCGAAATTTAAATAAGTAAGTAAAATCAAAATTTAATACGAACTAATTGTAATCGGTCGTTACGTTCTAATACAAGTGTATGTATAAGTTCATTTTTATTAGTGTAGGTCAGGTTCGTAAATCCAACATACCGTACGTAGAATAGTTGTGTAGCCTGCGTCTAGGATCTTTTACGTATACCTATACTATATATACATATATGCTCGTATGTATGCACGTAATACATAATACAATAATTGGTAGAATGTGCCGGACAATCCTAATAAACGATCCGTTTCGGATAGAATAGGAGGAAGAGCACAAACCTCGTACCTAATAGGAGAACGAGAAAAAGAGAGTATGGTAGGTCTGTGACCCTCCTCTCAACGACTCGATTGAATTGGCGAGACAGATTTCAGATGGGGATGACAAAAACCAAGCGTCGTTAATAATATCTATAAAATATAATTTTTGAAGATCTGTTTCGAATACATAAATGTACATACTGCATAATACTTATTAGTTGCGATCCCACATGAAAGCAATGAGACAATGTTTGAGCTGTGGTTACAGTTTTGGTGTTCAGGTAATTTGCAACAGAACAATAAACACTGTCAAGCCATAGTCATAGTCTAAGGAGATGTACGTTATGCAGCAAACAAGGTCAGTTCTCAGGGGTAGCTTATGTCGTACTTTTTACAAAAAAATACTTACTATATATCGTAATTAACCGATCAGATCGAGTTCTGTAATGAAATGGTAAAAGAGTTGTAGAGATATACATTATTGGTGGGGTTAGAAGCAGTGCAATTAGTTATGTATATGTACATTAGCAAGGGATGCTACCCAACTTTTTTTGTACCGGGACAGGGCGCGGCGTCTGACGTGACGTCACTCATTGACGACGACGCGGCGCTAGTACGAACCACGTATATACATATCTCGGCGCCAGACGTCGTTATCGATTCGATGCTGCTGTTGGTTGAGGTCAATACACTCCCCCTACCCCGCTCGTGTATCGTCGCCCCTTAACCACCCTCAATCCACCGTCCTTTTGCCGTCTACGCCAACGCGGTCCACAACCCCCCCCAGTTCATTCCTTCCAACGCGTGTTAGATGCAGGAAATACTACTTCCTAGGTAGACATATGGAGTTTACGAACGGTATAAAAATTGAAAGAAAAATGAAGAGACAAAGGATGACAAATTGTGACTTTCGAAGAAGAAAACGAAACTAAATGCTAAAACATCTACAATTATCACATCATTACTTGAATTTTTTTCTTACTAAAACATAGGTGCCTACTATTACGACTCGTACTACACACCGTAGTTGTAGTAAAATAGTAATTCGTAGTAGGTCTCAACTCATTATTCAAGGGTAGGTACCTATATTGTGTATTGTACGTACAATCTCATAAGAATTAATAAAAGATTCGACAGGCGGGTGTCTGCACGATATAATCGGATCCGCTTATAACGATCGGGAACGAGCCATAAAAATGTGTTCGCTATATGCGATCGCGTGCCATAATTTATATTTATCGGATGTCGCTGTAAAAACCTCCTGTTTCACAAAATTGTTTATCCTAGAGGTTTAGACCGTAGCTTAAGCTTTCAGGAGGGCATCGGTTCGATTATGGATACGCCTGCCACGGTCTAAGTTTTTCTGTGGTTTCCGTGGATAATTTAGACAAATATTGAGACAGCAATAATATTCCACAGAATCTTTTGCTTCTCTTTGAAATTCATTTCGTCCGCCTTATCTTTCTCTCCCCATTCCAGCGGAGACTGAAATTTTTTTTGACTCGCCGGAGAAGAACCAGTCTTGAGTCACATTATTATGATCGAATTTCGAACACTGTTCGTTCTGTCTTATGATTATGTACATTATTGTGATTATTTTGAATTGAATTTGGTTTGAATTGTTGCAGGTTATCTGCTTACGCGAACGGAAGGTAAGATCGGATCGCCGGAAAAACCGTTGAGCGATTTAGGTTTGATATCTTACCGATCGTATTGGAAAGACGTTCTTCTCGGTTATTTATGTTCCACCGCGGGTACGACCTTGTCCGTCAAGGATATCAGTCAGGAGATGGCCATACACTCGTACGACATCGTGTCAACGCTTCAGGCGCTCGGTATGATGAAGTACTGGAAGGGCAAGCACATAATCCTCAGGAAGCAGGACGTCCTGGACGAATACGTCGAGCGCGTGAAACGCCGAGGTTCGTTGTTAAAAGAGGTAGATCCGGCATGTTTGCGATGGAAACCGTTCGTGCCACCCCAACCCGCCCCCGTTTAACACACGATTAAGGGCTGCTTGACACTGTGGGGTCATTGTATATGTAACCTTTTTTTATCCGACATTTAAAACATTATTTTAAGAGGGGGTCTTCCGCGGAGCAAACCGAAAAAGTGAAACAAAAGGAAAATTGTAATTTTTAATTAGGGACTAAATTATTAATAATTACATATAGATTTTGTGGAACTGCATACTTGTAGTTATCTGTACACATATTTATCTATTTTGATAATTATTTTTCATCAATTTTTTATCATTAATTTTACTGTTTTAATTTGCACATTTTTAATTCTTGTACATATGTATGTGCTTTTATTAGCTGCTTAATTGCGAACAATTTAATTATTGGGCGATTTTATACAACATTTTATTTAACTACCTGTGTATGTAGGTATTGTGGACCACAAAATACATTGATGTTTTAGGTGATTCGTGATTGTTAATTTATTTTTGCAAATAAATAAAACCAAGTACTTACACCTCGTTTGAATATCAAATGATCTATTGAAAAACAGGACGTGGTATAGGACAAGGTACCTGATGAAAGTTCAATAAATGCAATTTATGGGGTGTTACGCCTTGTTCAAAAGATTTTGCGAGTTAGATTTGTATAGGACAGTTTGTAGGGAAGCAGATAATATCGTCATGTTTACTAAATTATGTGATATTAAAATAAAATGGGGAAATTTCTGCGTTCGACGAATGTTTCTCCTTACCTGTATATGTTTAGTATACAGTTAGGGCAAAATTCTGACGAGTGAAAATGTATAATTTGGTGAACGTGCAAAATAATTTTTTTCAACCACGTCTATCTGACAATATTATCTGCAGTAGAATGCAGATTCGGGCTATAGGGCCGTGGTCTAAGTGAACCATTCCGTCCAGACGTTTCGTCAGCTACTGCGGCTGACATCTTCAGTGGTAGTGCTGCGTTGACAACGTGAACGTAGATTGTATCTCGATGTCTCGACAGCGACTCGGTCGCTCTACGTTCACGTTGTCAACGCAGCACTACCACTGAAGATGTCAGCCGCAGTAGCTGACGAAACGTCTGGACGGAATAGTTCACTTAGACCACGGCCCTATAGCCCGAATCTGCATTCTACTATGGATTCCGGCCGTCAAAGCCTTTGTTCTTATAATATTATCTGCTTCTCTGAAAATTGTTCTAAACCAACATTTTTCTTTCTTTCTCAAAATGTTTTGAAAAAAGAATACCCCTCAATTAGACTCATACTACTACACAATTGTTTATATGAAAAGAGGACTGAAAGTTCTTTTACGAATTTTCCTATACCACGTCATATTTTTCAGAACATGTTCCGCCCTTTGATGATTGCTTGTAATAGTACAACGAACGAAAAAGTGGACAATTCCGTGTAACTTATTCATTATGAACCGGAAATATCTCCGATACCAGTTGGCCTGGCGATGAGTCAAAGCCACAGACTCTTTAAGCCTTTAGGGTTTCGCAGCATTTCCGTTTGATGATTCGTTTTGACGCCGGCTTCTAAGCTGACTTTTGAATGGAGAAAGTGACCCCCGTACATTCCCATCGTCACGTGTGTCGTCTACGCATTAACGCCTATTTGGACATGACTATAAGATAAGGAGCATCCTATAATATAAGTATTATGTACCTCGACGTATGATTTTTTTAAAGCTACTAATTTATCTTCCTGTTCGATATAAATGTAGGTATGCCGCGTTAACTCGCTAAGGCGTCGGCGACGTCACGCGATCGTTTCCTACCAACGAGCGACGCGACGACGACGGTGCAAACTGCATCACGACGTCGGCGTCGCATGCACCCCCTACATACGTTTGCGGACATGCTCAGAGTTACCGTCGAGGTGCATTGCTGCAGTCTGCGAAAGCCGCAAACTTGTTCGCCTATTTCATTTATCGAAACGCGTCGCGCCGCCTTGCGTGCTGTCTCTTCCTGCATATCCTCTACAAACGTATCTGCATATTACTACGTGTATGCATCTTATGCACCTACACGTTATGTATGTATGTATGTATGTATGTTCCTACTCCACTCTAATTCTGTTTCTATGTATGTATGTAATTTACAAACATACACTGCCAACGACTTGGCCGTTTTTATTTTGTATTGCCGATGGATGTTCTGCGAATTTGCAATTTCAAAGTTGTAGTTGTTTTGTCCGATCTTCGCGTCGTTGTCTATCTTTTAATCTTTGTTTAAAACTGCAATAATAATAATGATGAGATGGAAGAAGAAGATTCGACCCGCACCACGTAAGTAGAGATATTGCTGCTTTTACGTACACGTACGCACGTTTATTCGTTTTTTATCATTTCTTTTTGCCCTTTCGTTCTATTCATCCGTATGTAGGGGTACGTAAGTACATGTACTAGGAAACTTCTATCAACGACGCCTAATTTTAATTAAAATAAGATTGTAGACAGTACCTATACAGTTGCACGACAAAAAATCGGATGCCATAAGTGTGTTATCAATTGGCTCCTTAAACATTAAAATAACAACAATTTATCATTTTGCGCATTTAATCATTTTATTGACGTTGCTTGCCTGTCAAAATAAAACAATCCACCACGAGATCTGCGCAGTCAGCTGTTTTAAAGCGATTGATTCATCCGTCTCTATACATACATAGGTATATTGTAGTTCTACTACGAACTAGACGTAGAACGTTTAGCTACGCTATTATTTCTAAAAGTCTGCCGGAATACCACCTATCTGCTAATATGTATGGCACCTATTGGCCATTTCTACTATACGTAGAAAGCCATTAAACATCTTATATGGCACTTAAAGACAGCAAAAATATTGTACGCCAGATAAACTCCAAAAGTATGAAATAATTTTTGACTGTATCCAACCTTAGAGTGCTGTTAAGCGATTACTTATGACACACCTAATAATATGCATGAATCGGCTAATACGCGTTATAGCCCGTTAGATAACTAATCATTGGGAATCCCAATAGTACAGTAAGAGCACGCATTAATTGGCTGTAACGTGTATTATCTGACTTTGCCTAATATGCAGCATAAAAAGTTTTCTACTGAGGGTGCATAACGTATGAGTACCTACATAATAAATGGGAGGACATGACTGATAGTGTATTTGCCTGAATGTAGGAATTTAAGGTATGTTTACAATTGCAAATTGAAGGCCGTTATTAGCCCAGTCAAGGATGGACAAGACGGAATACGACTGTCCATCTTTTCATTATATCTATCAAATTATTAGATAAATTATTACACTGCAACGTTTGCATCTGCTGCTCTGTTGTACTGGTTTTTTTGACAATTAAATAAAGATAATTTATTTTTAACAAAAACTATTCAATACAATCTCTACCTACACGTAAATAGGTACCTACATCGGTACACATGACTATCCGTTTTTTTAAAAATAATAATATTACATTTTCATTTTTCTTTTTGAACTACGAAGACTGGGTAGGTACCTGGAAAGGGAGCAGCTATTAAATAAAATTAAAATGCAATTATTGTATGTACATGATAGGTCTCCAGTTACTGCCAAATTTTTTTCATTAACGTTTATGAATGGNCTCTGTTGTACTGGTTTTTTTGACAATTAAATAAAGATAATTTATTTTTAACAAAAACTATTCAATACAATCTCTACCTACACGTAAATAGGTACCTACATCGGTACACCTGGTTTGTGTCTGGTACCTCCTCCTCATTTACTGAAACACTCGGTAGAAAATATTCAATTATTTTGAGAAACTAAGACAGGTTATATCCGGGTTCAAAGAGAAGACGTTCACCAGAGGCTTAGACTATGTCCAATGACGGGTCGTGATGAAACGAAGCCGGTATTGTGCAAATGTGTGCACCTATTTTTTGAAAATTAATTTCATTTTACAATTCTTCACTGAAGCCCATCAGTTTTTTATATAATCGACAGACTTGTGAAACTATCTAGGAACAATGAATTTCGGAGGAATAATTGAAAAGTATCCTTCAGTTTCTAATGATGACATTACTGCAAAAATTTCTTTATTTCTCCTAATGCAAATTATTTTGTTCTCTCTCTTTCGAGTGCTGAGTAAGCTGACAAGTGAGATAGATTCCAGGTTTTGTTCTAACAAACGGGGTGTTGAAGGAGCAATTTTACAACCTGTGCACAGAGCTGGCCCAGCTGAATAACGTATTCAATGAGATACCTAGAGAAAGATAATTCATTTGGTTCACTATTTAACACAGGATGGCCGCCAAAAAGCGACTTCGCAAAATACACCAAATTATTATATTAATAAATCTTAGTAATTACGTGACAAAAATACAGAAATATCTGTACAACTCAAGAGATTTTGTCATGAGAGTCGATGCAATTTGTGGTGTGATGTTAAAAAGAAGTTACAAACAAAGTCTTCTGTCGTTTTATACGCCCTGTTTATAATTGACGGGTATATGTAATAATTTTTCGTACACCTATGTACTTTAAAAGTATCTATACAAAGTGTAGGTATGAGTATAGATTCATTTTATACTAACGATAAGACCGAACAAATGTGGCCGTAGCAACGACCAAATGGGAATATTGATGGTTTGCAACGTCAAAGTGACCTTGGCCATAGACTGTCGTCAAGGCTGAGGAGAACCCATGAAGGTTATCATGTTATGAAGTTATGATGCATCATCTGTATCAATCTCCATGTAGGTAAATGCATATGAATGTATAATTGCTCTTCTCTTCTATATGGCCAATACAATATACAATCTGCAACTTTATTTTTTACACTTTTTTATACAGGGTGTCAAAAAGAATGTCTGTTTTACGGTTAAAAACTGCACTGAGTTTGTAAGTAATCAAAAAGCCAGAAGTCAAAGTTGATATATGACGTATGAAGGATTTAGAAGCATGAAGTAAATTAATTGGTAGGACAGTTTTCAGACATGAAGGGCTATTTAGGTATATAATAGAAGAAGAAATAGGAGTGAATAGGGGCAGGAGTAGGAGCAAGATTAAATTACGTACTATTATGAAGATTGGAAAAACTTTGGCGGTTGTTGTAGAACAAACAGAATAGCTCAAAACCCCAACGCCAAAACACGACACTGTAGTTGTCCGAAGCACTTTTCGGTAACAAAGTTACCTTCTTCAGGGACTGAAGTAAACTTGGGGTTTTGAGCTATTCTGTTTGTTCTACGTACTATTCGCAAATAGTTTAGGATGTCGGATGTTCTACTTTTAGGTATATTCGAAGATTGGCTCAGGATAGGAAAGTGCGGTAGGGGTACGTGTCCAGTCTGTCTTAGGGCTGACGACCCTATGAATGATGAGGACTATAGGTATTACATATATATATATATATATGTATTTGAGTAGGTGCATATTTAGATTTTGTAGTAGTACGTTCATTTTCCAGTCAAGGTCGGCTTCGTTTATATTTAGAATGGGGTCTTGTTTATGTGTCTACCGGATAACCTACCAAGACGCCCACCCTAACAACAACTACAACTGACCATAAAAACACATTTATTCAAACTCATCTTATGCATCACAGCGTTTAGGACTAAAAAGTAATTAAAAGTAATAGACAATGTCTAGGTATTACGTACGTACCTACCTACAAGATAGATAACCATTATAGGTACAAGTACCTACTTAGGTATCTATGCATTATACAATAGTTATTGCGTTGCTACTTGCTTATACATTTTGTTGAACGATTTTCTTGGAATCGCTTGTATGGGTAACCGCAGGGCAGGTGGTAGCTACCTGGGGCCCCATAAAAACAAGTCTGACCTTCAAATTTGCCGAATTGCAAACTGAAAGCGTTGTTAATGGGAAGACACGCTAGTGACGGCAACGGTTGAAGAACCCGAGGTTGCACTCTTTCTGATTTGTAGATAGGTTGGTAAAATGTGTACATACAGGTAAATACATACATAGGTCCAACACGTAGATTATAATGAGATAATGACCGTGACACACAGTATGTAACTACATGTATGTACATAACAAGGTGTATATTCAAACAGAAATAGGTATCTGTAATATGTACCTAGACTATACAACTGAAAAACAATAAAAAGATGCCTCGTACTAAGGGTGGTCACCGAGGGGAGAGAGAAGTGAAAACTTGTAAAAAAATGGGTCACGTAGTATGGGTACGTTCCCCAAATCGGTTGAAAAAGGTGCAAACTTATGTGCATAAATAGGTAACTAATCGTAAGCAATAATCACGGACAGAACGGTGTCCTCGAGTTCTTTGTTTTTCTGGTGCATCTTACAAATTTTTGCGGTAGAATTTTTATTAGTTGCCATGCAAATTCTGACGTACCTATCTATTTAAATAATGCATGCAGGTAGGTAGGTACCTCCACTCATTCGTTAATTTTTTCGTTTCTAGAATAAATGAAATTAAAAACATTGTTTTAATAATTATTAAATTTTACGAATATAAGGACCTGAACAACTCATTTCTATTCCGGAAACAGGCTCGATGTTACGTTTGTTATCTGTAATAAATAGGTAACTGATATGTAGGTACATTTTTACATTCTTTATTTTATTCGGACACGTGTTTCGCCCACTTCTAATGTGGCATTATTTCGCCCAATTCTTTATATTTTTTGAGTCCTCTACTTCTAGTCCGTCCGTTTTCTATGTTGAAGACAGCATAATATTTCCTCCTCTATCTTAGACGCTGAATTTGAGGTTGAGATGGCAACCGTTGCCAAGTTCTTCGCGTATTTCGGGTCGGGCGTGGTGAATTCGAGAGGACGACACACTGCCGGTAGCTGTCGCGGCCGATCGGAGGGTATGAAACGGAGAAGGCAACGAACAGCAGACACCCTTTCAAGCTAAGGACGACCGCGGCCTCAACAGCGGTGCAACCGCATTCTACGTACCATGATACATATTATTNGCATTCTTGTATATTCATACAATTTACCGTTAGCAGAGAATGCTGTTTTCTGAATAGATTTTTCATCCATTTTAATTTGATGAAAACCGGATGTCAAATCTAACGCTGAAAAATAAATAGCTTTACCTAGTGAGTCTAAAATTTCGTCGATGTTTGGCAGTGGGTATTTGTCTGAAATAGTTTTTTCGTTTAATTTACGGTAATCCACAACCATTCTCCACTTCGTTTTCCCTGAAGCATCCTTTTTTTTTGGAACTATCCAAATGGGACTGGACCATGGGGAAAAAGAAGGTCTTATAACTCCTTGGTTTAATAAATTTTTTATTTGTGTTTCTACTTCTTGTTTGTGGCAAGGTGGATAGCGGTAATTTTTCGCAACAATAGGTACTTCGTCTGTTGTTATGATTTTATGTTTAATTATGTCAGTGGAAGTAAGTGTGTCGTATTGTTCTAAATAGAAAATGTCGGGGAATTTAGAAATTAATTCAATGATTGATTTTAATTCTTCATCATTAAGGTGGTCTGAACGAATTTGCTTAATTAATGTTTCTATTCTTTGTTTCTTTGAAATCGCCAAATTTTTAAATGACTTAATGTTGTTAATATTTGGTTTACTAATAGGTTCTAAGTGTAAGTGATCAAGTTCTATTTGTTCGTTTTTGTCAGACAAATTAATGCATGTTAAATAAATTACCTTTTGCTCATTAGTCCGTACAAAACATTCTGGGAATAATATTTTATCATCAATATTAAAACTTTCTAAGTGATAGTCGGTGTTTACTTCATATTGTGGTAATTGTAATTTTACGACCTGTTCTTGACGCGGTAATAGATGTACAAATTGCCTATTTTTAATGAAGTGTAATGGAATACACATTTTCTGCGATGGAATTTTGAGGTAATTTTTGTGATAATTAATTAAAGCACCTGTGGAGGTTAAAAACTCCGTTCCTATAATACCGTCTACGCCTAGAAGGTTACTTTCTAAAATGTGAAATTTTATTGGTACACTCGAAATATTCGTTTGAATTGTACCCTCAGAGAAAAAGGGTTGACCATTTATACCGTGTAACTCTATTTTATCTGTTTTATTAATTTCTGGCAAATTATCAAATTTTTGTAATATGTTCACTGAAGCTCCTGAATCTATAAGTAATTCTAAATCTTTCTGAAATAATTTAACTTTGATTAGGGGTAATCCGTCATTTGACTTAATATTAAAAAGTGATAATTTAATCAAGTTACTGTTGGGAATTGAAGAGTCTTTTATTCGTCGGAGTCGGTGCTCTCCTGTTGCGCCTCCGTGAATAAGTTTAAATTTTGCAATTGAGAATTTAATGAACTAGATGGTTCTTCAGAATCCTCGTCTGAACAAATTTCGGCTAATAATTTTATTACTTGTTGTTTCTTAAGTTTAAAACATGAATCTCGGTTGTGACCAGGTTTTTTACAATGGTCGCAAATAATTATTTTTGTATCTTTTTGTTGAAGGGGGGTTTTAGGTTTAAAATTTTGATCATAATTTTCCTTCTTAGGTTTTTCTCTAATTTTATCAGTTTTAGGGGGATTTTCACCTCTAAGTTGTCTAGAGACAGCGTTATTGACTTGTCTTAATTTAAATCCTTTTTCAATATTTTTAGCTTCTTCGAAACATTTACGTAAAGTTTTAAAATTTTTTGTTTGTAAAATATTACTGATTGTAGGGGGTAATTTTGAAAGGTAAGCAGAAATTGCTAATTTTTCTACAAAGTCTGAGACTTTGTCAGGAATAGTGGACCTTAAAATTGCGTCTTCTAATTTAGCAACATCATGATATAAATTTTGGGCCGAATTATCTTTTGGAACCATGGTGCACATTTCTAACACATACTGTTCAAAAGATTTATCGTCCTCATATGTGTCTATGAGAAATTCAAGAATATCTGTTATTGAATATAAACTACGATTTTGTAATAATCTACGGGGTTCACCCTGAATTTTTGCGAGAATGAAATTCCCTACGATATCTTTTTGAGAATCATTACATAAATTAATTAAATTATCTAAAACTTTAGACCAGTGAGTTAAGGAAATACCATTTTCACCTCCATTAAACACGGGTAAATTATTCAACAATGTTGTAAAAATTGAGTCTGAAATTTTATTTGTACTGGTGGCGTTTTGTGATTGTTCCGGTTGTAAAGACATAATAAATTCGTTTAAAGCACTGGATACAATTAAAAACTACTCACCAGATGATTAGGAGAAAAGATGCCCGATGCATAGAATTGATTTCTCTTGGAATTCCTCGTCAGCTAATTTAGTCACGGGTGGATGTGGTTGTGACAGCTTCTCTGAATCCCTCTAGTGACCGGTATGGTGAAAGATTGAAGATGAATCTCTGCAAAACCTTTTCGAATCACTAGCGTTGATCTTCGAAGAAATTCCTCTGAAGATCCTACTGACTGCGCCAATTTTGTTACGTCACGACGCTGAGGACTGGTCCGAAGGATCCCTTATGGTCGGCGTACAATACGTTGTTTTTATCCCAGACACGTTTAACTGGGTGTTCTACTTAATTATTGTAAAAGACACCTTTAATTTACACCAGGACGTTGCCTTTCAATGTAAAATAATTGGAGTTTTGACAATAATAGAACAATTGTAAAGTCTTCTTATTTCGAACACTAACCCTTTGATAACACTCAATCGAACCAAGTCGATGTTATACAAAATAGGATTAAACGTTTGAAAAGACTTTATTAAAAAGAGGTCAAAGAGGTACAAAACCAAACTTAGAACTAACTTAACAATTACTATCTGTCCCTTATATTATTATGGGTCATTAACTACTAATGACGTGAAAGTAAAAAAGGTGTTTATAGTATTAGAACATAACAATACGTATGTATATATGTACATGTTATTTGAAAGTGCAATTTAGAAAGTGTAAATTCATGACTCATAACTCGGCAGGCTCGATGCCATCGCAAGAATTTCAATGACTGTTAGATATAAATCGACTTGTAAATGTGACTAACTGTAAGTTCTGAAGTTAATAATGGTATGAATGTGTCCGTATTTATTTTCGCAGTTGATCTAATATTAATCATATTCTACAGCAAATTTCTAAAGAATAACCAATAAAATCATTATGTTCAAATTAAATAAACGCATATATTTCGGAACTTCTGAGTCATTTTTTTAAACGTACCTATGTATGTATATAACTAAAAATATTCTACTAAGAATCTGTAAATTGAAACTACGTAACATTTTTAATGTCTTATAGACGCCGTCATTGCTCCCGATTGTACCTAAACAGAAATGATTTAACAGACTTAGTAATTATTTTAACGGTAATCTAATGGTAAATTCTTTATGAAGTGTGACTTATACGCGTAGATTTTCTTATTATATGTAAAATGCATAACTAAGTACTTCAAATTTATTTGATTATGTGTAGGTATGTCAGATTTATACCACGCGTGATTTACACGTTATGCCTGCATATTTGTTAACTAAAAAAAGTATTTAGCCCCTTTTTAATCATATTTCGTTTTTTTAGTTTCTAATGCTAATTTCAGTTGCAGTCAAATTAGAAATCATACTGTTAATCATCAAAAAATTTACAATACGAACTTTGCAACCTGTGACGTTCAGGTAATTCCGCGAAAAATTGCCTCTGACATTTTTACAATAGGTTGTAAATTCGCAGCAGAAGCGACAGGCAAAGAACGTCGTTCGCCATTCGAAGGTGGTAGGTTAGAGAAGGACAGACGAACGCATTATGTGAAGCCAGCGCACATGTCGTAGCCGTTAGTTAGGTTAAGGACCCAGACGAGCCGGATTTACACCCGGCAATGACTCGATCGGTTGTTTTCGGGCACGAGCGGTTGACGAACGAATATGATTGGACATTGTAGAATGAAATTATCTCTCCCACTCCGTTTCCTACCGGCATTTCAGTTGCTACTCAGCCGTGGTTGTTGTAGGGTCGGTAGTTCGCATCGTATTTGTACACGTCTTCGTAAAATTGTGAAATTTCCTCCTTACTGTAACGTGTCGTTAATTTTGCATTGCGTGACGTTTGTGTATCATTAAAATTAATACGATTGAAGAAGCTCCACGCCCGTATCATACGAAATATGAAGAGAATGTTTTAACTAAGTGCTTCTTTGTGTTTCAATTTAGGTGATAATTGCTTCTAACTTGGGCGAATCATTCGAGACGGTTTCGAAACTGTCGAATCATAATACTATTATTGTAAGATGCATTCGAGAAATGAGTGTCCGAAAAACTACTGTTCAATAATAGACGGGCAGCGGCTTAATTTCCCCAAGTGTAGCTGGAGTTTTTTTTAAATTGAGTGTTATACTATTATATTTATTAGATCTTTTAACAAAGTACAACCAGTGTCTTATCTTCGTCGGAGCCGATAAGGATTTCCGGTAACCATCCGGTGTGAGCGAACAGCCAGCAGCATGGCCAGTCTTTGTAGTTTGCTCAAATTATTTCAAGGTTTCAGACAGATGTTGACGTCATCAACCTTGGACTGGTTTTTAAAGACGAATCGGGTGGGTTTCTCGACTATTGTTGGTATGTGCACGCAAATGACGGCGCTATGTACTGTCGAAGGGGTTCTGGGAGTTTGTCCGTATCTTTTGTTAAAATTTGATCTAAAAAGGTTTCTTTGATTCGTTTCTATTCAAAGTCCGTTCAAAATAATTTTGGTCTGACTGTTTTACATATATAGGTTTTTTTTTTTAAGTTTATTGAATCATCGACTAGAATCTCACACTACTGATGATAAACTTCAACGACATACCATAGTTGATGAGGTATAACAATGTGTAAAAATTACTTAAGTTTTTTTAAAATACATGTTTTGGGATCACGTGAACCTATATTTATCACCATAAGAAAACTTGAGCATTTCTAACGTGTGCGGTTTTGGCAAGTAATCTTAGAATTCTTAGGATTGGATGAAACACGTACCTACAAATCAGTATCTTCATATTTGTAGTCATTGCAGTAAGCGATCTTCCGCTTGACAACAGCTGTTAAGGTACCCAGGATGAATCATAATGTTAAATTGAATGTGCAATAAGGAAAAGAAAATACCTGAATCTGTCTAGCAAAATCTCCAAAATGGACGACTTATCGCTGATCAAGGGCACCTAAAAGTGCTTGTTGCAGCAGATCGGTTGATGCTTTACTCTTTGTAATGTATACAAATTATGCATGTACGTGTATATGGATCGTATTAGTGCGTGCAATGTTCTCTGTCTCTTTTCAGAATGACGAATAAGAAGAAAAGGAATCCGTGGAATTCGCAAGTTATCAGCATTGCCGTGGCCCGTGAATCAGCCAGCAGACCGCCTCCGGTGTTAACGGGCGGTCGCGTCAGTGGAACAATGACTCCGAGGGAGGAGGGGGAAGAATGAAGAATGAGATGCCTCCTTCTTGGTTTGGTTTGCCAGCCTGTTGCTATGCGCGTTACTTCGGTGCTTGGCTGCGTTTCGTCGAGTCAGGTACCTGAAGTAGCGCGCGTAGCGACACGGACTTGCATCAGCACCGCACCGCAGCCGGCCCTGTCGTCATCCGACAGAGGTCGCGATCGCGAATAACTGGCACCGCCGCCCGTCGCGTCAGACGGAAAAAGACAGCACAGAAAAGGGATAACGATACTTTTTACGACAATCAAGCGCCTTATTGCATTAAGACGTGCGGAATCTGCATAACGAGACAGAAGTGTGCGCTATGCAATGCAGTACACTCTGTCACATGCCTATTGTACTTCATCAGGTGCTCTGGTTTGAATTTTCCCGACACCTGTTGGAGTACACTAAATATGTGACTGTTTACAACAATTCTTTGTTTTTCGTCTACAACGGTTGTTCGACTAATCTTGTAGCGACCGCTCTTGCCTTTGTTTAACTGAAAAGTTCATTTGATATATATATACTGTGTGACAACTTTTATGAAATATATAAAAATTATTTTTGACTTCGTATTGATATTAGTTTTAAATAACGGTGCTGATACTTTTCGATAATGCTTTTACGATGATTACCGCATTATCGTTTCTAAGGAATTTCTTTTGTTACAAATATGTACCAATCGTTTTTTTGATGTATATATTAAATACTTAATATAGTGACGATAGACGATATTTCAATGAAAGGTACCTATGTGTCTTGCTAAGATTTCCCATCGACATTATTAATTATTCAAAATGATGATTATATGTGCACGTATGTAATTTTAGGGCAGTAGTATTAAGTAATTAAGTTAATTTGTAGTTGTATTTAATTTTTAAATAAATAAAAACTGTACTGTGTACTTTTTATATATGTACTTCAGAATGAGTGTAAGCATTGAATGGAAAAAAACAGTTGTTAGGTTTGTAATGCAAACTAAATAGTACGTACATTATTGTTTTAGTATATTCAAACATCAAAAATAGAATGGACTGTTTTAAATATCGAAAATTGTTGACCACTAAATTTGAAATAATCTCAATCCAGCATTATGCGCCATCTGTTATGGAGTAGAAAATTTAATAGTTCTAATAAACCCAATATTATAATTGTAACAAAGCTACCTACGTAACAGACAAAACTTACTTCATTGTTAGCGAAAATAACGAAAGCCAAGTAGACAAAGGTGAACAAGATTTTAATAATATCCGAACAAGATAATGACGTCATTTAATAATTTAAAACACTATAATATAAAAATGGTATCCGTATGGAATTCTTGATGAACTTTTGTGTTTACAATGTATAAATATCTTTGTTTACTATCATGTTTAGTTACCCTTAAATATATCAGGTACGTTTTGGTAACTAGTATAAAAACACAATAAGTAAAGCTACTAATAAAAACGGTTTTTAGTTGTAATCAAATTGAGAAACATAATGCAAATGAAACATGGGAAATATTGATTTTTGTACAACGTTGGCTGCAAACAGCTTGTGNCCTATCTATTTAAATAATGCATGCAGGTAGGTAGGTACCTCCACTCATTCGTTAATTTTTTCGTTTCTAGAATAAATGAAATTAAAAACATTGTTTTAATAATTATTAAATTTTACGAATATAAGGACCTGAACAACTCATTTCTATTCCGGAAACAGGCTCGATGTTACGTTTGTTATCTGTAATAAATAGGTAACTGATATGTAGGTACATTTTTACATTCTTTATTTTATTCGGACACGTGTTTCGCCCACTTCTAATGTGGCATTATTTCGCCCAATTCTTTATATTTTTTGAGTCCTCTACTTCTAGTCCGTCCGTTTTCTATGTTGAAGACAGCATAATATTTCCTCCTCTATCTTAGACGCTGAATTTGAGGTTGAGATGGCAACCGTTGCCAAGTTCTTCGCGTATTTCGGGTCGGGCGTGGTGAATTCGAGAGGACGACACACTGCCGGTAGCTGTCGCGGCCGATCGGAGGGTATGAAACGGAGAAGGCAACGAACAGCAGACACCCTTTCAAGCTAAGGACGACCGCGGCCTCAACAGCGGTGCAACCGCATTCTACGTACCATGATACATATTATTAGTAATAAAAAGAAGCGGGAGTTGGTCTGTATATATGTACGTATGTTTGTATTTTGACTGAGGGTTAAGAACGAGAACGAATACGAATACAAATAGTAAACGTAGTCGTTGCATGCTGTCCGGTGATGTTCAATTTTTTTAACTTGAACCCAACACTTATTCTTAATAATAAATACGAAAGCGTGTCGAAAAGTTCGCAAATCGAGAAATCTGCCAGTGTTGAATTGTATCGTCAACTTTGATAATCTTATTGTGTTCGTTATTTTTTAATCTGAATAATAAGAGTGTGCTTACTTCTGGCATCTATACAATTGGAAATATGGGTTTACCTACATACACATGTATGTACAATATCTACCTCACTAATAGATACGGAAAAACACAATAGCGAAAATGGTATTACTTGAATGAAAAGTTCGAAAACGTTTGATTTTGTAACATGATGCGATATTTATTTTAACTTTTATCAACAATTTTCATGTATTATGCCTACTCAAATTCCGGCGAATATTTTCGCTTCTGATATCGGATAGGTACATCGTTTAAAATACAGGCGTACCTGGGTATAGATTACGTTACAATAATTTCATCTGAAACTTCAACAAACAACCAACACGCCACTTCGATAATATTCTACGTAATAATAAAAATAAATTAATACTAAATCAAAAATAAGTTTTATAGGTACACCTACAAATGACATGTCTTACAGATTATAACTATATCTACCTACCTACACATTGTTTCAAAAGAATTTTAGCTGTGTAGATAATGTGCAAGGTGCAAGTATTCGGAATTCACTGATAAACGGTTATGTACCTACGACGAACTCGTTTTAGGTTGTTGAAAGTTACATTTTACGCGAATGTAGGTACATAGGCATCTATGTACTGAAATAAAAACGTGATTTATTAATTTATATCTAACAGGGTACCTTCGGACTCAGAATTTTTTTTCCAAAATCGTTACCGCTACCCATTGTTCTTTTTCTTTTTTCAAAACATATTTCAGTAACATAATCATAAATTATAATAAAAGCGAAAATGAAGAACCAATCGAAATAGAAAGTGGTTTGTCGATTGGTTGTACAATACATTTGTGACATACTGTAAGTAATAATAATAAGTTAAAAAGTAGGTAAGCTGTACGTATGTATGTATCTATGTCTGTCATTGTCCTGTTGTTCGCTTCCCGCTCTTCGTCGTTCGCCCTCGTCTAGACGTCCGGGATTGAGGAAGGGCGTGGCAGCCAACCGGCAGACGACGCGACGGTGACTTGACGGCCCGACGGAATGAAGGTTGCGAAGAAGTTGAGTTTTAGGGCAATTGCCGCAACTCGTAAGATGCATACGTACATACGTACCCAATATTGTCAGTATCAAGGGTTCGGGTGTTGGCAACATTTGCGAGTTGACAGTAGTATTACTTATCATGATACTATTTTTTTTATGTACATTATAATTCATTAGTTTGACAAAGGTTACGGAAAAAGACCCATCGTTTTTACTGACTTGAGAAGGGGGAAGGGTCACTCGAATTGCACCCTCCAAGTAAAATTAAATTCAAAATAAATTTAGCAACGATGGATTGTTCGTTCGTATCTATGTATTTAGTCATTCAAAATAATCAAATCAAAATTTTTATTTATTGGATTGATTTCCACAAACTCAAGCAGATCTAATTTCTTTCCCTTGTTGCAAGATTTTAGGTACATAGTCTCGATCCTATGTGCGACCTGTTTCCCAAAGTTTGACCTATTTTTATTTTCGATGTGTTCTTTGTATCTCAATTTAAAGATTAGTCCGGTTTAGCTTATATAGTTTCCGGCGCACTGATAGATAGACGTATGATTTTTTTATGTTTGGCATTAAAGAATAATTGGCTGATATTTTGTTGAGATTAATTTTAGAAAAAATGTTTGAGTTCGATTTTGTGTCATATTGTACCGTTGTATGGTAGGCTAAGGTAACGATCTATAATTGGATGAACAAATTTCACAATGTTTCACATATTTATTATTATTATGTTGACGTCACAGTGTAAATGAACTAGGTAGGTACCTTTATAATTAATCATCGTCATGCTGCTTTAGATATTTGTTAACCTTGGAGCGTTATCGGTAGATATGCAATAGCAAAAGGATTTTATGTGGTGTGTACCTGTGCATATTTATAAACTTATAATTACCTATAAGCCTATATACTCGCTCGTATTCCATGCATACCACACATCGCAAATAATATAGCTGCATAATAGGTAATAACCCGCACAGTTCCTTGTCAAATTAAGGATTTATAACTAGCCAAAATCCGCAACAAGAACGGAAATGCTAAACACTGTGCTCGTTCAACGTGAGTCAGACATGCCAAATGTTCGGGCGGCTAATGACTCAATAAAAGTTCCTGAAATACAGCAGAACATAACGGCAAATGTGTCAATCGCCGCCGATCTGAAAAGTGTGGCATTTTCTAATTAGATTAGGCACTCAGGTACATAGACCAAAGAAATTAATTCACGGCATACCTATTTGGGGACCTAATATTTGTTATAGCCAAAACGACAAAAATGAAACAATTTTCTTTAAATTGCATCAGTTAGGTTGTGCCTTCCAATCCCAATCCAGTACAACTGAAGGTGCTGGCCGCAGTTGACGATGAAACATTTGCACCTAACAGTTCCTTTAGATCACGACCCTTCAGCCCGAATCACAATTGTACCGTGGATGCGAGGCATGAAACCCTGTGTTCTTATTTATAGTACCTACTTACTCTAATGCGTATTACAATATATGACAATAAGAGTGAATACTTATTAGTTATAAGTCGCTAACGAAGCGGTTTTCTGACTTTCTCAGTTGTTTTGTTACTTAGCCGTACCTGAAAATGCCAAATTTTATTGCGATGTTATATACTTGTGTATCTATTCGTTGTAGGCGCGTATACCTGATTGATATTTCCAAGTTTTTACAGTATGTAGGTAATACACTAACACTTGCATACAATGAATACACTTACAATGAACATACAGACCACCAGTGCAAATACATACTGTTACGTCACGACGCTGAGGACTGGTCCGAAGGATCCCTTATGGTCGGCGTACAATACGTTGTTTTTATCCCAGACACGTTTAACTGGGTGTTCTACTTAATTATTGTAAAAGACACCTTTAATTTACACCAGGACGTTGCCTTTCAATGTAAAATAATTGGAGTTTTGACAATAATAGAACAATTGTAAAGTCTTCTTATTTCGAACACTAACCCTTTGATAACACTCAATCGAACCAAGTCGATGTTATACAAAATAGGATTAAACGTTTGAAAAGACTTTATTAAAAAGAGGTCAAAGAGGTACAAAACCAAACTTAGAACTAACTTAACAATTACTATCTGTCCCTTATATTATTATGGGTCATTAACTACTAATGACGTGAAAGTAAAAAAGGTGTTTATAGTATTAGAACATAACATTACGTATGTATATATGTACATGTTATTTGAAAGTGCAATTTAGAAAGTGTAAATTCATGACTCATAACTCGGCAGGCTCGATGCCATCGCAAGAATTTCAATGACTGTTAGATATAAATCGACTTGTAAATGTGACTAACTGTAAGTTCTGAAGTTAATAATGGTATGAATGTGTCCGTATTTATTTTCGCAGTTGATCTAATATTAATCATATTCTACAGCAAATTTCTAAAGAATAACCAATAAAATCATTATGTTCAAATTAAATAAACGCATATATTTCGGAACTTCTGAGTCATTTTTTTAAACGTACCTATGTATGTATATAACTAAAAATATTCTACTAAGAATCTGTAAATTGAAACTACGTAACATTTTTAATGTCTTATAGACGCCGTCATTGCTCCCGATTGTACCTAAACAGAAATGATTTAACAGACTTAGTAATTATTTTAACGGTAATCTAATGGTAAATTCTTTATGAAGTGTGACTTATACGCGTAGATTTTCTTATTATATGTAAAATGCATAACTAAGTACTTCAAATTTATTTGATTATGTGTAGGTATGTCAGATTTATACCACGCGTGATTTACACGTTATGCCTGCATATTTGTTAACTAAAAAAAGTATTTAGCCCCTTTTTAATCATATTTCGTTTTTTTAGTTTCTAATGCTAATTTCAGTTGCAGTCAAATTAGAAATCATACTGTTAATCATCAAAAAATTTACAATACGAACTTTGCAACCTGTGACGTTCAGGTAATTCCGCGAAAAATTGCCTCTGACATTTTTACAATAGGTTGTAAATTCGCAGCAGAAGCGACAGGCAAAGAACGTCGTTCGCCATTCGAAGGTGGTAGGTTAGAGAAGGACAGACGAACGCATTATGTGAAGCCAGCGCACATGTCGTAGCCGTTAGTTAGGTTAAGGACCCAGACGAGCCGGATTTACACCCGGCAATGACTCGATCGGTTGTTTTCGGGCACGAGCGGTTGACGAACGAATATGATTGGACATTGTAGAATGAAATTATCTCTCCCACTCCGTTTCCTACCGGCATTTCAGTTGCTACTCAGCCGTGGTTGTTGTAGGGTCGGTAGTTCGCATCGTATTTGTACACGTCTTCGTAAAATTGTGAAATTTCCTCCTTACTGTAACGTGTCGTTAATTTTGCATTGCGTGACGTTTGTGTATCATTAAAATTAATACGATTGAAGAAGCTCCACGCCCGTATCATACGAAATATGAAGAGAATGTTTTAACTAAGTGCTTCTTTGTGTTTCAATTTAGGTGATAATTGCTTCTAACTTGGGCGAATCATTCGAGACGGTTTCGAAACTGTCGAATCATAATACTATTATTGTAAGATGCATTCGAGAAATGAGTGTCCGAAAAACTACTGTTCAATAATAGACGGGCAGCGGCTTAATTTCCCCAAGTGTAGCTGGAGTTTTTTTTAAATTGAGTGTTATACTATTATATTTATTAGATCTTTTAACAAAGTACAACCAGTGTCTTATCTTCGTCGGAGCCGATAAGGATTTCCGGTAACCATCCGGTGTGAGCGAACAGCCAGCAGCATGGCCAGTCTTTGTAGTTTGCTCAAATTATTTCAAGGTTTCAGACAGATGTTGACGTCATCAACCTTGGACTGGTTTTTAAAGACGAATCGGGTGGGTTTCTCGACTATTGTTGGTATGTGCACGCAAATGACGGCGCTATGTACTGTCGAAGGGGTTCTGGGAGTTTGTCCGTATCTTTTGTTAAAATTTGATCTAAAAAGGTTTCTTTGATTCGTTTCTATTCAAAGTCCGTTCAAAATAATTTTGGTCTGACTGTTTTACATATATAGGTTTTTTTTTTTAAGTTTATTGAATCATCGACTAGAATCTCACACTACTGATGATAAACTTCAACGACATACCATAGTTGATGAGGTATAACAATGTGTAAAAATTACTTAAGTTTTTTTAAAATACATGTTTTGGGATCACGTGAACCTATATTTATCACCATAAGAAAACTTGAGCATTTCTAACGTGTGCGGTTTTGGCAAGTAATCTTAGAATTCTTAGGATTGGATGAAACACGTACCTACAAATCAGTATCTTCATATTTGTAGTCATTGCAGTAAGCGATCTTCCGCTTGACAACAGCTGTTAAGGTACCCAGGATGAATCATAATGTTAAATTGAATGTGCAATAAGGAAAAGAAAATACCTGAATCTGTCTAGCAAAATCTCCAAAATGGACGACTTATCGCTGATCAAGGGCACCTAAAAGTGCTTGCTTGTTGCAGCAGATCGGTTGATGCTTTACTCTTTGTAATGTATACAAATTATGCATGTACGTGTATATGGATCGTATTAGTGCGTGCAATGTTCTCTGTCTCTTTTCAGAATGACGAATAAGAAGAAAAGGAATCCGTGGAATTCGCAAGTTATCAGCATTGCCGTGGCCCGTGAATCAGCCAGCAGACCGCCTCCGGTGTTAACGGGCGGTCGCGTCAGTGGAACAATGACTCCGAGGGAGGAGGGGGAAGAATGAAGAATGAGATGCCTCCTTCTTGGTTTGGTTTGCCAGCCTGTTGCTATGCGCGTTACTTCGGTGCTTGGCTGCGTTTCGTCGAGTCAGGTACCTGAAGTAGCGCGCGTAGCGACACGGACTTGCATCAGCACCGCACCGCAGCCGGCCCTGTCGTCATCCGACAGAGGTCGCGATCGCGAATAACTGGCACCGCCGCCCGTCGCGTCAGACGGAAAAAGACAGCACAGAAAAGGGATAACGATACTTTTTACGACAATCAAGCGCCTTATTGCATTAAGACGTGCGGAATCTGCATAACGAGACAGAAGTGTGCGCTATGCAATGCAGTACACTCTGTCACATGCCTATTGTACTTCATCAGGTGCTCTGGTTTGAATTTTCCCGACACCTGTTGGAGTACACTAAATATGTGACTGTTTACAACAATTCTTTGTTTTTCGTCTACAACGGTTGTTCGACTAATCTTGTAGCGACCGCTCTTGCCTTTGTTTAACTGAAAAGTTCATTTGATATATATATACTGTGTGACAACTTTTATGAAATATATAAAAATTATTTTTGACTTCGTATTGATATTAGTTTTAAATAACGGTGCTGATACTTTTCGATAATGCTTTTACGATGATTACCGCATTATCGTTTCTAAGGAATTTCTTTTGTTACAAATATGTACCAATCGTTTTTTTGATGTATATATTAAATACTTAATATAGTGACGATAGACGATATTTCAATGAAAGGTACCTATGTGTCTTGCTAAGATTTCCCATCGACATTATTAATTATTCAAAATGATGATTATATGTGCACGTATGTAATTTTAGGGCAGTAGTATTAAGTAATTAAGTTAATTTGTAGTTGTATTTAATTTTTAAATAAATAAAAACTGTACTGTGTACTTTTTATATATGTACTTCAGAATGAGTGTAAGCATTGAATGGAAAAAAACAGTTGTTAGGTTTGTAATGCAAACTAAATAGTACGTACATTATTGTTTTAGTATATTCAAACATCAAAAATAGAATGGACTGTTTTAAATATCGAAAATTGTTGACCACTAAATTTGAAATAATCTCAATCCAGCATTATGCGCCATCTGTTATGGAGTAGAAAATTTAATAGTTCTAATAAACCCAATATTATAATTGTAACAAAGCTACCTACGTAACAGACAAAACTTACTTCATTGTTAGCGAAAATAACGAAAGCCAAGTAGACAAAGGTGAACAAGATTTTAATAATATCCGAACAAGATAATGACGTCATTTAATAATTTAAAACACTATAATATAAAAATGGTATCCGTATGGAATTCTTGATGAACTTTTGTGTTTACAATGTATAAATATCTTTGTTTACTATCATGTTTAGTTACCCTTAAATATATCAGGTACGTTTTGGTAACTAGTATAAAAACACAATAAGTAAAGCTACTAATAAAAACGGTTTTTAGTTGTAATCAAATTGAGAAACATAATGCAAATGAAACATGGGAAATATTGATTTTTGTACAACGTTGGCTGCAAACAGCTTGTGTTGTATGGAAGCAAACAAATATAAATCACACTTGTGCATTTCCTTCTGAAGAAAACTCCTGGAATGTTCACGGAATATGGCCTAACAAAATTGGAAAAAAGGAAGGCCCTAACTTTTGCAATAAATCTATTAGTTTTGATGAAAATGAATTGCAACCTATTAAAAATGACCTTGAGCAGTATTGGATGAATATTGAAAATAATACAGGAAATGATTCATTGTGGAAGCACGAATGGTTGAAACATGGATCGTGCTGTTCCTTATTACCATCTCTCAATAAAGAATTGACATATTTTGGTCAAGGTTTAAAATGGCTGGAAGAGTTTAATATGACAGATATTTTGGCAAGCAAAAATATAGTTCCTAATAATGTTAATGGTTACAATGTGACAACCATTCATCAAGCTATTGTTGATACACTTGATAAAGGTCCAATGATCCAGTGTGATACTGAGAAATCAACAAAACACTCTTTACTAATTGAAATTAGAATTTGCTTTAACAAAACATTGCATCTTGTAGACTGCAGTATTTTAAAAAATGGAACTGGTCAAGGGCTGCTAACCAACTGTGATTTAAAGAAAGAGGTGTTTTACTTAGATGGAAAAAGTGCCACTCTTACTGCTATTAATAAGAAGAAAGAACAAGAACTACAATACTCGAAACTTTTGAGTATTTATAAAGTTCTACAGTTTCTTATTTGGATCACACTGTAAACAGACAGAACGAACCCTTAGAATGGATAAAATTACTAGACAATTTAAAATCATACATCTAGGTAATTATAAGATGCAATTTAATCACCATAACACGAGCTATTGTAATTGTATGAAATTGCTACGTATATTATATATTTGCATAAAAGAACTCTTTTATTAATTGTAAAAACAGTAATTGACTACTTTTAATTATCTTGATATTGTAATATTTTCTATTATCAAATAAGATGATTTGATTGTATTATGTACACTGCTTACTAAAAACAACCTTAGAGAAATACTTTATTATTCCTCATTAGTTTAAAATGTTAAAAATATTCTTTTGCAGCAAAACACCACTTAAGGATTAAACTACGTTATATTTATTTGCGTTTGGAATTTAAATTAAGTCAAACTTGATACTAATGAAAAATTATAAAAAAATTAAATAAAGGGGAATGAAATAAACTTTTGTTTTGTTATTTACAAAAAAATATAATACGAAAAATGAATAATTAATGTTGAATTTCAAAATAAGTCTTGCGATTAAGTTTTAGAGACGATTAAAACTGCCGAAGGGGCAAGTCCTGCAAAAAAAAATCATATTTGCTCATTTACGTTTACTATTCCCTTATGTTATACCTAAAACGTCCAGAGGCTTTTCATAATCTTCTGCACCAAATATTTTTCTGGGAAAGGAAGTCATTAAGGCAAAAGGTCCATTTTCATCTGTTCTATTCATTTCTACATAAAGACGTACTGCAGATAATGGTTCTTTTGGTCCAAAAGTTTGTGTAAGGGTGCTGCCATTTGTCAATCTAATTTGCAACTTTACTTCTGCATAATTCTGTTGTGTTTGTGGTTGCTTAGCAGTATTAGGAGTAGGAGGGGGTGGTGCACTGGAAACATTTTCACCGGTTTGTTTTGCTTTCCTTGCTAACCTGTCTTGTTCAATTTGTAGTTTTACACGTTCACGAGCCAGCTTTTCTTCTTGTTTTTCTCTTTTTCTCTGTTCTATTAGTTTTTTCATTTCCGTTTCCTCTTGCTTTCGCTTTGCTTCAAGTAAATCCTTGCCTGATCTGATTCGACTCTTTTCTCTTTCTAATTCTTCCTGTTTTTCTTTAGCCTCCCTTTCCAATCGGCGCTGTTTCAGTTTTTCTTCAATTTTGGCAAGTTGTTCTTTTTTTTCTTCTTCAGTCAGTGGTTTTTTTTCTTCAGTAGATTCAGAAAAATTCTCATGACCTGATTTAGCTGCGTGGAATTCTATTTCTTCTTGAGTCTTAAAAAGTTTTCCGCAGTCGTCGCATTTTACAGACTTTGCTTCAACCGTATCGGCATCCGGCAGCGTCTTTTGTAGATTGTCGGTATCTACCGCAGCAGTAGAAGAACTTGTTTGATTATCTGAAGTATCATTACTTTTTATTTCTTCTTCATGGGATAGTAGCCATTCCATTGCGCTTTCTACATCAGCTGCCTTAGTTTTAGATACAGCAAGTTCACTACGAATTTAATTTAGAAGTTACGACAACTAAGTCCACAATATCGTACAACTTACGCTCTCTCCCTACTAAATCCCATTTCGACCAGAGTTTCCACGATATCAGGCATTTTTGCAGGACTTCCTTCAATAAAATTTTAAAAAACTAGTTGCACTTTTAATCTTAGACACATCTAACTATCCAAATTATAATGTATTGTATTTTTGAAGTATTTTGACAGGTTAGAACTCGCAACAGACGAGTCACACAGACCATAGAGTACAGCTGTCAAACTTCTTTCATTTTAACTGGATGGTAGTTCTTTGATAACCAGCTGATTCATCAGTTTACTCAATGGTTTTTTGTTTTGTTTTTATAAGTGAATTGTCAAACTTTGAGGTTAGATTCTACGTTAATGAAAACGATAGAATAATAACAGTTTAATAATACACAAATTTTAATTTGTCGTTCTCCGATGACTTGCCAGATAAATTTAGGAGCTGTTATTACCGATGTGACGTCCATTAAAAATAATCTGTTTTTTCCGAATAACGATAAAGGTACTTCTTTTTAAGTTGCTTTTTTACGCTTTATGTAATGAAATGGATTTTCAGGTGGTGATCTTAATTGGTTGCAGAAATGTGAAATATCAGCATCGCCTGTAGGAGACATTTTAGTCATGGGTTACGAAAAACAATTGCTAGTTTTAGCAGCTGATTGGAACTCAAACACTAATTTGTTAAACTACCGTATTGTGTCCTGTGAAACTCTTGCAGATGAACTCATTACTGCAGTTCTTTGCTTACCTGTTGTCACACAAAACCAAAGTTCTCATGTAAGGTTTCCATAGTTTTTGTAAAGATGTTTATTTAATGTATTTACTGCTAAGGTTGATACGGAATGGACATGTATAGCTGTTGGTTTTCAATCTGGCCGGATACGATTTTACACGGAGGATTCCAAATTATTGCTATGCGAGCAATTTAACACAGATAATGTTTGCAGCATCAAGTGTCAGTCTCAGCATAGTCCTCGGCCTGATATTAATCCTGATCTTAGAATAGAAGAAGTATATATTCAGTATCCCAGTAATGTCTGTGTTGTTAGTGGAAACCATTTATTTGGAATACTCCGAAACCATCGGTCCCAGTTAATTGGAGGTACTTACTAAAGTGTACCTTTGTTTCACAGTTAACAAATACATTTAATTTCAATGAAGATGTTGCATCTTATAGATAAATAATGTACAATTTATAATATTAATTACAGAAGTATGTAGCTCCTGAGTGTGAACAATTGTTTTTTCAACAGGCAACCTTGATATTGGTCCAAATGACTCGTCTTTAGTTGTTCCCAAAAAATGGAGTTTTGCAGAACAGTATTTAGTAAAAGATTCGGTAGTTGTAGGATTTGAATTGTCCAACACTTTTGATCACCTTCTGACAGCTTCCACTTGTGGTGGTTTTGATACAAAATACAGACTAGTGGCTCCTAATAATACTCTTGTTTTGGGCGTCGGTAACAAACCATTCATAGGTTTTCATTTTGCAATTGAGGGTGGTACACAACCTATGCTTACAGATGTTGCAAAAGCCATTGCAACCAAAGTAAAATCCGCTCTGCCGTACGTATGATGATTGAAAATTGCAGGTGTTATTCTTAATATTGCATTTCTTTAACAGCAACTGGCTTATTGGTGGTAGAAGTAATTCAGAAAAGTTGCCTTCAATAGCATCTCAGCTTGCAGAACCGATGGGTTGTAGATTTGGTATTTGCGATTTGCGTAGAAACGGTGTGGAAATAATTCTATCTCCCAACAGAAGACTTGCCGCAATTACCGACGTGCTAGGTCGTATTTGTCTTTTAAATGTCCACGAGGGTGTTGTAATTCGATTATTCAAAGGATATCGGGAAGCGCAGTGCGCTTTTCTTCAAGTACCAGATGAGACAAAATCGCGGAATAAGGTTAAAGTTCGAGTAGCGACCTTTTTAATTATCTATTGCCCGAAAAAAGGCACATTAGAAATCCTTTCTGCTCAACAGGGAATTAAAATTGCCGTTTTTACTGCGTCTAAGTACTCTCGATTGCTCTATATAACTCACGGTATAATGGGCTTCAGTAATATTTCAAAAAGCAAGTATATGTGCCGTTTTACATGTATTCTAATCGATCCGGATGGTAACATTAAAGAAATCGTAATACCATTTCATTTTGCTTTGCCCGAGAAAAACAATCGTAAAGCTCGAGACATGCATTTGTACAAAAGATTAAAGCAGATTATTAAATCAAAATCACATAACAAGGAACAATTGTTATCTGAATGTCTGAATACATGTAAAGAGTTGAGTACAATTACAATTCAGTTTAAATGTTTAGAAATGATATCAACGTATAAAGAAGCAGATGTGAAAATAGTTCTTCAATGCTCGGAGTATTTGTTACAAAATTATAAAACCAGCAGATACGAAGAGTTAGAAATAGAGCAAAGAAATTTAAAAATTTTTGCAGAAAATCTGCGGGCAATTTCTCAATTTTACGAATTTATCGTTAAATCTGGAGATGTAGATAAAAGGGAAGAGAATGAGAACGGTACTGTTTTAGAGTTTCAACGTGATACAATTAAAAAGAAAAAAAAAATCACAGAAAGCAGTAATTTAGATTTACTTATTGGCGCAAAAGAAATGGACAGTTTACAAAAATTACTTGATCTCTGTCCCATAAACGTTATCAGTAAATCACAAGTGTCTTTTTCGTTTGATGATAAATTTACCTTTTCACGTTTTGTTTCAATTTTCGATTTGACGAACGATAATTGTATTTCAACGAAATTCGAAGAGGAGGATAAGACTTGCTTTTTAACAGCGAAGTCGATTTTCGAACGGTTCATAGAAGGAAGCCGTGATGATTTTGAAGATTTCAAATTAAATATTATCAATAGTAATGTGATAATGAAAGATATGTTTCGACTTTTAATATGTTATTGGGTTAATCGTCCACTAACTGCCAACATGAATTTGAAAAGGGAAATGCAAATTTTCCATAGAATTGTTTATGATTTAACGAATACAGCTAACGTTGCGGATATTGTAGTTGATTACAATCAAACTTCAACATTTTGGAAAGAAATTAGAATTATTCTTGGTAATTCTGAAAAACCATTTCCAGCACTTACTGCTGCATTAATTTGCCGTAGCGTTTCTTTAATAATCGAACACGAAAGGGATATGCACAAGTCTGGATCGAATCTGGAAGACGAGAATGCGGAAATATGGGAAAAACTATCACAAGAGAATTGCGAATGGATGTTACTAATTGGTAAGCTAGAGGATATATCACTTCTTAATATTATACTGTCAAATAGACCAGTTATGCAACATAGAAAGTTTTACATTCTTCCAAAATTGAAACAAAAAGACATTCAGGTAAGTCTAAAAATGATCCTAGAAAAGGGTAAAGGAGCTATTAGTGAGCTAGTGGCGCAGTGGCTCACAGCCACAGGAATAGATCCCCATGTGTTGAACGCAATTGAAGCAGATGATGCATCAGAAGACAAGTACATTGGCGATAACATGATAGAACCGCTCTTAAATAATCTAGATTTGTTAAGAAAACAATTTCCTTTTAGTACGGAGAGTGGTATCATTTTGACGAATATGTGCTGGGAATACGCAATGGCATGGCAAAAGACTGCACAAGATTTCTCAATTTTAGAAGCGTCATTGAAATGTTTAAATTTAATAACAAACATCCACCTTAGACAAGGCTTGTATAATCTAGTTTGGAACACACATTTGAAAATTATCTTTGAAAGTGCGTGCAAGCTCGTGAATAAGGTAGGAAAGAGGCCTAAAGAGAAGTTATGCCGTCAAGACACGGGACTGACGGATACGCAAATGCTTAAATTCATCGAGACGTGTACAAACTTTCTGGACGACTTCCTCGATGTCGTCCAGCAGTGTTATAACTCGGAGAGAAAACCGCTCCAGTACGAACCTATTTGGGACGAAAGCAATAACGAACAACCGTTGGGGGAATTAGCGCTCCAACAAACACACATCAATTATGACTTGGTGCATTTGCATTATCAACTTAGTCTAATTATGCTCATGCAGATGACATTTAATGTGAAATATTCAAAAATTGTTAACAGTTTGTTTGATAACGTGATGGCGGGGCTATTTTTTACTGATTTTCAGCAGAAAGTTCAAATAGGTTGGCACAAGTCTGAGTCGAAAGTGCTCGCATCTAGAACGCAATTTTTGCTTAAAGTTATATCAGCAGGTATCGATACTTTAACAACAAATAACGTTGGAACCGTCCGATCGGACGATTACGCAAAGTGGATGGGAAAAATTTTAAATTTGGCGAGAGTCTGGAACTTGGACGCGGACGTTTTGAAAAGATTTCAAGTTATCCAATTGTATATAAATGGTTTTGATTCCATGGCGGAGGAACTATTGCCTGCCATTAATGAATTGGACAAATTAGGCGCCGACCTTATGGGAATCGGTGCCAAGAGGCTAGCACGATATATAACATCGTCAAAAGATTTGACAGATAAAATGGCTACCGTAAGTCCAGCAATCAAACAGTATTTGGATACGATGGTATGTAGTAAGTCCAATAACGAAATTGTAATAAAATCAATCGTTTTTAGAGTGACGACTGGTGCGCTCCTAGTTCGTTGGACGAGATTACAAACATATTTATTCATAGTCTTCAATATATGCACGAAGAGCAAAAAGAATACAAAATTGGAGTTCAACTATTTGATGCCTGTAGGTCATTGCAAGAAATCAGCAGATAACACTAAATTGCCAAAACGTGTTTTAGATTTAATAAAAGATTACGCTAGAATAAATGATAAAAAATTTAATGCATTTAATAAGTTACAATCAAAAATATATTAATTGTTTTAAATTTTTTTCTTGTCTTCTTTCTGTTATTTGTGCAATATACGTAAAAACTATGGGACCAGGTAATGTTCGGTATTGTAGAGAAAAGGTGTAGGCCCAAAACAATGTTTCTGAGTTAATTTTGTTTACACAGAGGAAAAGATTATTTGCAAAGTCCAACAAGTTTCAGTGCGCTATCGCTGTTATCGTCGCATTCTTTCTTACTATCATTGCTGTAGTTCCTCGTCTGTACCGAAGAAATCTTTTGCTTAGATAAAAAAATTATGAGTTTCTCAATGTCGGAAAATTTATCTGTCCCATGTAACGAGAACACTCCCTCAACATCCCTGGTCCGTATAATGTGATGCATGTTCTGTAAAGCGCGTATTGTTTTCATTTTTTTTTTAATAAAGTCTCGCATTCGTTCCTGTTCGCGAAGGTCTCGAAAAGCGTTTTGCAGCGTTTGCATTGTCTGTTCATTCATGGCTTGGAGCTCGCGTCTTTTTGCGATCATAGCCTTGATGTCAATTTTTTTTCGTACCCAATAACCACGCCAAAGTGCCTGAATTTTCGTTGCGCATTGGTCATAATAGCGCCAACGCAACAGTTCCAAATTTTGTCTCAATATTTCCGGCAAATGCCACCGCAACTGCCAGCCGCGAAACCATCGTTGTATAGTTGTGGCAGCTTGATTCCATCGTTTAATAGTTTTTCGTACTAAATAACCACGAAACACTTTCTGTATTATCAATGCGGCGAAATGGCGTTTATATTCGATTTTTTGGTAATCGCTGCGACGAGAAATGATTTCGTTAATAACGCATTCGGCGAAATCTACATACAGCTGAACAGAAGCCATTCTCACAGAAAGTAATTTAAAATTGAAACAATAAAAACTGCAGTTATTTAAGTATTTAAGTACCTACTGTGTATTAGCACTGCGATTAAATGTATCTGTTTAGGATAAATGATAAAATGATCGAGGAATACGTCAAGAAATGCGCCCGTTAATGTCAATAATTAAGTCAATATTGTGCATGAAATAATTTGGCATATCAGTATGGAGCAAACATAAGTAGAAAGTTTTACTATTTCCTTCGACGTCAAAGTTTGCGACCTATTCTAATTATTAATCAAACATGTTTAAAAAAAAATGTGTAAGAAGAAAAGTCCCGACCTAAGTAAAAATATCCAGATTCTATGTTAATCAGTGTTAGTGTTCTTAATGATTTTACGGATAAACGGTACCTAATAAAGAAATGTGTAAGAGAAACTTTTAAGATGCATTAGGTACCTAAAAGATTTTTCGGATAGAAGTAATAGAGCTAATTATTTCCCTAGATATCCAGAGGAGGAAAGCGCTGTGTGTAAGTCCTTGGAATCATAATTTCAAACTAAAGTAAGAATCCAAGAAAAATAGACTCACCGACTCTGGAGTTGTAGCTCTACCGATTCTAAGTTCCTGGTTCCAGAGGTCCTGTCCTAGACATGTATAGATAGGTAAATGAAACACAACTGGTCCGCACTAATAATCTGTAACAAAAAAATAATGTTAATATCACAAATAAATGCTTATCAATTACAGATGTACTTAAGGTACAAATATCTACAAAAGATGATATTTAAATAAAATATACAAATTAATTGATTTCCACGTTGTTGTTGAATGGAAACTTTAAAAAGATGAGGAAGTACATTTTATAATGATAGACTTACCACAATTATATCACTGCTATCTTAATTACAAGCAACGCATACTTTATTAATTATACGTAAATGTAATTGGGACCTGATATCCGACATTTGTTAAAGGTAACAACACTTCGCAATTCGTGAGAACACGTAAAAATGTACTATTATTAACGCCAAAATTACCAGTTTTATAAATTTATTGATTTAGAAGAAAAAGAACACGACACAGTTTCTACTTTTCAATAATCTAACTAACAATAAGAAAACGATGCCGACACCTCGGTATGGTAACTTCGCGCATGCGTATGCGTACATCTCAAAGCTTTCTTTACTAAACTTTTCATTGCGTATTTTATAAATTAACATTTACTAGGTATTATACGAATAAGAAAAGAAAATTTAACATGTAGAGATCGTTTTAACAAAGATAAGTTACGAAAATTGAAATATATATATACTCGGATTTCCAAGCCTTCTTTGCTTAACTTAAAAAAAAATNACCAATGTAATGACATACCCATTTCAATGGCCAACTAATCGTACGCCGGAACGTGCGTATGTTATGCACCATACAAAGTTAGTTACGACTTACGTTCGCTCTAGTCGGCTGTACTTAATAGGTCATCATCATCATAAAGCTCGTCGTCCTAAGACTAGTTGTACACGTACCTCCACTCTTTCCTATCCTGAGCTAATCTTCGCATTTTCCTAAAACTAGAACATCCCACTCCTTAACTATTTGCGAACAGTAATCTAATGTACGTCTACTTCTACCCCTTTTAACTTCCGTTTCTGCCTCTAATATGTCTCTGACTAGACCTTCATGCCTGAGAAGGTGTCCTACCAACCTATCTTGCCTATTTCTTATTGACTTCGATAGAGTCCTCTGTTCTCCTATTCTTTCTAATCTCTATCCACGGTATCCTCATCATTCGCCTATAACACACATTTCGAAGGCTTCTAATTTTTCCTTTTCCGCCGCACCCACTGTCCATGTTTCGCACCCGTACAGCTCCGCGCTTCAAACATACACCTTTTCGGATTTCTAAACTAAATGCTCGCGAACATAGAAGTGACTTCATTATTGAAGGCGATACAACCCTGCGCTATCCTTTGCTTTATATCCCTACACTCCTTCCGTCCTGCCTTATCCGACTTCCTAGATACCTAAAATCAGCCACTTCTTCTGATTTTTCGTCTCCTATTTTTATATTCGCTCTTTCCCTACTTTTTCTTCCCTTGCATACTAATGTTTTGCCCACGTATATCTATCCCTACTGTTGTACTATCTTTAATGATGTTGATCGCGTCTTCGATGTATAGATTAAAAAGTAGCGGTAGTGTGCATCCCTTTCTGACTCCCTTCGTAACATTTATTTAATATGGGTATGTCACAAGTGAATTCAAGGTATAGCTGCCATTGTTTTTTGAATTTATTCGTACGAACCAAGCACGTACTTCGACCACGTGGATGCAATCTCTCAATAATTTTAGAGTATTGCGGCTTGTGATGTTCTAGTAATTATTACAGGTAACGATAAGTCTATCACATATTTTCTTACATAAGGAAAGGAAGTGTCGAGGTTGAAATCATGTCGGCCAGTTTTCTTTTCTGGTAAACGGTAATAATTGCCTAAAATCGGTTCCTCCACTCTTTTACCATATATGCCCGCTTTGACTAAATCAACTTCCCGTATTATTCTAACACCTTTGTCGTCGTCTTTCTTTGGCAAGCGTTTCTTTGGAACATCTCCGCCCATAAATACCTATCGACGACAAAACAAAAAATGTTTTAACAGTATGACGACATCACGTAGTTTATCTTTTACTTTTAGTGTAGTTGAGCTGGAGACTCGTTTTAGATCGGCCGGCATTGTATACGGTCTCTCATTTCCGGGAGGTGTATCTTGAGGTATATTATACCAGGGCTTGAACGTCCCTAATGTTGCTAAATAACGACCGCTAAGGGTCCAAAGTCTTGCAGTGTTATCAGCGCTGCAACTGAAAACGAAAAATTGCTTCACATCCGTGATATTTTTCGCTTAACCAGGTGTACATGTACCTAACAAACGTTTGGTTATCATCTATGTAATCCAATCCGGAAACCGGCATAAAGTGTGCCTTGAAGCTGTTCAAGAGAACGGGGTAAATTTGGCCCCTGTTTGCTCTCTTTGCTCTACCCTCCCACAAATCCTTCCACAAAAATGGGAATATCAATCGATATTTCGGCATGCTTATGGAAACACTTTCTCCAACCAGATAATTTTTGACCAGCCAGGTTTTTACATAACCAGCGCATGTACCTACATGCAGGCAATTATTTTTCGTAAATACCTATTAAGGTCCTTGTTCTGAAACTCACCCATTAACAAGTACTCATTTTTGCTGTCGGTTGCCATACTTATTACGTAATCGCCAGCGGTATGAATGGCCGAAAAGGAGCCCATAAACCCACTAGATGGATGGTGCGACCATACCTGTATCTGGCCATTTTCTAGAGCTACAAACAGACTGCCCACTCTTGGATCCATCGGGCGTGTTGCCAAAAACAACATGGTGTGAACAGCCAAACCTCGCAATGGCACAACAACTTCAGGCATCTGAATAACCGAGATTTTTTTTGCTCTTCGGGCAGCCTGTTGTTGAGCTGTAAATTAATTTTTTTATCGCATATTTCATTTCTCTTTTTTAATAAAGACGCTTTTATACTTAGAGCTCCCTTTTCGTCCGTTTGCTGCATGAATGTAGGCAAAAGACTTTTTCTTTTCGGCGCTGCCGGAGCCCCAAAACTTCGAATTAATGAGCCCTTTTGTGATAGTTTCTTATCTCTCTCAATTTTATATTGAATCTTAATTCGCTGGGTTGGATTGGCGACGTTGTACTGTTTGTACGGTTGTCCAGTTTCAAGTTGCCACATGATCAGTTCGCCGTTATAAGTGGCCGAAACTAGAGTTTGAGGCATTCTCATCGCGACACACAGTATGTCTTCCGTATGTCTCGTTGACCAAGATTTCCCAGCTGCACCACCGGATCCCGTAGCACCCCCGCCTTCCGAAAATTCGGATACGTGTTTGTTCCAACCGGCAGCGAACACCCTATTTCCAAACCAAGCAACCGCGGCAACCTCACAGTCCGGCTCAATTCTCATGTTTCGAATGCACGTGCCAGTGTTGAAGTTCCAGATTTTTAACGATCCATCGGTGGCCCCGGTTAGCAACAACTGAAAACCGGGATCAAAACACGCAGCAGTCACTTCTAACCGTATCTCTTCTCCTTGAACGATTTTGGTGTGAGCATTCTTAACCACGGACATTCTTCGCCCCAACCATGGATCCCACACTATGATGTAACTGTCCAAACCGACGGTCACGATAATTTTGAACAGTGGATTATAAAGTACACGTGAAACGCCGCGCGAATGCGTGGTACCGTCGGTGTGCTCGCCGCTTTGCAACGGGCAGAACTCAAGGATCACGATCATGATACTACCAAGAAGTATTTGACGATTGTCTGGATTATAGAGGAACGTTATGTCAGAAAATTCGCTCAGTTCGGACGGTACATCGTAATAGCTTTGAATGCAAGTTTGTGAGATTAAGTCCCATATTTTGATCACTTTATCCGTAGACATGGAGAAAACTTTCTTGCCCTCTTGAATTATAAGCGCTATTATGGCCGAATGATGACCGATAAACACTCCATTGGGACGTTGGGGAACAAATGGATTCCAGATACGAACCGTACAATCCAGTCCGCCAGTGGCCAGAAGATGGGGTGATTCAGAAAGAGCGAAACAAGTGGCACCTTTTGTGATTTCGAATACGGAGTTCGTTTTGGTTCCGGTTAAGTCTCTCATAACCACTGCTATACCAGGACAGGACGCGCAAGATACTACACAATGCAAAGGTTCGTAGTACGATACCTGTTTGATCCAATCAGTATGGACATGTTTAAATTCAACGACTCGGAACCCCTCCGCGTATCCTTTTACTAGATCGTCGTATCGATATCGAAGCAAAGGGAGACCGGGTTTGCTTTTGAACGGACCGCGAACTTTTGGACAAAAAAGGATGACCCGAACGCTTCCGCTTTGGTCACCCACAATCACTTTAGATTCATCTTCGACCGACTGAGGGAACGAATAGTGTAAGCAGGTTCCTGCGCTTTCCAGGGAAGTTATGATAACTCGGAGTTCGAATTTTCTCGCTGAAGTATCATAAAATCGCAAGTCTCGTTCGGTGCTTGATGTACATATTACGTTGATGTCAGACAATGATATGAGATCGGTAACCCAGGTTGTTTGTACCATCAAATCTGGACATGTCGACTGCACCGTTCTTTCGACTGCCATGTCGAGTGTCCAATAGTTTATAACACCGTCTTTACTGCATGTCAAGTAGCTACCATCTAAATAATCGAATGTACGATTTGATCTTACCATGGGGCAAAACTTGATACGACTAACCGGATGTCTGTGGTTGCTGCGAATTATTCTGGGCGGCTTCGAAATGGGAGCTTCTAAAGACTCGAATTCTGTTGAAATTTCTTTTTCTTTAAATCCCAGTATGAGAAACGAAATGAACTCATCCCAAGTTACCATACCATTTCTGATAAGATGATAACAACAATAATAAATGTAGATATCTTTTACCATTTACGATGTCACCGTTTTCTACGTGTAATGGTTACCTACCTGGCCGTATTCATTTTCAAAAACAATACAGAAAATTCCTTATCCTCAAAAGAGACTTTGGCAATATCGTATAAAAGACTTTTCAATGTTGCTTCGTTCATACATTTATTTGGGTACGAAAAGAACACTTCTTTAATATTCACTAAATCGACTTCGTCTAACAAGTCCTGTAGCCCTAGCTTTTCTTTTTTTTGATGGCTAAATTCTTTCATGGTTTTTCTTGCTCGCCGAGATCTGAGCGCCATTTCTGATTGACAACTTATTTCTTTTACAAATGAATTATGTCACATAATTTTCGTATGTTCACTAGTTCATTATTACTGATCTGACAATCTTTATCCAAAGTTTGTATCCGAAATCCACGCGGACGAAGTCGCGGATACAAGCTAGTACGTTATGAATCAATATTATTGTGTGCATGTTGTCATGTGGATTTTAGATACAAACTATTGCGTTTATGGTCAAATAATATTATTTAAGAATAAAGTAAGTTGTAAATAAGAAACGCTAAAATATCATGGATCCTTTGCAAGAAGCTCTTAGTTTGTTCAGGCGTCGTAATTTCAATGATTGTATTACGAAGTGCACGGTAATTTTAGAAAAGCAACCACTGGACCAAGCGACGTGGTGTTTAAAAATGAAGGCACTTACACAGGTTTGCAAGGACTATTCGTTTAAACTTTACTGTTTTCCTAATTTTTGTATATCGTTACCAGAGAGTTTATGTGGACGATATAGAAAGCGATCGAATTTTCGTTAGCGACTTGAATGATGAGAACGTAATTGCTTCAGCTCCGAGACCGGGAACATCCCTGAAGGTTCCCGCGACCACAACATCCATTGGTTTAACGTACTTACTTAATTTCTAATCATTGGTAACTCAACGAGTCCTAGTAATAACTTTTTTTTTCCAATATATAGAACCCGTCCGTTAACATCTGCAGGGTGTCCTCTGACCGGGACCACTAGACCTGACAATGACACCACGATCGACTCTCCGCTGCTAAACCGTCTGAAAACCGCTCGTCCTTTTACCTCACAATCTGCAAGAGCAATTCGTATTGGTACAGCTGCCATTCTGAGTCAAAAGGAAGGACCTTTTATCCAAATATCTCGTCTGAACTTGTCAAAATACGCAAAAGACCCGTGTCTATCGAAGGCCTTGTTCGAGTACTTGTACAATCACGAAGGTGATGTTAGAAATGCAATGGAATTAGCCACCAAGGCTCTCGAATATACTGAATTTAAAGACTGGTGGTGGAAGGTGCAGTTGGTGAAATGTTATATAGCATTAAACTCGATAAGAGATGCCGAAAAGCATCTGAGAAGCGCTTTGAAACAGCAACACCACTTGGATACCTACATGCGACTGATAAAGTTATATCTTCGATTAGGTAAATTTATATGATAAACATACGACAATAACTATAGATATATTATTTTGAAATTTCAGACCAACCCATGTCAGCAAAAGAAATTTGTTGCGCAGGTTTACAAGTTTTTCCAAACGACACATCCATTCTTACCGAACTGGCACGATTAAATGAGAGTATATTGAACACCGACTTGGCCGTTAAACTTTACAAGGAACTGGCAGAAGAAGATGCTATGAATTTGGAAGCTATAGCGTCCGTTGGACTTTATCACTTTTATAACAGTCAACCAGAACTGGCATTAAAATACTACAGGTTACTCAGTAATAACTACAATTTTCATTTCTCATCTTCTTACATTCGTACGTTTCAGGCGAATACTATCAATGGGTGCGCATTTTCCTGAATTATACAACAATTTGGGATTATGCTGTTTATATTCACAGCAGTTGGACCTTACCCTATCTTGCTTCCAACGAGCCGTTGAATTAGCTACAGACTCCACTTCAAAAGCAGAAATATGGTACAATGTTTCTCACGTAGCCCTGGTATGTCAAAATATCGGGTAACGACGTAAACGCAAGATTGCGATCATAAACCTTTGAAACTGGACTGAAAATGAGCCATCCTTCGGAAAAGGAAAATGTGTCCGATGAACGAACTTGTGAGAGGATGCCGCCAATAACGTCTGTGGTGCTGCCGCTTACGACCGGGATGTCAGTAACGACCACCACTCTTCAACAAAGACAGACATGACCATTTCTAACGCAGTCCAGTTCAACTTAGGTCTATGATCGAAATCTTACGTATGGGTGTAGGAGGAGTAACACGACTTTGTTTTATAACAGGCTGCAGGAGATATAGAACTGGCGCTGCACTGCCTCACATTATGTTTATCGGAGGATTCCAATCACGCACCGGCCTTTAATAATTTGGCCGTTTTGCAGGAAAAAATTGGCAACCGACAATTAGCCAAAGTACATTTCAATTCGGCAAAACAATTACAGCCTGATCTTCCAGAAGCCAAAAAGAACATAGAATTATTGGAGGGCAACTGAAAAACGTACCTAGGGCTTAGTTTTCAGTTTGAAGCATTTTAATATAAACATTTGTTTGGCTTTATAACACTTCCACCTGCCATCAGAAAATTTTTAAATAAAATACTTATTGTTGTTGTCATACTTATTTCTAATTCTTATTACATGATAGGTTTTAGAAGAGCATTCGTTAACAGTTCTTTTTTCTTTCAAATAATTCTATTAAACTGAACACCTATTCCTACTAATTAAATATACTTTCCTAAAATAAGATGGACCTCCACATCTTATCAAAGGTTTTTCCGATTTAAATAATGTTATTCATCCTTAATTCAATCGAACATAAATTTCTTCACATCGGAATGCCTCGACTGTTACGGAATGTTAGCCTTTTAATGGGCTTTGAACACACCTGAAGTTGAGCGAACTAATCGTAGTAGAAAGCAAAGAATGAATGATAATACATCGTTGCCAAATAAATAATATTTTATTTAAAGTACAAATTCTTGTTTTTTTTTTAATTGGAATTTAAATTACAATACCTACTCACACTAAGCAGAAAATACCTATACAGATAGGTAATGATTGAAAAAAGTGGTTCCAACTCAAGCGAGCTTTTTACAATCACAGACGATGACTAATTAATTTATTTAGGTATGTACATAGGATACTACAATAATAATTAGGTACCTTCCTTACTATCCGAATTACTATTTTATACGATAATTTTTCGTTGAGTGCCATTTTTCCGGTCCATAAATAAGATTATGACGAATTGCTCTGATCTCACAAATGCACCCATTTGCTTAGAAATGCGCGTCAATCCTTATTGTTTTAGAGCGGATTTTAAACAATTTTTATAATTAACTAATTATATGTATTTTCTGTTATTTTTTTTAAGAGATAGGCACCATTATCACGAATGAATAGACAGAGCTACCGATTTGTCTATCGGATACAAAAACTGTGTCCAAATTTTTGCCCTTTTTTCGTTCAGCATGAAAATGTGGCGTTTGTAGAAACTATTCGAAAAATGTATACATTTTTACAGTTTATTGTAATACAGTATACACGAACAGTGTATACAGTACGTATTACATGCATGTATCGAATACAATAGCAACACTAACCGTGTATTGTGAAACCTTATGCTGTCTTTAGTAACTTTTTAGGTTTTTACAACTTTAAGGCAAAAACACCGTCTCGTCCGGATATAGTATAGTTCGTTTACGATTAGAACGCTTTTTATTTTTTTTTTATCGGCTCATTTGGTAACGTTGCCGCAGAGCGCCGCGCGCTTGCCGACTTTTATTATTTCGTAGTAGATCAGCATCACTGGCCGTTCGGCTAGAAGAGCGTGCGTTGCCAGTGCAATTTGTCAATGAGACTGTACCCTGTTACAAACCTGTTATACTGTACACGTAGTCGTTGGTATGCGTCTTAGTTCGCTTTTAAAACTCATTTGATCTACTGCATTCCAGCATTGTTTGTTCCTACGAATGTACCTGACCGCATCTTGCCGCGACTACGGCGGCTTAGTTCGAAGAGTGACGTCCGATTTATCGGACTGCTAGGGTCGCACGTCGCACGTCCGACAGTCCCACGTTTCGATAACAAACCCGTAGCTTTTTCAAAGGTACACGTGTGATAAATTACATACAACTGGGTGTACTTAGAATTAGTGGCGAACTCTTTTGTGACAGTGTGTCATGTGTTTGATGTTTTTTTCAATTTAAAATTGAATTTGACACCGCCGCGCAGTGTGATAAATAACTAAGGAATTTCAAGAGCTATGGGTACACTAAGATTGTTTCTACTTTTGGATTTTAACTGAACACATGGTAAATTATTCAGTCGTTTATTGAATACTAAATTTGTTTAATGGACTTATTTTCCGAAACAATTTTGTAAGCACCGAAAGAAACGCAAATTAAAATATAATCAGAAAATTACCCCCTATTTTTTATTTTTATAGTTATTAATATGGCACAAATTTTATATTTTTTTTTATAGCAATGCAAGGCAAGTCTTAGAAATTCAAGTTAAAAAGTTACGACTTTCTGTTTCGTAATTAATGATTATCACAGCTAGTAATTTTTCAAATACCGAAGCATTAAACATACTTTTTACGATGTATTACTTAGGTACACATTTTATTTGCATTGTCGGTTGTTGATTATATTTTTAACGTAACCTTGAAATTCCTTGCTGTTACATGGTTAGATTTATAATGAATTGGAAATGAAATGATATACATACCTACATCTACCTACCTACCTACCTATCTACTGATTTAAAATGTATCTTTACGGTGCCTACTTAATTAATTTTGGACGACTTGTGTTTTAAACTGTTTCATTAATAGTGGTAGGTACATAGGTAAGGACCATACCTAATAACGATACGTTTCTTAAATGTTTGACCATTTAACGCGTAAAATTTATAAATTTGAAATTAAAATACCTACCTGCCTACCTACCTACTGCTAAATTAAAATATTAGATCACTTTCGTCCAATTTTTAAATAGGTAGAGCAGCTTAAACTTATGGTTAATAAAAAAGGCAAAAAATGTTATTAAATGAAAGAGTGATCCGTTGTTCTTTTTCATTTCAAAAATAATTATTAAAATATACGAATTTTTGGATGGCCCACATATTAAAGAAGTAGTTACACGATACAAAACTAAAGGTACCTAGGTACTCACAGCAATTCAATAGAACTAAAGAACGTTCCTATTTGTGCTCAATTTATTTTTCACAAGCAATTGATAACCTTCAAATTCCATTCGGATTACAATCGACTCGAAAATAAAAAGCACTTACCTACGCAAAATAATCAGCCACCAGACATTTCCGTATGCAGAATCATTTTCAAAAGAAATAAGTTGATACCTACCTAGACACCTATTAAATTGTAATCTCATGTGGGGTAAATGCCTTAACATTAGGTACCTATTTTATAATTAAATAAAATATTTATGATTTATTATATCTTGGGTGTATGTGCACGAAAATATTAAATAAATTGACGCAACATATTATGCACCTGTACCTATAAAATAATAATAGTTTTCAACACAATCCAGCTAAAATGGTTAGGGGGGATTTACTGATCAATAGAAAAATTGAAGAGTTACTTCCTGTTGAGTACCCAGTACCTACCTATTACTAGTTGCAATGAGAATGTTTACAAATCAAAATAACTATTTTATATACTAATTAATGACATTCGATGTGGATATCTATACAAATAAGGCAAAATTGTTTACCGAACATAGATAATATACTTTTCTTTGTCGGCAATTTTTCTTATTAGGTAGATACCTGTTTGGCGCTAGCAAAAATGGATAATTTGGTGAACGTGTGGAATATGTTTTTTCAACCACACTTGCTTCTCAAAAGACTGTTCTAAATCTAAACTAACCGAACTCTCAAAATCTTTTGACCAAAGTGTAACAACCCTCAAAGGATTTAAATGGTGTTTATTGGACTTTAGTATTTATGTACATATGAAAAGATGACTGAAGGATTTGTACGAACTTGTAATACAATTATAATATATAGAATATCTGTACATTCGGTTCTTAACGTGCCATTACTGTATATATGTAATTTAAATAGGTTTCATTTATGAAATCCATTTTCTTTTCGATATCCAAACATTGGCCATTTAAATCGAAATATAGACGACGTAAGGTGTTGTTGTAGTTGGTAATTTATGCATGTATAAATTGTGTCTTTATCAATTTATCATACTTACTTAACAACATCCATACGTGCTAAAGTAGGTGCTATACGTAATACGTGCACATTAAAACAGGTATTACACTCGTACGTATGTACGTATATTCCCATACATGCATGTCAGCCCTACTCATACATAATTTGTTGGATGGTTTTTTTATTTTGAAATATCTACAATTTTTGTATACATATTTTCAAAGACTTTTTAATATGTATACAGGTAAGGTAAAACATTTACCGAACGTAGAAATTATGTATTTTAAACAAAGCGTAACACCACCCTCCACTGCAAAGCTTTATTGTTTTGTAACACCTACGAAATTTGGGAACATACATTCTTTCATTCTCTTGTTCTTGTTATACGAATAATAAAATACTGTTTTAAGAGATACATACACTAGTGGCGAATCGAGAACCGAGCACAGACAATATTTTATTACATGCAATCACAAAAGGCGGCATCATATTTTGAAAAATACAACGTGGTATAGGAAAATTCGTACAAGTGCCTTCAGTCGTCTTATCATATAAATAATAGAAGTTCAATAACTGCAGCAGTTTAAAGCTTTCGAGGGATGTTATTGTTTTGCTCAAAAGTCTGAGAGTTAGTTTGGATGAATTTTTAGAGAAGCAGAAGATACTTTCAGACAGACGTGGTTAAGGAAACATGTTCCACACGTTCACCAAATTATGCATTTTAGTTGGGGGTGTACCTATAAAAAGAAAAAATACCGACAAAGAAATGTGTAGGTACCTGATTCCAACGGGCAGTACAGAATAGACCTATTGTAGTACATTGTGTTAATTACTAATTCCTAAAAAGTATTTTGCAGATACATGTATTATTGTAACTTAAAAAAGCTCAACTGTTCTTTTTTGTTACAAGATCATGGAAACGAGTTAATCCGAATTCTCGATCAAGAACATTTTCGTCAAAATTGTTAGAACCGTTTTCGAGAACACCCCTAGCATTTACGTACAAGAATAATTATTTGTACTTATAGACATATGCATAAGTAAACATGTTGCACCTTTTTATTAGTCTATTTCTGTTTGTTTTTAATTCGGAACCTATAATAGTTAAACACGATGTTGTACAAAATCTGCATAATAAACATCTATGTGTACACTTATTAAGGCAGGTATCTACAATCTGTTTAAAATTTATTAAAACAACAAGCAACAACCTATGTGATACCTTATCGCTAATATGATTTTTTTATAAACAATGACTAAAATATGTTTTTTTACCTTTTATTATAGTTCCCGTAGAGATAATTTAGTATGAATGACTAATTTAAGGCTACAATCCGAGGGAGGGATACGATATATACCTTCTTACCGTATTTCATTAATTATGAAAATTGTGTAGAATAAAAATAGCGAAACATTATTACAGGGTTTTGGGTTTGAATTTTTATTTGTATGTATAAACACATGTTTCTGTAAGTAGGCAAGTTGTATGTGCATACGAATGTACGTACGTTCGTACATGTGTTTGTTTCAGTCATTCATCCAAGGTCGCCGACATTCCATAACACATCGTCAACGCCCGCCCATCTACCGCGTTATTATTATTTAATAATTATTGTCGATCGAATTATTTTAATTGTACAGGTACTTCAATTTTCCACATAAGTGCAATTAAAATTTTCCATCGTATTACCTGCCTAGCTTGGTGAGAGCGATTAGTACACTACAAACCTTAACTTATTGATGTTAAAATAAAAATCAGCAATTCCTATTTTCGTGTAGACATGTTATACGGATGAAGGCAATAGGGTATTACTATTTACTTTGGTTTAAGCATATTTTTTGAAGTAGAGACATTTGATTTTTGAAGTTTTGCTTTGCGTAAAGCGAGCAGATTAACTAAACCAGGGTAATTGTTATGAAATCGTTTGTTTTAGGTGCGCGTCACAGTTGGCGGGCGCCCCTCGATGAGGAGTCTCGTGGAGATGTTGGGCGGGTCATGCGCGCCGGCGGCCTGTGTACGGTGAGCGCTCCATTGGCCGCGTGTAGCCCCGCGGCAGCGCTCCCGCCCGCCGCCCGCTTCTTGGCCCTACACTTACTCCATCAACAAACACTCTACTTTATCGTGCAGGTTAAGTCGCGCGTGCGCGAACTCTACCAGCAAACATGTCTACATTTCGCACAACAAGGAATGAAAGATACCGAGCTTTTTGGCCTTGCTCTTATCTGTGGTAAGCATCCTCTCTATTTATTTTCCCTTATCTTTCTTAATTCATACATACACTTCTTTTAATTTTTCTTCCGCATATACTGCACGTTTTTCTCTGCAAGTAGATGCCTCGTAAGCAATTGTTCGTAAAGATTTTTTTTATTTTGCTCGGTTACTTTATTATGAATCTCCACATAAACAGAATATTTTTGGGAACTCAAGCAAGACAACGTTGAAATAGTGTATTATCATCCACTAAGGGAAGAAAGTACGGCATTTCCTTCCGAGAGGGAGAGGGTGTTTGAGAGGCGGCTTATGATAAAAAAGTGTTGGGAAGAAAGTACGGTAGCCTCTTCCGGAAGTTTACCGCCCTTACCTTCGGCAATTCACACTCGGGAGGAAATGCTTCGATTATTTATTTATAGTAAGTAGGTAATCAATGGATAAGTGGATTTAAATCTGTACAAAGTATGAAAAGGAAAATGTAATACTAATAGGCAGTACCTACAAGTAAACTATAGGTAGGTATAGAGAAATCAGTTATTTCAAAAAATTTTCCTCTATACGTTTTCGTCGATACGTGCCTGTATGTGATATACGGGTTGTAAATAATAAAACGAAAATAAAAACAGATGGCAAAGAATTTCAGTGTTCCCAAATGAAAACTTTCGTGTACCTATACTCTTTTGGCATCGCGCTGCGGCACGAGGAATTTAGAGGAGGAATTTGGTAAAGGAATTTGACCTCGACGAGGTCAAACCGAGCGATGGCAGCCCCAACGAGAGCAACACAAAACGAACGGCACAAGAGAAGAAAGAACGGATCACTAGGTATTATGTGTGTGTGTGTGTGTATTCACCAGTACGCTGTACATTTATGTACATGTACATTGTACATTCATTGAAATTTATTAGAGTTCGAATCACCTCACTGAATTTTTTTGCAAAATATAATGGGATGCTAGTATCTAATCGGCAGATAGGAATGGATGCGCATAAAAATGCGCCCTTCATTCATAAGTATACGATTATAAAAAGAAAGAAAAAATATGGACGGGCAGCCCATCGCAGTTGACCGGCGGCTAAAAAACGGACACAAAAAACAATACGTGCAAGAGCCGAGGCTAAAGACAGGTAGCTGCGTTCTTTCGTTCCCCTTGCTTTCCGCCCGGCGCGGCGCGGCACGGCGTCGTTCGTTACAACCACTCGCCTGTTTGTGCTTGTGGTCGCCTACCTGTACGTATTTATCCACCCTTCTTGCTCTTCTTCTTAAACTTGGTTGCTTCACTTCGACTTGTTTTGTTCCATTAATTCCCAAATCGTTTTCTTCTCTCAACATTTTATTTCTTTTTCGTGTGTCCCGAAAGCTTATAAGTCCATACACATGTAGTAGGTACATCTTAACATTTAGCTTGTATGTACTGTACTTAAAAAAAAAATAATTTGTCAATATTTGGGCACTCATTTGCAACAGTCCCAGACAGATATTAAGTAAGGTGGGTATTTACTATCAGTACAATCAGTAGATAATACTTCCAATATAGCCAATCGTGACTAGGCAGCTATCAATCCGGAAGGAGATCCGATTTCACTCATTTGAGTGGACTTTATTAATATGAGTGTACAGATATGTGTAGTTGATTCTTCTTTTTGATGAGATTTTCATACAGGAACTCTTCTCGTTTTACTAGAGAGTAATTTTCGACCGATTGCGAGAGTGTATTAGTGCAAAAATGTAAACTCCATCGAGCATTTTTTTCAGTATTTCGATAGTGAGTAGGTACCGATGTATGAATTTATGCGTGTGTGTTATGTGGCTATACAATGTACATGTCGATTCCGATGGAGACTTAAGCTGCCGAGTTGCGGTTGCGGTTAGCAATAATGGGAGGAGTCCATCGTTCGGAATGCGGACTGGCGTTGCCACATTCCTTCTTCGAATGGTGCATTGCATTCTCGTGTCAGCTAAGGAAGCTGAGAACTGTACGACAATTACGTATAACATATTTATACTGTACGTACATATACATACGTACAGTGGTTTATCCAAGAAAATGTATGCTTTTTCATATCCCCATATCCCCCTGATTGCACACGCAACCAGTTGCTGAAAAAAATCTATCGGTTTGTTACAGATGGTGAGTATTTGTTTGCCGAGCCCGATAGTAAATTATCAAAATATGCTCCAAAAAGTTGGAAATCGTCTCACAGCCATGGCTTGGATGCGAACGGCCGACCAGCCCTTGCATTCTATTTCCGAGTGCAGTTTTATGTCGACAGTCCACTTCTTTTACGAGACGAGACCACCAGACACCACTACTACTTGCAATTGCGGTTCAACGTTGCCGGGGGAGCCGCCACTGATAAGGTTACTCAGCAATTGGCAGGACTCGCTCTTCAGGCCGACCTGGGAGACCATCGGTCGCCCACAGAAGCGTCGCCATCAGCAGCAAATTCTAATGCTGCGACTACAATCAATACGACGTTTCGACCCGAAGACTACGTGCCTCCCAATATGCGTGGACCACAGGCCCTACGATCGGTGGAAGCCGTTCACAGAAGTTACAGAGGTAAGTTTCGGATGTATTAAACCGTCTTGTCACAACGATTGCTAATGCTATTTTGCCCGTGTTTGTAGGTCTTACAAAGGCGGAAGCGAGGGCGCGTTTTATAGCAGAGGCATGTCAATCTCAAGACCCCATCAATGCTCACGTATTCCGCCTAAGAGCATCAAAAAATGAGGTCTCTCCTGGATCCTTGACTCTTGCAGTTTGCGCCAGGGGATTGCTTGTGTGTCCCGACAATAATCCACCATCGACATTCCTTTGGAGTTCAATAGCAAAACTCAGTTTTGAGCGAAAAAAATTTGAAATTAGAACAAATCACGAAAAACTGACTCTTTACTCCACTAGCGACGAGAAGAGTCGACTCTTATTAGCATTATGTAAGGCTACTCATCAATTTAGTATGGCAGTGGCGCCGCGTTTGAATGAGATGCGTCGTGAAGAAGAAGATCGACAAAAGCGACGATGGGACTGCGATCAAAGGATATCCGTCATTTCAAGTACCTCTTCGAATACTACCTCGGGCATAGTGAGTGATCGCGTTCATTCCGAAGATGAGCTGGAAATAATGATTACTAGTCCACCGGCACCATCAACCGAAAGCTTAGCTCTTGCCCACCTTTTGGACAGCGCTCCGGCCAGCTGCAGGACCTCAGCTGCATCTGCCACCGTTGCTTTGGTTGCACTGTCATTGAAAGACGAAGAAACGAATTCGGCAAAACTGAACTTCAATGCAACCAGTAGTGAAACCTCAAGTAAAACGATTGCAAGCGGCAAATGTACCGCCGACTCCCAGTGTAGTAGTTCCTGTAGCACTGTCATTGTGACTCCTGTGCAGAATAGTAAGTCAATTTCGATTCTATGTACGTTACAATGAATGGATGTTTAATGTTGCTCTTATTTTATTTTCAGAATCGAAAATAAGAAGACCTTCGACTAGTAGTAGTTTAGAGCTTGGGTTCTCACACACAGCACAGAATTCGACGGTCAGCGATGCTACATGCATCGAGTTGGATACGCGCGATCCGGTCTATCTTGCTGCAGGCGTTGCACCAAGTAGTCAAACTAGCGGAGTTTACACCCTTACTTCCAGCGATCAATACACAATGTCCTCATCGACGTGTGGTCAATACAGTACAACCACCGAAGACCAGGTGGACGGGCCTTTTCGCGATCGATGCAATTCGGGCTCTTTTCGAGGCGACGGAAGCGATCCTACTGAAAAACAACCGGTACCTTTGTCAGCTGAAGAACTGTCAGATCTTATTGTTGGTCGGTATCCGTCGTGTAAAAGTGTCAGCAATACGTTAGACTCCGATTCCGACTATGTCACCCTTCCATCCTCGTACAGGGGTTATCCATCGAAATCCCTCGAAAGATTAGATAGCGCTGATATGAGATTTAGACCGCCGCCACCTCCATATCCCGCGGTCAGGATTCACGACGATTCTGAAGAAGCCATTTTGAAGGAGCCACCACCGTATCCTGAAAATATCCATTTGGTTGTCCCACAGCTTGCATATCCGTCTGAGGAGGTGACTGCGAGGTTTATAACTACGCGTTCTCCGAACATCTTGACAGCCCATGCGAGTCATGTGGGGGGAAGCAGTGCACCGAGTTTTTCCAAAACAACGTTCGTACCTCCGATTCCACCGAAAGTACCAAGAACACGGCCATCCGTTGCTCTTGTAGACACATCTTCCAAAACAAACATGATGGTGCCCCGTACGTATTTACCTCCACCTCCTCCACCGGCACCTAGACAGCCACCTCCTCCGCCGCCTCCGGCTCTAGCGACTGTTTACACGAGTCAGTTGTCGCGGTCACAAATAGAACAGTATCAGCAACAAATGTATAGTGATGTCGATTTCGTAGTGTTTCCACTAAAAGAACCTGCGATCAGCAAGCAAGAGTATCTGGAGGCGAAGCAAGGTTCGCTAATGGCCGCATTGGCGCACAGCCCTCCATATATTTATCGTTCTGCTCCCTACCTCAATCGTTACGCTTCAAGTCAAAACCTGTCAGATACGTACATCCAACTTCCGATCTACGGAGCTGCCAGTATTTCGTCTTCCGGCAGTTTGGATCCACCACCTCCCCCATTACCACCCAACAGACCCGGTCGATTTATGCGTACTCGTTCCGACGATAACATATTAAATAGTTTAGAGACGACTCCTCAACCTCCCAGGTTCAGACGCGTGCCTCCTCCACCTCCGCCACCACCTCCTCCTTTACGCGATCGGAAGGTGCACGTCCAAGTACATAAGAACATTGAAAACATTGGTATCGTCGAAACCGATAGAAACTGTACTAGCGGTAGAAATGATACGAACGGTAGTGTGTTGTTAAGTGCCACTGGCGTTTTAAGTAACGAGAAAAAGGACGTGGATGATGCTGCCGCAGCAGCGGCGGCGGCGGCGGCAGCAGCAGCACTAGATATCCGTACTTTGCGCGAGAAAAGCAAGAAAATGGACTTGCCACTCATTTCGGCCCTGTGTAACGACCGCTCGTTAATTAAACAAACTAAAGCTTTCGTCTTGCCGAAACATCCCAACGGGGAGGGTATCAGCGGCGTCGACGTGTCTCCTCACCATCGCCATCACCATCCGGTCGGTAATAGTGTTAGTAAAGTTAAGTATCCTGTGTCAGGTTTAAGCAGCAATCGAATTAATAAGCCAACGCGAAAATTGCCCCCCGTAAGCCATAGGCACCCAGGAGACAAGTTACCCGAAATACCTCGGGACATTCCTCGTGCTACCCCTAACAATTACGTGCTTCAAGATCCCAGAATCATTAAGCATAAAACTATGCAATCCTTTCCGAGTGCAAATATGCGCTAAACAATAATAATTTCAAGCATTTAATTACAAAATAATATGCAAAGTTATTCACTTGCAATTTTGTTAACCATCTTTACAATTATATTAAATTTGTGAACAGATGTTTTTGAAATTAAAATGTTGATATTATTTTGTAAGAAAATGTGTTATTTAAGTTCAGTCCAGTGCTAGAGTAGATCTGTTTGCTCAGGGTGCCATCACATAATATTTACAAACCATGTATAGTAAAATTGCAGCGTACAGACATAAAATGAGTATTTCGTCAATGAGAAACATTCCGCTAAAATGCATTCCAAAAATATATACACATGTGTGCGATCTGGTTCTTATTTTATAAAATTTTAATAATTATTATAACCATGTAAGGATTTGATTTTATTTTGTCTAATAAGCTGTAAATTATTTCTATTTCATCCAATATATGGTAGGGTTGAAGAGTATTTTTATTATCAATCGTATGTACGCATTTGCTCAATCATCATTAAAAAAGTAAAGGTCTTGTATTTCAGTTGTAATGATTTTATTTATTTTGCAGTCGTGTTCGCTCAGTTTTAGTTTATTACGGTGCTGCCATCATTTTATGATTAAAATTATAGCTAAGTAAATTTTTACACACCGAATTCTATGTATTATTTCGTTCCTTTCCGAATTGTATACCTAATCCTAATTCCTACCATACTGACGTTGATGGTTAAGCTAGGTACATATAAAATCTACACCTATTTTCTTCAAAAATTTTAAAATGCTACCTATTTAAGAAGTGTATTGTACTCATGAAGTGTTTATTTGTTCAAATATCCATAAACAAAATATCTATATGGAACGTATTGTGTTACGAAAACAAAAGTATGTATGACCAGAAATAAATTTAACTCCGAAGGACGAAATGAATGTAAAACAATAGTTTAAGAAAAAAAATAGGAAGCACACAGAAAAAATACTCTAACCAGTACCTATCAGATATTTTGTATCTAAAATAGAAGACTACGACCCAGGTTAACTTGCAGTGGTGCCATCTGCATGTCTAAATGTACCTCAGCGAATTATTAAATATTAATTATTTTTTATAGGTATTTTGGCTAATTAAAATTTCGTCATATTTCAATCAATCGCAACGTGGGTTATGCTAAACATTAAAGGCACCGGATAAATATAGTTACTAGAATTCATAACGTTCCTACCTTTTAAAAATAATAGCCTTGTTCGGGTATTGTCAACTGCCTATTCCTTTAAATCTCATCCATCAGAAAAGAAATGCGAGCAACACTTTCCGATTCGCGCCAACGAGAGCAAACGTTTTACTATAAACACAAAATGTACGCGTTTAACCGATCACTTGCACTACAATAATACTATACAATTATAATACAATGTATAGGTGACATTTCTACATAATACATAAGTTATTATAACATGTGGTTATTAATAATGAAAACACCGAGAGCATGTCACGAAGCACCTACAATGAAATAGTCAACTTAACTAATTCTTGTCGTACGGAAAAATGGCCGACACCTGCTGCTACGGACCAATGCTACCAGCTGTCGGAACAGTAACACACTAGTGTTTCATTTGAATTTTGCGCGGTAATACCAATTCGTTGTGTCTACTTACCGTTTACCTTAACTAAAATAATTATAAACTAGCAGAGTGAATTTAAATAACAATTAACAAAGAAATAACTTTACAAGTTTATTTAAAACGGTACTATTCAAAATGTTTGGTCTGTTTTGTTTGAGAAATATGTAATAAAAAAAAAAGATTAATTAACGAATACTATTACTGATTCACCTGGCCAAAGGGATATATTTTTAAAGGATAGACTTTCTAGTTTCGATTCGGGTGTGGGTCCTATTATAATTTCTCCGGAGTACAAATATTTCGATAAATCGGCTTCAAAACGATTTTTGCCCAAATTGGATAGAACCACGTACGATTTTCTCCTTGGGTACCATCTATGCAGTACCATGATTTCATCGTTCGCATATTTTACTTCCGCATTTGCTTTGTTTACGCCATCCCTGTTAATAGAATTTAAGTAAATCGCTGGCGAATCACTTCGTAAAATGACTGCTTTAGAAATGAGTTCTAACTGATTGAAACTGACGGTCGCTTGAATCCCATGATTCCATGGTAATAAATCTTTCCGAGTAAATTGTCTTTCGGTTTGTTCCCATTTCATTGGAGCTAAATGGTGTAAATGTTCAACATCTTTCCTGTCTCCATGCAAATCAATGATTCGTGTCAGGCCTATTTCATCACCATAAAAAATACAGGGTGTCCCAGGAAGCATCATTTGTAGAAGTGTAGCCCCTAAAGTCCCGTTTTTGTAAGGAAGACGATCAGCCATACGCACGCTGGACTCATCACCCAAAGTCCATAGGATCCAAGGCATGTTAGCTTTCGAAAACAGCGTACTGTTAAATATCGACGAAAAAAAATTGCTTAGTTTAAGCGTACCTTCTTCTATAGGTACGTTGACCTTTACCAGATCGACATTCATGTAAATGGTATTTACGGAACTTTTGGGTGCCACGTTTAAAACTGCTTCGTCTATTATAAGGATTTTGTCTTGGCCGACAATTTTCTTCCAACGTCTCAAGAATTTCGGAAAGTCGTTGCTGTTCGCGAAATGTTCGATACCTTGCAAAAAAAAACCATCGACTCCTTTCTCCAGCCAAAACTCTGTTATGTCCCCTACGGGATCATCTACTATCGCATTCGTCGAATTCAAATTCAGTTTCTCTTCAAGATGTCCTAGTTTTTTTAAATACGGCCAAAGTGGCAGGTCGAGAACAAGCGAAATGTTTTTCGTATGCATTGTATTTACCATTATTGCAAAATCTTTTATATCTCCCAGCGGCGTGGCAATTTTCGTAAGCGACGTGTTGTTTTTGTAATCATCCGGATAATCTTTTGATACAAAAATGGAGTTCAAACGTAATATTCGTACTCCTAATGATTTGAGATAGTTTGCCTTAAGGGAGAGCCCCTTGAAATCTCCTATACCGTCACCGTTCGTATCGGGAAAACTAGCGGGAAAAACTTCGTACATTAAATTCCCTTGATACCATTGCGTGACGGGGTTACATTTTTTCGGCAGAGTCCAAATCATTGCTATAACAATCCCCAACATTGCTACCATGATCGACAAGAACATCCAAGCCGAAATTTTCCTTATTAGAATCCAGTTCCATTTCATAAAGAAATAATTTTCGGGAGGATTCTTAAAAGTCATTTGTAACGGTTGCACTTTACCAGGGGCTTCCTATAAACAGTTTTATTTCATCTACTGTGAATATAGTATGAGATGCAGTTATAATTTTCCATGCCACATACGTTTACCTAATGATTTAATAAGAAAGTAATCAAGTACCTGAGTGACAATATTTTCGTCTTTGGGCATATGAAGATAGTGATTGTTCAGTAAGGTTGTCGATGGAGGTTCTGCTAATGAGCAGTTACTGGAAGAAGTAGATTTTTTATCTGACTGATCTATATCTAAAACAAATTCCCTCTTCCAATTTGTTGCATGATGATTTTTAATTGCATAACGCCTTATCTACCTTTCATGTGTTTCAATTTAATGGCAAGCTCATCTGGATTTATGTAATTGTCAATGTTTTCTTGTTCTTCCGGCAATGGGTTTATGAGTGCGTTTGTAGGTGGAGAAGGTGTGATAAGCGCACACGTTGATGTTGTATCATCTCCCAAATATGACCTTGCAGTCACTGGATTTTGCACTCGTAATAAACCTTCCATTGTTAACTTTCCGCTTGCAAATAAAAAATTACTTCCGTGGAGCACGACACTTGATATTTTCGTAAAACAAATGGCGTCGCGTTAATTCACAATTTAATGAATTGACATCTCTACCAATGCATATGTGTTTATTACATACCATTGTACATGCTAGATGCATGTACAGGATTATATTACTGTATATATTAATGTGCTAAACGAATGAGTACAACGTCACGTGGTTGTCATTTGTGCCAAGACAAAAATAGCAGTCCATTTGTTGTGAATTTATTGTACGATCGTCTTGGCGTCGGCGTCGCGACGTCGACGCGCGAATAAGGTTGCAAATCGATTACGCTTTTCCAACAGAGAGCGCTTTGTACCCAACAGTTTCTATTTACATTTCAAATTTGAGAATAATTTGCAGAAATCTTTGTTCGTTAACTAATTTTAGGCATATTATTTAACTTTAGAATTCACTTTGTATTTAGTGTAAGTTCTAATTGAAAAAATAAATCAGTTAAATCAACTTATGTTCTTGTGACAATTACAGGCTGCTACACCGATATTGGTCTGTTTCGTTTTTAAAAAACAGATTTCACTACACACACTTAAATTGTAAGGGTTAATTATTCTAAAAAGTAACAAATTGAATGTGGAAAACAGAGCCAACCTTTTTGGGAAAAAAGCAACAGAAAATAAAACCCTTTGGCTCCGATTACTACATTCAATTGATATAAAAAAGGTAAAATTGTGAGGCGAGAAACAAGGAAAATGAAATTTTAACTACGTGCTGAAAAGAAGAAAAAAGTATTGCATTGGACGTAAAGCGAACGGGAGTCGCCAGGACGCCAAGGCGAACATTAATTATAAATTAAATTTTACCTGTGTTAATGGCACACAAATTATTTTGTGCACATCTATAGCACAATACCTTTCTTATCATGTTTGTTAAGTATCATTTCCCTCTTTTTGTAATAAATGCCGAAAAACCGCACCAGAAATTTGGACGTTAACGTATTAATATTATTTAAGATTTAGTTTAATTGTATCGCCTTAATACCTACAATATATTTTGAATAGCGAAAGATCATACAATATTTCTCTGGGAAGTACCTATGCATGTACTTCCAGCATGTTTTCTTCTAAAACCATAAAAAAAAAATAAGAAATGGATTTGGTTAGAAAGAGAATGGCGTAACAGATAATTTTTAGCATAAGGTAAATAATTAATTATAATGTATGCTTTTTGCAACAATTTACCTACACAAGTGGTTATTCGGAATAAAAATTAGTTACTTTCCCAAGTTCGCTTCTGTGCAATCCAGAATTTCTTATCAGCGTAATGTGATAACTATGATGACCCTTAATAACAATAATAATAATAATAATATGCTTCTGAAAGTCTTTGATAATTGTTATTTCGAAAGATCCATCAAAGAGCGAAGGTCAAACAGTGCTTTCAGAAGTGAAAAACAATGTTTTATAATTTTCATCAAACGGAAGGATATGAAACTTGGGTAAGTATTTGATCGTAGTACCTAATTTACTTTCATTTGTAATTTATTATTATATTTTTTAATAATAATGTGATAATTGTTTTTGCTGGTTAGAAAATTGGAAAGTAATTTAATGGAGTTATCGTTTTCGAGAATAAAAACGATACTTAGTCCGAAAAAGGTTTATAATTTGGTATCTGTGCGTTCCTGCTGCGTCTTGCTCGACATTTATCATATAGAAAGTCCTTGGAATGGCCCTTGATTTTTTTGCTGGTTGTTTAGGGGGTAAGTGGCGATGATTTTTTATAATTTTGTTTCGTTGACTTCGGGTGTTAGTTGAAAAATGTCATTGAAAAGGTGTTTTTATCTTATATGACATTAACAATTTATTGCGTTAATATGTTACGAGATATTTTACGCATCGGTTTCAGAAAATACTGAAAATTTTGCTGGGAATGTCTATTTTCTTAGAACGATCGGAATTTTGTTGGGGTAACATGATGACAGCAGAACTTTTCACAATAATATTGTGTTTATGTATAATAAGTATATAGCTAAATAGAATACATTAAAGTCATCATACTTTTATCTGCTGCAGTGGAGCAGTAAACCTAATAAGTCAAATAAGTAATCGTTGAACACTACTAATTACTAGTCGTGAATCGTTTTCATTCAAATATCGAGCAAATAACAGAAAATTAAATATTTTTGTTTAGTTATCTGCAGTTGGGCAAGAGTATGTTCGTATATAAAGATATATCTACAAATATATCATTTAGGTACTAATCGCAAGTAATTGTATTATATATTTTATGTATACACTAACTATATATATATGTATGTATAGTATTTTTGTTCGATTTCTTTATGAACGCGAAAAATGAAAAATGTAGATACAATTATTGTTTTCATTATTATTTTCATTCGTTTGTTTTTCGTTACATTGTTTGATAAAATAGTAAAAACAATAATAATTAATGATGGTTACTTGTTATTGGATTACATGTTTATTATACCATGGAAAGCATGTGAAAACGTTTACATTCATCCAATAACGAAAAGGTCCCGTACATTATAAGCTTATCCCACATTTATTGCAGGTTGTGCGGGAGTAATAGTGGGACATCCCTTTGACACTGTGAAAGTGATTTTGCAAACGCAAATGCCGAATGCTGAAAGAAAATACGCCGGCACAGTTGATTGTGTCAAATCGCTAATGGTAAGGGAGGGTCTTCGAGGCCTCTACAGAGGTGTGAGTAGCCCTTTGGCGGGGGTAGCAGGGATCAACGCCGTCGTTTTCGGTGTTTATGGGAATGTGCAGAGAGCTATCGGCGACAGCAATAGCGCTTTATCTCATATTTTGGCAGGATCCGTGGCGGGCCTGGTGCAAAGCGTTCTTTGCGGACCCATGGAACTGGTCAAGTCAAGATTACAAGTCTCCAGCAAGCACATGGGCATTTTCGAGTGTCTCAAGCGAATATACGACGTCGAAGGACGGAGGGGACTTTTTCGGGGATTATCTATGACAGTAGCACGCGACGTTCCGGCATTCGGGATATATTTTGCTTCTTACGAAGCGATGACACGATCTGACGACAACACGTCCGTTTCGGTGACGAAATTATTGTTGGCCGGTGGTTTGGCGGGAATGTTTTCGTGGATCGTGTTTCCGGTAGACGTGATAAAGTCCAGAATACAAGTGGACGGATTGGATGGGAAACCGCTGTATAAAAACAGTTGGAATTGCTACCTCAGAAGTACCGCTACGGAAGGCTACAGGTGTTTGTTTAGGGGATTTCCCATTGCTATTTTAAGGGCGTTTCCAGTGAATGCGGCCTGTTTTACCGTTGTGGCGTTAACGCTTCGACTTTTCGACCAAGATAAGACGCATAATGAAAAGAACATTGTATATAATTACGGTACAGACAAGAATGTGTTCATGCCAAACTACGAATCTTCCTTAATGTACGCAACATTGTAAATATGTAATTAACTAGTAATATCGAATATAAGGCGTCCCTATGTAGGTATCATAAAGAATAATAAATTATTTTTGGAGACATGTAGTTATATTTATTGAAGGCGTTTGATAACCCTGGGGGGGTTCAAAATACGAATTTCTAGTCCCCTTTAGAAATCAACTTCATCGAAATTGAACCTCTACCTATGCACATTACTGTTATTGATTCATTAGAGCATTGATTTTATTAATATCGTGCAAAAGTTCGAGTCCATTTTTTATTTTACTAACATACGAATTTTTAACTTTGTTCAATTTGGAGGTCCTGTAACATTACAGCAGCTGCTAGCTACATACGTCCCTGACCTCCTACACGAAAAGGTAGGTACCCATAAAAAAGTATAGTACGATATGAATCCTAGTCCACAAGGGGCATTACGTACTTTTTTATGTGCCAAAAGAAAACAATATTTCAGATCCCGAGTGTAGTAATAAATGTAATTCCGGTAACGTTGATTTATGTTGGAAAACCGCCAGCAAAAGGTACGTTTGACGTAAGCTCCACCACCGTCTTCTGAAAGATTTATCGGGATCATAAATATGCATACGCATAAGCAAACTCTTTTAACTGATCATCATACATCTGACATGTATTGCGAAAAATGGTCGTAAAGATGAACCAGAAGGAAGGTGAGAACTTGTGAAAATACTTTTTCGCTTCATAAAAATGAGCAACAATGCCGCCTTACGACATGAGCATATTGCTATACAAAATGCGATGTGTGTGCCGCGATTTGTTCGGAATTTGCTCCTACGAACAAAGTTGACTACCGTATACATTTTAAAGTTTTTAACTTTACACAAAAAATACGATCTAAACCCAAACCGAACATTTTAAAGACGTGAACACTAAATAAACTGATACATTAACACCATTCGTTCTACCCGACCGCCTCATATGAAAACGGGCAAACACACCCTACGTTATCTTGTCAATACTTAATATGTACTTGTCGTTCGTTAACAATAAGATTGTAGGTGGCTTGAGTCTGTGTCTAATTATCCTTGTTTTTCCTGCCCGAGAGAATCAGAAATGGCAAAATGGCAGTTTTCGGTTGAAAAAGGCAGCTGCGATACGATAGCCCAAATGACAAATTTTAGACTAATCACATTTTGACACTTCATCTTATATTCATCAATTTTACGTTTCACATTTCAATCAAAATTATTCGTGCAGGAAAATCTTATATCTTCTGCTAGCAAGGTACATACCGGGCCATCTCCAAATGATTGGCGAAGAGGAAGCTCCTGAAAAACCACTCGTTGGTGAAGCCAGATGCATGAGTATACAGGCGATGCAAGAGCTGAATCAGCTCAGAGAGAAGAATCAACTGTGCGATGCTACCATTATTTTAGACGACGGGACTCAAGTCCCGGTCCACAAAGCTCTCCTGTGTGCTTGCAGCACTTATTTCAAGTATTTGTCGTTTGTAGCAAATTATTAAATTCCATGTTGACGACTAGATAGTGTCAATAGTAAGTTCGTTTATTTTAGGGCCCTTTTCACAACTCCTTTGCATGGTCAGAGTAAATCGATCGTGAATTTACCTGGGGTGTCATCTGACATGTTACACTCGCTCCTCTCCTATATATACTTGAGAAAGCTGGACATAAACGACGAAAATGTCTATCAGTTTCTAATAACGGCCGATTATCTGAGCCTATTAGGGGTTCTGGAGGTTTGTTGCAAGTATTTAGAATTCAAATTAAATCCGGTCAATTGCATCAAGATCCTCCTCTTCGCACGGGCGTATTTTTGCCAAGAATTAGCCGACTACGCTTGGAAGTATATAATGCGCCACTTTGTCGATATCAGTAAACAGAACGACGATATTTTAAACTTATCGTTGCAAGATTTTCGGGAAATCATAAACTCGGATGATCTAAACGTGAGAAGCGAAGAAACCGTCTGGGAGGCCATACTGCGTTGGATCAACCACGATCCGGATACTCGACGAAAGCATATCGTTGTATTAATGAAATGTATCCGCTTGGGTCTTTTGGACACTCAGTTTTTTCTAGAACACGTCAAAGATCATCCGTACGTTACCAGTTGCGAAGAAAGCCGTCCGATGATTATCGAAACTCTGAAATTCCTTTACGATCTGGAGATGATAACGCACAGGTACGTGTTACGGGCAAACCATAACTATTTTGCATAACAGTGATCTTTTTTCAAGAGATGGAGAGGTTCCCACTCCGGAAATAGCAAGGCCTAGAGTGCCCCACGAAATACTATTTGCCATAGGAGGCTGGAGCGGTGGCTCTCCGACAAACTACATGGAAACTTACGATACCAGAGCGGACCGTTGGGTGAAGGTAGAAGAAGTGGATCCGATGGGCCCAAGGGCCTACCACGGTCTAGCCGTTGTGGGATATAACATCTACATGGTGGGGGGTTTCGATGGGATGGACTATTTCAATTCGTGTCGTTGTTTCAACGCAGTCACCAAGACATGGAAAGAAATCGCTCCTATGCATGCCAGAAGATGTTACGTGAGCACCACCGTTGTCAACGACATGGTGTACGCCATGGGCGGATACGACGGTCACCATCGACAAAACACGGCAGAAAAGTACAATCATAAAACCAACCAATGGTCACTGATAGCTCCGATGAACATGCAAAGATCGGATGCCAGTGCTTGTACTCTGAACGGTTGGTAATGGTAAAATTTGCCAAACCGACGGTAGATATCTATTTTTGTATTTTTTTGTAGGAAAAATTTACATTACTGGAGGTTTCAACGGTCAAGAATGTATGCATTCGGCGGAGGTGTACGATCCGGACATTAACCAATGGAGCATGATCAATCCCATGAGATCGCGAAGATCCGGAGTCTCCTGTATAGCTTATCACGGTCACGTGTACGTAATAGGTGGTTTTAACGGCATATCCAGGATGTGCAGTGGGGAAAAATTCAATCCCCTGACAAACACGTGGACCCAAATCCCGGACATGTACAATCCGCGCAGTAACTTCGCAATCGAAGTTATCGATGACATGATTTTCACCATAGGCGGTTTCAACGGCGTCACGACGATCTACAATGTGGAATGCTACGACGAAAGAACAAACGAATGGTACGAAGCGACAGACATGAATATCTACAGATCGGCATTGTCGGCGTGCGTCATTAGCGGACTTCCGAACGTCAAAGACTACATCCACAAACACCGCGAACGACTGATGGAGGAAAAGAGGCAGAAGATGATAGCTCTGGAGGCGCAAAGACAAGCGTCAATGGTCAACAATAACGACCACCAAAGAGCTCAACATTCCCAAGCACACGCGCAAAATCTTCAGCAACTGAATATGCTTCAGCAGTTGAACGTGAACGTTCAACATCAGAATCAAAATATGGCATTGCCGCCTGTGCCCAATCCTCCACCCATGCCCATGGATGTTGAAGATGCCAACAACGTCCCAATCAACAATAACAACAACAATAACAACGAGTGAACATTTAATTTATTACCATATTTACCTTTATCGTAAATTATGACTGTGATGACAAATGTGATGTGTGGCATAAGATAAATTTAAATTTGGAGTGGTTATAAACCCGTAGGTGCAACAGCACTATGAGGTCGCTATTTACTACATACACCCCGCAGGGGACCAGGACTTTTTTATACATACATACCTATACTATATAAGACTTTATTTTATACATGTAATCAATAAAATAGAATGTTCCTTTATAGACAACCACATACCTATACCATTAGGTAGGTATCGATGATTCGTTTACAATTTACAACATTTTTTTATGCAGAATAAAGGTCTTATTTTGTATAACAGAACAATGCATCATCATACATCTTCCCGTTCCCTTTCCGTTGGTTTACACAATTAGTTCTTATTGACCAGATCGCTTTAAACTTAATAAGTTGTGTATGGAAGCAGAGTTTACATATGTACATAGTCTTTTCGTTATTATAGGGTTGTTCGGAAAGTCATTTCGTTTTTTCCCGACAGAGGATTTAATTGTATTCTTTTGCACCCAACTTCACATTTAAGCCGTATAATTTTTATATGCTTTGAGAGCTCATATAGCAAGGCTTGTGTGTGAAAAATTCCAATTAATTCTACGCAGTAGTTTTTGGTTGGTGCCCTTTTAAATATGGAGAGCGATAAGCAGCATTTTCGACATATCTTACTGTTTTACTACAGAAAGGGTAAAAATGCTGTTCAAGCCAGAAAGAAATTGACTGATGTGTATGGAGAAGGTGTGTTGACAGTACGCCAGTGCCAGAACTGGTTCGCTAAATTTCGATCCGGCAATTTTGATGTCGAAGATGCACCACGTTCGGGAAGGCCGGTTGAAGCTGATAAAGACGCGATAAAGGCATTAGTTGATGTGAACCGGCGAATAACAACACGTGAGATCGGATTGAGGTTAAATTTATCAAATTCAACAGTTTATGACCACTTGAAAGGCCTGGGATTATCCTCGAAGCTCGATGTATGGGTTCCCCATGTTCTCACAGAGAGAAATCTGTGTCGCCGCATTGACGTCTGCGATTCGCTTCTCAAACGTCACGAAAATGATCCGTTTTTGAAGCGCATCATCACTGGGGACGAAAAATGGGTTGTATACAACAACGTCAAACGCAAGAGGTCATGGAGCAAAAAAGATGAACCGGCTCAAACCATTTCCAAAGCCGATATTCACCAAAAAAAGGTGATGCTGTCTGTTTGGTGGGATTTTAAAGGAATCGTTTTTTTTGAGCTTTTACCGGATAACACAACGATTAATTCGGAAGTCTACTGTCATCAGCTGGACAAACTGAATGATGCACTTCAACAGAAAAGGTCAGAACTAATCAACAGGAAAGGTGTAGTGTTTCACCAAGACAACGCGAGACCTCACACAAGTTTGGTCACTCGCCAAAAGCTTTTACAGCTTGAATGGGATACAATGCTACACCCACCATATTCTCCAGACCTGGCACCATCGGATTATTATTTGTTCCGGTCACTCCAAAATTTTTTAGACGGTAAAACCTTCACCTCAAATGAGGAGGTCAAAAACCTCCTCGATCAGTTTTTTGCCAGCAAAGACCAAAAATTTTATGAGCGTGGAATTATGCTACTACCAGAAAGATGGCAAAAGGTGTTGGACCAGAACGGTCAATATATAATTTAATAAAGTATTTGTTTATTATACGAAAACTGTCTTTCATTTCCACAAAAAAAAAACGAAATGACTTTCCGAACAATCCTATATTTATGTATGATTATGCGATACAAAATTTAATAATAATGGTGGTCACGTCATTTAAAACTCGATGGTTTTCTATTTTTTGACGATAAATAATTTTATATTTCGATCTGAAAAGAAATATGACACACATGTCGGGTTAGTGTGTCAGAGATTCCATTGGAGGTAGACACCCCCAGGAGTAAAAAATTACTGCAGTTATTGAATTCTTCTTGCCATTTGTATCCATCAACATATTATATGTATAGACATCCTTCAATAAACTGTTCGAGATAGATTTTTATCAATGGATGAATATCACAAAAGAAATTTCGCTTAATACGATTAGGTGTTATTTGCATGGTGCGAATTTATTAGCGAATATTTCTAATAGTTATTAACATGGTTAGCACAAGCGTGACGATTACGTTTGTTTATTAAAAATACACACGTAGTAAGAAATACATAACGCAATACACATATACATATACGTAATATATAGAAAAGGTGGTGAATTCACGCCTCCACCTGTTACGGTTAAAAATTGTGATTTGAAGCGCCGGCGCGATTGGTAGTCTTCAAATGAAAATGCGTATAACAAGGGTGCTTTTTTTCACTTTATCAAACTCTGAAGTTACAACCCCATGACGCTCTTCTCCTATCTTACAATTACTATATCAGTATAATTTGAGACTGGCACAGACCAAAACAAAAAACTACCGAATTCTTAGTTTCACAGGTCAGCACGTAAGTAGTTTTTAAATCATTTGCTATCTTTATTTAATAAAAAATTATAAGAAGAACCGTACACGCAACCACTTTTTATTCATATTTCAAATTAATGTAAAAACAAGAAAAAGAAAGAGAGTTCTTTAGTTTACAATTGTACAATAAATTTCCAATGTGCTTTTTCCTTTGCAGGATTGTTAAAAAGAAATGCATTTCAAATGTGTTACCGTCTTGGTATTTGTTTCTGCATTGGTCAAATGTCAACAAATTATAGAAGTCGATAGTAATTTGGACCCGATAACAACTCTCGACTGTCATAGACGAATGTATACGTACAGGGTGACCCAAGAAGATGAAAATGGGAAGCAGTGTTGGGATACCATAACTGTCATGGCTTGTTGGGGAAGATGCGATACCAATGAGGTACGTTATAATTTTCGTATTATTAACCGATTTTAATAGACAGGGGAAGAACCTACATGGGCGATTACCTTACGCGAACCGAATAAAAGTGACCCTTGAAATGTCTGCATCAATTTTATTCCACTTTCATGGGTGGTTGATTCGCCTATTGTGACGTATAATATAGGGTGGTTAAAAATTACTTTTTCACTAATAGAAAATAATACAGTAATTATTTTTACCTTTTCGTGTCTTAATCGTGAGTTTTTACAATAAGTTTTTTCTATCTTTTATAGATTTCCGACTGGCGTTTTCCGTTTAAGAAGTCAAATCATCCCGTGTGTGTTCATCATGGACGAAATAAACTCCTTGCAATTCTAAGACACTGCGAAGAAGGCGCACTTCCTTCCGCTGCCCGTTACGAGTACCTCGAGGCTGCCAGTTGTCGATGTCAGACGTGCTCTTCGTCGAACACGAGCTGCGAAGGTGTTAGATACCGACCTCATAGATCTCACCCTGACGTTATGGGTTTTGGCGACAAAATTTAATTAAACCATATAACGGCGCTATTGTTCGTATTCTTTTTCTCATTCGCCTTTATCAGAATTTATTATTATTGTACGGAATTGCCGATTGTATAGGTACCTCTATCTACCTAACTAACGTGCAAAAATGTATAATAATGAAACGAAAAATTGTATTTTCTATTTAATTGTGTGGGTTGTTTACCTATGTAAAATGTCAATTTAATGAAAAAATAAATGACTGAAAACAATTCTCTGCTTTTCTTTTTTCTAACGAATGACGACAAATAAAAGTTTGACATTTAAAAAACCCCAGTGTTCGTAAAACAAGTGTAATCGACGACAGTTTTTTTAACGAAAGAAAAACTAATTCTTGAATTAATTGATTTGGTAATTAATTATTCAATGAAATGCAACTGCTACCGATAGACAAACGTACACTTTTTTGTAGTGCATTTATTTCATTCCACAAATTTATGCCAAATCACAAAAATTACCCTATCAGAGAATATTTAATGTGCAACTGAGAAACTTTTGGTTTTATTAAAATTTCAAACCAATTAAAAGAGTTCGTCTTATGAACATTATAAACAATGAAGTTATCAATCAGCTCTTCGATTAAAAGAGCTGTTAATGAGTAAGTAACACAGTATACAAGTAATAAATTGCTACAAATAAAATTAATGAAACCCATAAGAAACCTCAACCCTCTTACGATTTCATTCGCAAATCTTTGAAAATGTATCGACCAAACAAAAATAAAAAAAATTCTAACTGTTGTTTTAAACAAATGAATGAATAAAAAAGTACGAAATTGCGTTTTTCGTTTTTTTTTTTACATTACCATTTTTAGCGGATTAATCGTGCGACATGAATTAAGTCGTTCAGTTTACTCAGTCGATTAAATTGCATAAACCATTTCGCTTGTAATGCAAACATTTATTCGTAAATGTGTCTTTTAGTTTCTTAGAAACAAAAATTATTTCGCGATATAGCCTGCATAATCGTGAACATTTCGAGAATTTTAATTTGAAAGATGAAAAACGGTACGTTCAACAGTGACATTATCATGGAAAAGAGTAATTTCTTCCCACTTTTCAGATAAGTTTTTTTAAATTAATTCTCACATTAACTACGAACAAATCTGTAACTTTACCTAAATACATAATACATCTCTATATAAAATACATGAGTGGCATTTCTGTTATAAAATCAAAGTATATAGCATTTACCTATTATATATAGTAAAAATTTGTATCCTTTTATATTCAAAAGGGTAGCTGTTATTTACTGTATACATATATATAGGAGCCATAGGGCTAAGTAATATTTACATTATTATTATATATATAAGTATAGAAATGTATTTTCTGCCTCGTAAATTATTATCGATGAGTTTTGATGAAGAGGCTAATGGACAAAATAATGATTGAATGAAAATGTAATCTTTAGACCCTTATCATGTTTTTGCAAAGAGTAGGTGCATTTAATGTACGCCCCGATAATTTTTTAATTATTCACCTTAGCGATGTAAACAGCGAATGAAAAGAGTGGCAACCGAACAAAACCTTGCATTTTAATTAATTGTAAGCGAAGTCGGAATCATATGCAGTTGGCTGTATTTTTACGTTTTTTAAAAATCGAAACCGAAATACACTTAAAATTTTACTAGATAAATAAATATCTAATAAGCAAGCGTGCTTAATTAGGTGTTTGGTAATTTATTAAGTTCTAAAAATAAAAACGCCGACTATAGTACCTGTTTACGTATTAAACAATTAAGAATTTTAGGCAATGTTGTACTCAACAATAGCTGTATGTTAAATAAAAGACATCAAAATTCAATGGAAATACCTATAAAAAATTATCGAAAGACAAATTCTAACAGTCGTCCTTTTCCACTTCATCTTGTTTGTTTGCTATAGTTTTCTGAACGATTCATTCTTGCGATAATTCGACAAAATAATAGATATAATACACGTAAATAAAATATCAGACTCACCCTCTCTCCGAAGAAAAAATAGTAACTGTTAACCAACATACTTTTAACACGCGTTCATCACTACTAAATGATTTAGTTGTTATAAACGGAATAAAAACGAATATTTCATCGCACAACAATGCAGCTGTCTGACAGTTTGCTAAAAATATCTCAACAATGGTCTAAGATAATAGAATGACATACTGCTGTTGCCAATAACTGCAATCTGTATGATCTATGATATGAATATTGGTTTTATGCTTTTTTAATAAATACATTAAGCGGTATTGAAAACAGAGATAAAACATCAATATACTGTTTTATGGCGGATCTTGTAGGAAATCTTATTATATCCTACGTACTTAAACGATTTATATTATTAATGCCCTCATTATAAAGTTTTAAAAATAAACAAATAAACTATCATCTTTGGTTAAATAACCAGGCATTTAACGAAATATAAGACTTACCCTATCAGAAGAGAGGAACCATGAAAGTCACGGTTAACCAACACACTCTAAAGTCACGTTTACTACCACTGAACGATTTTTAAACATTAAGTGTAGGTATATCGACTAAAAACTATAATTTCAACTGTCTGTCAATTCGCTAAAAATAAATCAACAACAATGGTCTAAAACAACAGAATGGCACATTACCAATGTCGTGGTGGCAGGTTACGATGACTTTTTAACTACAAACTCTATGAAATGAAAACCGGTTTGGTGGATCTCAAACAAATAAGGGGGATAGTGTATATCTTTTAATGGAGGAACTTGTACGAAATTTTGTTATCCTTGCATATTTTATTATTAAATTAACCTCTAGATAACATAAATCAGAAGAATTTATATTTATTTTTCTAAAGTAATCAGCCAGTATAATATATTTACAATTTCTTAATTTACGAACTTCACTAGTAATATATTTATTTACACTTCAGAGCAAAGTTACTATATATTTATGCCTTTTACTTCCGTTATTTGTGAAATGAAAAGCATCCATATACAGTCATTTCTATTTTTTGTTTAATTTAGTCTTTTTTGCAATGATAACATGCACAGGAAACAGCTGACTTAAAAGTCAGGGTTCTGGCACCATCCACACAATAAACTCTTGCTTCCACTAGTTCGGTATCCATTATGTTGCAACACTGTCCAACAGAAGTAACAGGTTGATTCGAACTTGTTTTTGGACCAGAAGGTACAGCCCAGCTTTCGCAAAATCCCCGACATGCATTTGTTGTCATATGAAATTCGACACACCCTGGTATACTGATTTTTCTTGTATGTCCTTCAAAAAAAAATTAATGGGCGTCATTAAAAAAATGACTATATGTTTTATGCCTTAAAAAACGAAAAACACCTGTTTATAAATATTTAACAAAAAAAGTAATTTAGGTAAGACAATAACTTTTATCTAAACAGGTAATTTTCGCGCTCTTTAATCCTGAAGACATCTAAAACATCCCCTATTTCGATAAATGAGAACGTATTTCGTTAAAATAAGCACAAGTATTTTTTTGGTTTAATGAAAAATAGATCAATACTTATATGTATAAATTCTAGAAATAATATACGTATTTATTATTTTTTTTTTTTNAAAAATTGTAACTGATCTTGATAATAATTTACCTAATTTATGAATTTATTACCTATTTTATGGCATCCTGGCTGCTTCCAGGAATCCTTTGATGTTGTTAATGTTAAAAGAATGTGGCAGATAAAGATAAGCATTAAAATTCTGTAGGAAGACATCCTGAAAGGGTAATTCATATAGAAATATTTTTTTATTTTTAATTTAATAACTGGAGTAAAAGGAAAAAAATGAAAGTATAATTATCATTAATAATAATTATAATTACACGAACAAAGATATAAAACGACAATATTAAAAAATTTCTTACGTGCGGGGTGTTAACCGCCGATATCGGGATATCACAAGAAAGCACACAGACACCTGGACGTCCCGTTCAGGAATGAAACTCTTTACTACCCCTATCTCCTAGACATATATCCTGTCTCATTCTTGTACTTTTATCCCCACTTGGGGTGCCATTTTCACCTCCGCAAAACTTGGCGCATTTATCGTCAACACTTTATGATGATTAATAGCAAGAATAAAAAGATATTTTTAGATTAATTTTAATAATTAGATATTTTTAACGCTTAATAAGAACCAATGGAACAATTTGTATTTTTTACGCTGTGTGCTGTAGATTAAAGCATCATATCATAAGGTGTTATGTTTTAGTCAATAAATTACGGGTCCTAAGAATTGCAGTTTTTTTTTGAAAAATGTCTTTTTATATTTATTATTATTTTCAAGAATATGCTATACTTAATATATAAAAAAGAGAAGGCTTAGATACAACAAAATATCTCATACTAATATTAATTCTATTCAATATTGTATTTTTTATATAATTTGAAATTGTATTTACTGTTATGTATTAAGTTATATTTATGTAGGTATTCTAAAATACTTAAATACATACACACACGTATGTCTGAAATTTAATTCAAAATTGGAACCGTCGCGCCATCTGCGTTAGAATAGTCAAAATAGGATGAATGTTAAATGCACAATTTATTTTCTTGTATTTGAAAACCTTAATAAATACATAAACCTTTTGAGAAATAAACACGCTTCTAATGTTGATAATACTCATATTCAATGTGGACAAAACGCATGTTCGTTTTCAAAAGGTATTTGTGGTAATTAAAGGTAAGTTTTCTTTGTTATTATTATCTTATATTTGAATTTTATTAAAAATCTGAACTAAGGCGCCACCTGTATTATACTAGTAAAAGTAGCGTAACGTTTACTTTTTTAAACTTAATTAAATGTTTTAGTTAATTAAATAAGCATATTTCTAAGTACTGAAGATCGTTATTAAAGCGATGAAAGCACAATAAAAGTAGAAAGCACAATTTATTTTTTATTTTGAAGATGTTTCTTATTATATACAATATAAGTAACAGTAATTATAATATGAAGATGTTTCTTATTATATACAATATAAGTAACAGTAATTATAATAACTTATTAGAGTAACAGATTGCATTTTAATGAACTAATTAGATTACTAAGGCGAATTTAAAAACATTGCAATAGCTGGATCTTCTGCTTCGTACGTGACAAGGACGTCTCTAAATTTATCAAGTAATGCCAATAATTGACCTCGTCTTAGATTTTCTAAATACATTATTTCCTCTAGGTGATGCTCTCCAAGAAAATATTGTTTTCTACACAACTTTGCGAAAAGATTTAAATCATCGGAATTAGATGAAGACGGTATCTAAAACAGTATATATACATATACATATACTTGCTTACATTTAGAATTAAACATAAGTAATTTAAAAAATTCATTAGCAACCTTGTTAAAATATACCTCTGTATGATATGTTTTTTAACTTTGTTTTAGTGTTATGTTTACATCGTAAATCTAAATTTATAATTATACTTTCGTATGCAGTGGTTCCTTTTGTTTTATACGAAATTTACTGATGTCAATAAATAAACAAACAAATAAATAAAATTTCTTTACCCTAAAAATTATATTACGTTCCTCTTCTGGAAAGTCAAGCAGTAAGTCTTCGTGGTAGTCGGCTTTTTCTTCTTCCACTGACGTAAAACTGCTATTTGGTAAACTAAAATGAAACAAACATCAGCAAAAAACATTTCTACAAAAAATTAATGCATTACATACTTTATGCTTGTTTGCAATTCGGATTGTGTACGAGGTTCTGGTGTACCAGAATTTAAAGACATTTCACTTTCAGATTCAGTTCTAGAAGAACGATAAACGCCTGCTATTTCATTGGTACCGTTACTTCTAAAACTGTAAGACCCTGTTTTAATTTCTGACCTGCAATTAAATATATGACATAAAAGGTTTCCTTTCATAGGAACAATTTAAACATTAATAAATAAAAAGAAAAGCTAACATGTTGTGCTGTAATCTGCCATTATTTGAAGGTATATACATTACATAAGTATGTAATTGTAACAACAAATGGTGTTGTAACATCCAAATTATCATTTGAACTAATTGTGACTGCTGTATGGGGTGACAGAGAGGATTACATTTTTGACCCAATGACATGGGCAATGAAAAATCACTAATAACTCTAATCAGATTCACATTTGGAAAAGCCTCATTAAATTTTTCAATTAATGGAGAATTTAAATGAAGAGGTGCATCTGGAGCAATAACGTATTTATTTGTTGAACAAATTGGATAAATAACTGTAGCTTTTGCCCAGTAAACAAGATGTGCAGTTAATTCAAATACCTGTAAATAATGTAATATGAATTATGTATTAAAATTATTTTGTGCATTTTTCGAAAACTACCTGTGATAAAGTAATATCAGAATCAATGGCCAGAGTCTGAAGACTTTTTAGTGGGGAATACTGAGACAACATTCTAACAAGAGATGGAGACCCATCTAAAGACATAAAATCATAAAGTTGATGTAAAGGATAAAAAAGCAGTAAGCTGTGGTAGGGACGCAGAGCTTTAAGACATCTGTAACTCAGTGTACATCTTAAAAAAATTAAAATTAAAAATATATAACCATTTTATGATACCTATCAATGTCTTCAGGTTCTACAATTTTTCCCCTTAAGTGCCATTGGTGGACTTTTTGAGGTAAACAAAAACTTAATGGAATCCATTTATTAATTCTTATATTTACTATACCTAGAAATTGTGTAGACATTATAATTAATCACTTTTGTTAATAAAGAAATTACCTGTATTACAAAGATCTTCATACAAGTTGTTTATATTTTTTGCAAGCGTGCATTTTTCTAAAATAGTTTGAAATGCAATCTCAGGTGTCCCAATACAACTGTCATCATGAATAGCCATCATTTGTTGTGTCTGTTCTGATATATATCCACATCTTCTTTCTTCATGTCTTAGAGCAACACCTACTCTTTTACTTAAATCATAATAGCACTTTACTGAAAACACAATTTCTTCTGTAATTGAACTTTATATAGTGCTTACTGCTTACCAACAGATTGACTAGCTAGGGCTTGTAAAGCAAATACAATGTTGAGAAGAAGTCCTGATTCATCTTGAGTCTTATTTCTCACTTGAACTAAAGTTGGATGACTAACGAATCTAACGTCGTTTACTTTCAATTCAAATTTCTGATTACATAGTTCAGGCTTAACAGCAAAAAGGGAGGATAACACTTCATCAGTAAAACCCATAAGACCACCTTTGTTATTTATATTTGAAATTGGTAATGGTGGTGACTGAAGTAAATCTTCTGTAGCAGGTAAAGAATATTGATTTTTCTTTCTGGTACTGGTCGGTTCTATTCTTTCTTGAACTTGAAAAGGATAACGAAAGAGTAACCTGTCTCCTTTGCTGTCTGATTTTATTAAAATAATGCATAAAGGGTTCACTTCCATTTTGAGTTAAGTAAACTGTTTATTTTTTAAGTATTACATTTTTTGCTTCACTGAAACGCTGCAAAAAAATACAAAACTTTACACTCTTATTTTAATTTTAGTATTATAAAAATTAAAAACAAACTTAACCTAAATTAACCACCATAGATGATAGATATACAAAGGGTAACCACTTTAACAACGTCCTTGAAATAAATTGGATTCATAGATAAGCACTACTGCATATGACTATTATAATTCTATTGATAGTAGTCGACCATTGAAGTGGATAGGAGGGGTATCTGTAGTTTAGTTCAATGTAGTCGACTCTTGAACTAGACCTCCACTTCAATGTTGTCGACAGATTGACTATTTCTATGATTCTATAGATATTTACCAAATCAAATGCAATGACAAGATAACATTTATCTATGACTGTAACATAACCTACTTATTAATTGTCAAAATTGCCAAATATGAGTAAACTAATTTTTATTTTTTTTAAACGATATAACTCGGTTGTTGAAATAGAATAAAAATAAACAAATGTATTGTGTATTATGTGTTATTAAATAGAGTTTGCGATACTCATATATGTACATAGTGGTGCAACATAATCGTAATTTTGAAATGGGTAATCAACTTGTTGGTATTGCCCCTTCGCAGATTTATCCTGTGGAGCACTATTTAACGGAATTAACAGATTTAAAATTTGATATCAGGTAATGTTTTTATTTATAACAATCGAATGATTAAAGATTTAAATTTCTTTAGTATGGGAAGTACAAGATTTTTAAAAGTGGCACGTGCAGAATCACAGGAAGGTCTTATTGTTGTTAAAGTATTTGCTATACATGATCCTTCACTTCCTCTCCAGCCGTATAAAGACAGATTAGAAGATATTCGAATAAAACTGAGTTCTGCTGTGAACTGTTTACCATTTCAAAAAATAATTGTTAATGATAGGGCAGGTTTAATAATTAGGGAATATGTTAAATATAGTTTATATGATAGGATAAGTACTAGACCGTTTTTAACTACTATTGAGAAGAAATGGATTACATTTCAAGTTCTCTATGCTTTGCACCAGTGTCACAAAGTGAGTACAGATACAGAAATCCTTTTGATTTGAATAAAACAAATATATTTAAAAGGTTGGAGTTTGTCATGGAGATATCAAATTAGAAAATATAACTATTACTTCTTGGAATTGGATATTGTTGGTGGATTTTGCATCATTTAAACCAACATTTTTACCTGAAGATAATCCTGCAGATTATTCTTATTTCTTTGACACTTCTCGTAGACGTACTTGTTACATTGCTCCAGAGAGATTTATGAAAACTTTGAATTCTGACAGTTTATCTATATTGACTGAAACTTTCTGTAAACCTGGTGATCTCAAACCTGCTATGGATATATTTTCGGCAGGGTACGTAATAAGTATAATATGTACTTTCTTAATATATGACTTTACTTTTTTAAAGATGTGCCCTTTTGGAGTTGTGGAACGAGGGTAGTCCAGTTTTTGACCTATCACAGTTGTTAGCGTACCGATCAGGTGACTATTCACCTCAAAGGCACTTGGATAAAATCGAGGATCCTACTTTAAGGTTGTTGTTGTCAAGTATGATGCAAAGGGATCCCAATCAACGTCTTTCTGCCGAATTGTATCTTTCTCAAGAGCGTGGAAGGCTTTTTCCTGAATATTTTTATACGTTTCTTCAGCCGTATATGCAAATTTTCTCGTCTACTCCTATTCTTTCTTCTGATGAAAAAATTTCTCGACTCAAAAAAGACATAAAAAACATTTTTAATTTCTTAAAAACCGGCAAAAACAAAGAGGAAGGGGAAACAGCACAAGAAAACGAAAAAGAGGACGTATCTAGATTAAATTGTATAGATGACAACGGACTTGTAATAATTACGTCTTTAGTAACTTCTTGCATAAGAGGACTTCATGACTGCACTACCAAATCTGAGTCGCTAGAAATACTTCTCTTTTTAGCAGCACACGCGAATGAAGAAGCTATTTTGGATAGAATTTTACCGTATATTGTAAGGAATCAATAACTGATTGTTTATTTTTTTTCATATAGATAATGTTTTAGCTATTTTTGAGCAGAGACCCAAATCCGAGGGTCAAAGTAGCAGCAATAAACACGGTCACCCAGTGTCTTACTCTTATCAAACGGGTTCCGCGTTCAGACGCAAACATTTTTCCGGAATACGTTCTTCCCGAATTGTCTCCCTTGGCTACAGATCCTAATACGAGTGTTCGGGCCGCCTACGCTAAAAATATTGCTACCTTGGCGGAAATTGCGTTAAAATTCTTAGAACAGACGCAAACGGACTGGTGCGATACCAGGGAAAATGCAGGAAAGCAACAGTATAGCGGAGTACCGCGGATTAATTACGAGGTAGAATTGCAGACCCTTCACGAAATGGTACAACAGTCTGTAAGCACTCTCTTAACCGATACACAGTCTATCGTTAAACAAACACTAATGCAAAACAGTATAACGAAATTATGCGTTTTTTTCGGAAGACAAAAAGGTACATATTAAGTACTTTTAAATTTATTACTTTTTTATCTTACAATATGTGTTCGTTTTTAAGCTAACGACGTTCTACTTTCTCACATTATTACATTTTTAAATGATAAAGAAGATAAAGAATTGAGAGGAGCCTTTTTTGATTGTATAGTCGGAGTCGCCGCGTATATTGGCTGGCATTGCTCCACAATTTTGACACCACTTTTATTACAAGTACTAAATAAAATATGCACACATTACTTAAATTATTTTTATTATTTATAATAATTTCTGTTTTAGGGATTAACCGATTGTTCAGAATTCGTCACTACAAAAAGTATAAATGCCATGTCTTTTCTCACGGAACTCGGTCTGATAACAAAACCATCCTTGTGTGAACTGGTCTCCGAATGTTCTTCATTCTTAGTACATCCTGGTTTGTGGATTAGGCTTGCAGTTGTAGGATTTGTATGTACAGTAGCTAAGAATTTGTCCATTTTAGATGTTCAGTGCAAAGTAATGCCTATTTTGAGTATGTATATGAAATATCCATTAATTCAGATTGAAAGGTAATTTGTTTTGAAACATTCAAGAACTCTTCATATAACTTTGTTATTACAGACCCGAGTTAGTATTGGAGTCGCTAGTTGGTCCAATCCCCAGAAGCGTCTTTGACAATGTTATAAAATATTCGGATATAGATTTGTTATTTGAAACATTAAAAGAAAGACAGAATGCCAGATTTTTAGTTAACAGTGGACGTGTTCCATCCTACACTGATATGAATTCGTCTCTTAAAAGTGTATGGTTTTTTATTTGATGTTGAAGTTTTATTTTATTTCCTTTTCTTTTATGTGCAGTTGTTTAGGAGACTGGTAGCAGATGGGATGACGGATTCGATTGAAGACTATTTGCTAATGATGAGCAGTCATCTGCGAAAAATTCACAAACACAAAACTAACGCAGATGCTAAACATAACAAACAAATGGAAGGAAGGATCGAGATTAATAGTAATACTTCAAACGTATGCGTTAATGTTTTTAATTTGGCCGAAAATAGGAGCAAGTTGGATTATTCACAAAAGTAAGTGTACCTACATAAAATGTTTACATGTTTGTTTTAATTATTTTTATGATTCATTCCAATTTCAGAAGAATTCAACAGGTTCAAACAAATACCAACGCAGACTGGAGCATGTTTACAATATCCAACTCTGACCAAAGCAATTCTGGAGGTTCCCTCTCTAAATTTAATTTGGGAAGTAGATCTTCCTCGCCCCTTCCGGAAAGTCAACATCAGTTTTCAGGAAGTAATACTGGAAACATTAGTTTACATGAAAAATCCTACATACAGTGTTAGTGCTTACCCTATTTTTATGCCTTAATTATCTTAATAACAATCGTTACAGATAGAACACCAAATTGTAGCACAGAGTTAAGAAATTTGCTAACTAGACAACAAATGCATTTTTTAAAAGCAGTTAGGTAAGGATGAAATCTCTGTGAAAAAGAAGATTTTAATGTTTTATATGGGTATAGGAGTAAAGAATGGAATGAACAGGCTGCATGGCAACCTCAACTGCCACCTCCAGGCTGGCGTTTACGTGGTTCTTTGGTGGCCCACCTTCACGAACATCGGGGTTCAATAACTTCTCTGGTTTCTTTTCCGTCATCTCCGTTGTTCGCTAGCGCTTCTGTGGATAGTTACGTACGTATATGGGATTGTGCAAAAATGGAGGGCAAAAACATAGCCAATCGATCCAAACAAAGTTATAGAACAACGGGAAGTGTCGCAGCAATGACAATATGTGAAAACGGACAGTCTTTAGCTGCTGCTACTCACGACGGTTCCGTGATGGTCGTAAGGGTCGATGCCAATAGCAAGTAAAGTTGTAAATTTGTCATTTTCTATGTTAAGAGTAAAGAAATGTTTCATTTTTTATTTTTACTAGGCAATTAATTATTGTGTGTTCACAGAATGTCTCTAGTACAGTCTCGTCAAGTAGACCGAGACGAAGACGGTTGCGCTGTGGACGTTCAGTGCTTTGATTCGGGTCCCCAAAATCTCCTGGTTTATGCGACTCTTTATGGATCGATTGTAGGATGGGATTTACGGGCTCCTGGAACTGCATGGCGTTTAGAAAACGGTCTTAAGAATGGCGTAATAACTAGTTTTTGCCTTGATTACTATCATAACTGGTTGACGCTGGGTACCAGCAGCGGTTACCATATCGCTTGGGATATGAGATTTCAACTGCCTATCACGTCAATAGAACATCCGTCAGGTGTAGTCTTTATTATCTTTTTTTATAAAGGTATCTATAATATATAAGTACATATAAAATTTAGGTGCTCGAATTAGGAAAGTCATCAGCCATCCTACAGAACATTCCTGGATAATTTCTAGCGTTCAAGGAAATAACGAGATCTCCATGTGGAATTTAGAAACAGGTTTTAGACAATGCGTGCTTTGGGGAAGCAGTTCTCCGCCGTTATCGAAAACCCACGTAAGTAGAGGTCGACAGTTTATGAAATCATCAAAGTATAATGTATTGTCTTTTTGTAGATGATCAACCACAGTGTGTGTGCTATGTTGTCTGGATGTATAGATCGGTCGGGCTTTTTATTGGCTGGAGGAACGGATCAACGTGTACGCTTTTGGAATTTGCATAGTCCTACAGAATCGTGTTTAGTCATTCCATCTCCGAACGATAACATATCAGGAACGCCACTAACTTACAAGCATAGACTGATAGATGGGACAAGTGTTATACAAGAAGTCGTGGGACAATGTTTGGGACGCGGTACAGGCAGTAAGAGCGACGAGGTACCAAGAGCTGGACCAGAGCCTCCGCCTCCAGGACATAGAGACTGTATCTCTGATATTGCTCTCTGTAAAGCATCGCAGTGCTTTTTACTAACTGCATCTAGAGATGGAGTTATAAAAATATGGAAGTAAACTGTTCCTTTTTTTATTGTTTTCCTTTTTAAATATTTCAGTGTTAATTTTTAAAATTTATCATATTATGTAAGAATGTAAGAAATAGTTTTTAGAAATACAAAATTGTTGATTTAGAAGTATTTGCGTAATTTTTCTTAAAAAAACAACTAGAAATTAATTGAGACTATTTAAATACGTTAATGATGTTACGTATAGGCAACGTGAATACAGATCAGCATAACGTGAAGGCTATGCAGCTTAGTACGAGTACAATATGAAAATCAATAATTTGGCGGCGGCGCATGTAACGAGTGCAATACGAAAATCAATACTTTGGCGGCGGCGCATACAACGAGTACAATACGAAAATCAATAATTTGGCGGCGGCGCATCAACGAGTACAATACGAAAATCAATAATTTGGCGGCGGCGCATACAACCAGTACAATACGAAAATCAATAATTTGGCGGCTGCGCATACAACCAGTACAATACGAAAATCAATAATTTGGCGGCTGCGCATACAACGAGTACAATACGAAAATCAATAATTTGGCGGCGGCGCATGTTATGATAAAGTTATAAAATAAATAAACTGAACAATGTGGGCATTTTAAGTTTTTCGCGATTTTTCCGAATCTTATTAAGTCATTCGTTATTCGCATTTTTTACCTGCAAATATGCCTAAGTGCTCAGCTAAATGTGGAAATAAAGCAATTTTGAAGGTTAGGAATTTACTATTGCTCTGTTCGTTTTTACAAATTTTTTATAATTGTTATTGTTCTAGCGACCCAAAACCGGCGATGCCTTGTGTAAAGAATGCTTTTTTGATGCATTCGAAACTGAGATTCATTATACGATAACAAAATGTACATTATTTAAACCGAACATGACTGTGGCGATTGCCGCATCTGGTGGCAAGGATTCAACAGTTCTAGCTTATGTTTTAAAACTTTTAAACAAAAAATATAATTATGGTTTAAAACTAGTACTTCTTTCAATCGATGAAGGAATCACAGGATATCGTGACGACAGTTTAAATACCGTTAAGCAGAATCGAGATGATTATGAAATGCCTCTGAAAATATTGTCCTATAAAGACTTGTATGGTTGGACAATGGATGAAATAGTGGAAAAAGTATGTTTAAGTGATTAACTGTATTGCTGAATAATAATTATCATATTTATTGAAGGTAGGACGAAAAAATAACTGCACTTTCTGTGGTGTATTTCGTAGACAAGCTCTAGATAGAGGAGCAGCCTTATTAAAGGTAGATTGCATAGCAACTGGTCATAATGCTGATGATATAGCAGAAACGGTATTAATGAACGTTTTAAGGGGAGATCTGGCAAGATTAAAAAGATGCACAGCAATAATAACGGTTGTGTATAAAAAATTGTTTAATCTCTTTTTGTTTATATAAAGCGGCGTTTATTTTCTTATTTTAGGGAAATGGAAGTGGAGATGGGATCCCAAGGGTGAAACCTTTAAAATATACCTTTGAAAAAGAAATAGTCATGTATGCTTACTTTAGAAAGTTATTATACTTTTCCACAGAGTGTGTTTTTGCCCCTAATGCTTATCGAGGACATGCCAGAATGTTACTTAAGGATTTAGAAAAAATAGACCCTACTATAATAATGAACATAATTTATTCAGGTACTAATTACTGTATCATTGAGAGGTAATTTTGCTTTAATGTTAAATTTTTATTTGAAGGTGAGAGCATAAGGGTAAGTGAAAATACTTCACTTCCCAGTTTAACCAATTGTACCAACTGTGGCTATGTGTCTTCACAACAACTATGTAAAGCTTGTGTATTATTAGAAGGATTAAATAGGGGACTACCAAGATTAGGAATTGGGAAGTCTTCACGAGTTAAACAAATTTTAACAGAAGAAAAGTATAATAATTTAAATAGTAATAGTTGTGTAGAAGCTAAGAATTGTTTGTGTAAAAATTTAAAAGATAATAGTGTTAATTTGAAATAAAAATCTGTTTTTTTATTTTGTATTTAATTTATGTAATTTTAAGAAAAAGTATAATTAAAATTGCTAAGTGACGTCATATCAAAATTTAACTTTCATCCATAAAATGGGGAAATGAGAAATGTATGAATGTAGTGGTATTATCTATCTATGATAGTAAACGTACATTCCGTAATTATATATGTATATTGTGTTTAGTTATCTAGTTTGATATATTAATAATTAAAAACGAAGATATGGAGTCAAAGCAATTTTTGCTAGCATCACTTCGAAAAGAAATAACGGAATATCATTTACAAATCAAAGCTTTAATACAGGTACCATATATTTCTACTTCTTGTTCCATAGGTTTGACAATTTGACATACGTCACGCCCACAGATAAGACCTCTTCCATAATACCACAGAAATTCTGATTCATTTTTATGTTTTTCGCACAGGATATTAACGCATGCGCTTGTTCATTGGCGCAACTTCAAAATTTAAATAGCGAAGGTCGTTCAAAAATTTCAGTTTTAAGAAAAAAAATCGATTCATTTGGAGATTTAGCGAAGGAGAGTAAAGATAGTCAACTTCTAAAAGAAATTGTCCTTCAGAGAGAACTTTTATCCAGGTAATTTTCAAATACAACTGATTTAATGAATATTCTTTTAAACATTCATATCTAAAACTTTAGTACAATGGAATCTTTTAAAAAAGCCAACATAAAAGCAATGCTAGCGATAGAAAAATCGAACAAAGAGGAGCTTCTTAAATCGAAGGACGAACAAACGGCAATTCGGAATCGACAGAAGCCAGATAAAAAGAATCTAGCAAAAATGAGTTCAAGTGTAACAGACCAATTATTATCGATAAGCAGGCAATTAGCTGAAACAACTAAAAGAAGTGCAGATACAGTAGACGTCCTTGCGTCTTCCTCTGATAGTGTTATCGGGACGCAGGAAGAACTCAAAGTCACTTCAACTACTATCAGCCAATCGGGAAAACTTCTAGCCAAGTACGGTCGAAGAGAATTTACTGATAAAATTCTTATGTTTTTCGCTTTTGGTTTCTTTCTTGCTTGTGTTGTTTATATTGTTCACAAACGTCTTTTTTAAATTATTCTTGGCAATAAATACACTGTCCTGTTTGGTCGTCTTTTACTATTACGTAAACAAATCTAAAATATCCGCATTGTTAATAATAAAGCTTCGATAGTAAATTGTTAATATCTTATTGCAATATCTGGCATCGCAGCGTTTTTCCGTATTTGAATTAACATTAATCTTACTTATCGTTTTAGTATAATGCGCCGGCGCGTTATTAAAGATATAAGGGGAACAAATACCGCGCGAAAGAAGATTTTGCTTTTGAACTTCAAAAAGATTTAAAACTATTAATTCAGTGCACGCTTTGTTACTCGTGTAGACAAATAAAAAGCTTACAAAATGCAACTGTTTCCTCAAGTGTTTTTGTGGATTTTGTTGGTGTGCTCTTTAAATTTGTTCTTCGTTGAATCACTCCCATTTTTTGAAACACTGTTTCCCGGCCAGTATAATGGATACAATGGGTTTCGCACAGGGCGCAAAGAACATGATAGTGGTCGCGGGGGTTACTACAGATACAGACAAATATGTAAAATCCATTCCATTGGCTCCCTTGGTTTACCCGGAAGAAGGACTGGCAACCCCACATGTCCCTAAAATAAGTTTTCTTATTTACCCTAAAACTGTGTATATATTTTTTTAATGTGTATTAATTAAAAATCATTTTTTTGTAAACTTTAATTATACGGTTATTAAATTATTGTTGTTTTAATAAATATGTTGGCAAACAAGGAGAAACACAAAGTAAGTATTTTTAGTATTTGTAAATATTAGTAAACTAATAAAAATAACTCACTTAAAAATTAAATAGTGTGGATGAAGGTCGAAAAAGTAGAAGATCAAACAAAAGAATTGTTTTTCAGGAAAGGAAAACAACTTAAGGCATGACTATGAAAGAAATAAACATCTTTCTGAAAATCAGCGTGAGATGAATATTATTATTTAAAAACAAAGAGATTATTGTTTCTTAATAATTATTCTAAACATGTACCATTACAAATTGACGCAATGAATGAATTTCGTTTAAAGCGACTTCCTAACTTATTATGCATATACGTACATTGTTTAACACGAAATAAATGAATAACAGGTAAATGAACTATGCATAAAGAACGGCTATTAACCTTCACAATTATAATTTTTGTTTTTTTTATTTAACTCTTCTTATAAACTCTTAATATTATTTATTTTTTATTAAAATATGAATTAGTAGAACGAGTACGGCCCTGACCATTAAAATCTGTAAAATTTCTGTAAAACTATCAGAACATTAAAATTGAAAATATTAACAACAAAATACTTTATTTGAATATAATAAAATGTTAATAAGTATTTTTTAAGGAGTTACACACATTTTCAGTTGCATTTATTTAATTTTTGGAAAAAATTTTCATAGAAATAGGATATGATATTCTATTCAATTCTATTAGTCTACCTCTATGGTCCACCTGACATTTAACTTGCTTCTTGTAACCAGGAACAATAAGAATTCTCCCGTAATAAAAAGGATTAAAAAAATGATTTTTTTATAATTTTGGAATGTTTTAGTTTAGAGTTGATGTGTTCGTTTAATAATTTCTTCAATGAGTCCCCCTGGAATTAATAAGTGATTAGTGAAAGCCAATGTAACGTGATCAAAAGATTTTCCTCCGGCTGTTGTTTCCAGTTAATTCTTTTTATGAGCATTACAATTAAAATTTTTAATAATTAAAATGATAGTTAAGAAATGATAGAAGTGCTACAGATGTTCCTTTTTCTGTTTAAGTCAAAATATCGACGAAAATATAATGTGACGTGGTCTGTAAATTTGTGTACATTTCTTTATTTGGGGTACATTTTACTGCTGGTTGAAAGCAAATGCCAAGATTCTTCAAATTGTAGTGACAATGGGGTCTGCAAAAACAACACTTGTGTTTGTTATGATGGTTGGAAGGGTTCACACTGCCAATATTGCAGTGGAAAAGTCAGGTAAGCGCATTATTTGTTTAATTAACCAGAAGCTTAATGCTATTTACTGTGCACATTCTCATGATATGCATGTTTCTGTCCCCTTTTTATATTGTATGTTTGTTCTAATATGGTATGTTTAGAAAAATATTGTTAATAATCCAGCTAACAAATGTTTTGTTGTTGTTTTTATCTAGACTAGGTGCTGCATCTGGAATAATTCACGATGGTTATGGTAATTACTCTCTGGGAACAAAATGCAGTTGGCTGATTGATGCATCTAATTATTCAATTACTTTGCACATCGAAGAATTTGCTACAGAATGTGGCTGGGATCATTTATATGTTTTTGATGGTGACAGCGTCGAATCTCCACTTTTGGCTGTCTTTAGTGGTCTCATGTACAAAGACAGCTATCGAATTCGTAAAATTCCCGAAGTTGTTGTTCAATCAGGATCAGCTCTACTTCATTTTTTCAGCGACGACGCATATAACATGTCAGGTTTTAATATCAGCTATCGATTGAATGCTTGTCCCTCAACATTATCGGATGTAGATTGTTCAGGCCATGGGGTTTGCATTGAGGGAGTTTGCACCTGCGATGGACGATGGACAGGAGCGGCATGTCACATAGAGAAATGTCCTAATAATTGTTGGGTAAATGCCAGCAGGGGTACCTGTGAGTATGGAAAAGGGTGTATATGTAGAAAAGGTTGGAAAGGGGAAGATTGTGGCCAGGCTACTGAAGACGGTTATTGGGAAAATGTGGCGACAAGAGGGTTCACTCCTCCAGGATCTGCTTCTCATGGTGTAGCCGTTTGGAGAGATTCTATGTACATTGTGGCCGGAGAAAGTTATAACAGAGGTCAGATGCTGTATGTTTACGATTTCAACGGTTATGTATGGGAGACACCTCACATAAGTGATGGTGGACTAACCCCGTTATATCGCTATGCCCACTCCACCGTTTTGTACGGTGATAAAATATTTATATATGGAGGTGTTTTAGGAAATCGCGGTCCTACGTCAGAACTATGGGCATTTGATGTGAACGCAAAAACTTGGGAAAATATAACTGTACGTGCCGAAATCTGCAACGGTAGTAATTTACTTTGTGGTCCTTTAAAATCAGCAGGACATACCGCAACTCTAGTTACCAAGGTGAATAATAAAAAAGATGATCGAATGATTGTAATTTTCGGTCATTCGCCCCTCCTCGGTTATCTCAATACCGTCCAAGAATATTATTTTGGTACACGTGAATGGTTTGTCGTTACGACCCGAGGATATCCCGTGAAAGGGGGCTACGGACATAGCGCCAGTTGGGATCCTCTTACCAACAAAGTGTACGTCTACGGAGGTATTATTTCAGAAAGCGCCTCCACCCAAACTCTTAGTACTAACTTGTATTCTTATGAACCTGACAGCCGCATGTGGACTTGTCTTAGTGACGGTCCTTCGGCCCGATATCTTCATTCCGGCACTTTCGTATCTCCCGGACTCCTGTTGGTTTTTGGAGGAAACACGCATAACGACACATCTCACAGTTTCGGTGCGAAATGTTATGGATATGATTTATTAACGTATGACGTGGTTTGTGACACATGGCACGTTTTGAACGTGACCCGGGGTCTTCCTGCCGATTTGGCTCGTTATGGGCACTCTGCAGTCACATTCGAAGGTTCTTTGTATATCTACGGTGGATTTGACGGTCAGATGTTGTCTGACATTTTGAAGTACACTCCTGGAAGTTGCGAACACCTTATCAATAAAAACTCATGCTTAGGTACTAGACCGGGCGTAAAGTGTGTTTGGGATAGAAAAGGATCTAAATGTATGCGAATCCAAGATGTGCCTAACGTCGTGAAAACGCTGCCCATCGATGAGGAGGAATTGATTATGCGATGTCCCGAAGAAATGAGGTCTTCTAGAGTGCACACCGAAATCTTAAGACAGGAAAAATGTTCTCGAGCAGTTGATTGCGCCAGCTGTGTACAAACTACGCGCAATTGCGTGTGGTGTAGCAGTGGTGTATGCTCTTACAACAAATGTCGTGATAATAGCTCAGAACGCGGCATCACACATCTGGATCAGTGTCCTACCGATTTGTCACCCACTTGCCGACAATTACATACATGCACGGCGTGTATATCCCAAACCAGCTGTTCCTGGAAATACGAATTAAATACTAAATGTATACCTTACCCCACAAATATCTCGATAGAACCTGCACTAGCCAACAACGCGGCCTCTGTGGAAACGGCGATTCAGTGTCAAAGAGTCTGTTCAGAATATACGTCCTGCAGAAATTGTACTCAGGAAGAGTGCATTTGGTGTCAGAATGAGGGTCGTTGCGTTGACAAGAATGCCTATACTGTCAGCTTTCCGTATGGACAGTGTCGTGAATGGACAACGACAACCGATAAATGTCGGAGTGCTCGTGGGGCAGAAGAGAAGTCCCAGTGCAGCTTTTACATGACTTGTGCCCAATGTCGCGATGATCCTGCATGCGGATGGTGTGATGACGGATCTAAAACAGGTCTTGGACGCTGTTTGCCCGGCGGATATACTGGTAAGGAATTGACTTATTAATTTTCAACTTATTTAAATATGATAATTATAAAACTGTTTAGGTCCTACGCTGCACACTCAGTCGCTGCCTTCCAGTACGTGTCCCCACGAACGCTGGCATTTTACTAATTGTCCAGTTTGTCAGTGCAATGGGCATTCAAAGTGTCAGGGCAATACGTCGGCCTGCGTGCAATGCGATAATTTGACAACGGGTTCGCATTGCGAAAAGTGCATGGCCGGATACTGGGGAAATCCCGTGAACGGGGGACGGTGTCAGCCGTGTGAATGTAACGGTCAAGCGAGTCAATGTCAGCACGATACCGGTAAGTGTTACTGCACAACCAAGGGCCTTACCGGGGACCATTGTGAAAAATGTGACGTAGCCAATCATTACCACCCAGATCCGTTGAATAAAGGAGCTTGCTACTGTGAGTACAATATTTCGGCAAATTCTTTTTTTTATCTTGTAACCGTTTAATGTATGCCATTTTCAGATGATTTAACAATTGATTATCAGTTTACATTTAATTTATCAAAAAAGGAAGACCGTCACTACACACAGATTAATTTCCGAAATTCGCCAACAAAGCCCGATATCGATGCTGACTTTCATATAACCTGTAGCGTTTTGGCTAAAATGAATATAACTATAAGACGTGCCAATTCGAAGGAAGAGAAACCGATTCACACCAATCAAAATTGCACCACATTTAAGTACAAATTCTTAAGATCCGATTACATTTTTGGAACGGAAGACAACGTGACATTGACGACCTTCTATGTATACGTGTATGACTTTCAACCACCTCTTTGGATTCAGATTTCCTTCTCTCAATACCCCAAATTGAATCTTCAACAGTTCTTCATAACTTTTTCTACGTAAGTTGAATGGATAATTTTTACCTTTTGCCTGTTTTTTATTAAAACTAAATTTTTTAGTTGTTTCTTGCTGCTACTTCTCGCCGCCGCTATTTTATGGAAGATAAAGCAGCGATACGATATGTATCGACGTCGTCAACGTCTTTTTGTTGAAATGGAGCAAATGGCATCGCGTCCCTTTTCGCAAGTCTTGGTTGAGCTTGAAGTTAAAGATGTGAATGATCGAACGGACGATTCGGCAATTTACGTGTTGTCTTCGGCCGATCCGTTGAAGAAACATGGAAAAAAAAGGGACGCTCCAAGTCCTATTGCTCTCGAACCGTGTTTTGGGAATCGTGCAGCAGTTCTCAGCTTATTGGTCCGTTTGCCTACTGGTGGAGAACGACATACCGTTAAAGGTCAGTCGTCTGGATTGGCAATTGCAAGTGCACTTGTCACTTTGGGAAATCCCCGAAAATTAAGTATAGATCCAGTTAAAACGGATACTGGAACCAAGACTACGAAAACGCGTAAGTCTCAAAGCCAACATCCGGACAGTTGCGTTTAATAGATCACGTTGTACTGTGACTCAAGTTTTTCTATTATTTATTTTATCTTTTTTTTCTTAATTAGATTATCTCGAGTTACTGTACGTAAACTATCTACCTATATATACGTTATAGTATAGAAGTATGATAAGGTCATGTTTGGACTACTGCATGATTATGTTCACTTTGATTTTCAAACGACACTTTATTGGGGTATTCTTCTCAAAATTACATTGAGTTTTAAAATAATTGTCTATATGTTTTTTTATATTTTTTACTGATTTTTTATTTGTCTGAATTATTGTCATTCTTTAGTGTTACATTTGCAAGAAAACGTAATTTATCGTAATTGAATAAGAATCTCATAAATATTCATATATAAGGTGTTGTACTCATTTTTACAAATAGAGAATCTCGTTTGGGTGCTTTTAGACAATGGGAGGGGGGAGGGTTGGGTTAATAATGATTTGGGTAAAAAATATATATAATTCGAATTAACCTTCATTCTTAATACATTGACAAGACGATAAATTACTGTTTAGATTAAAATGCCATATTGTTATTATAAGGATTGAAAAAATCTCTATATTTGACTTCTTTTTGTATTGTAGGTGCAATTTACGTATGGGCAAGTATGACTGATTTATGCTATGTATTTATGTGTAAATTTATCTTTTTCACCGAAGATCTGAATCATTGTCTGTTATATACAGGGTGATATATTAAGAACGTAAAATAAGAAAAACAAGAAATATGAAACTGAATATGTATTTACGAGTCAAATATGCTTTGTACAAATAGCTAATTTAAGAAATTTGGAGTATTATAATTTGATTGTTTTAAAACTATCTAATAGTTTTCATATTTTTTGTAGTATTGTACGTTCTTATTTTTAACTTTGAATACTCTACATTTTTTAAATCGGCAACTCTTGTATAACACGCGTCTATTTCATCTTAAATAATGTATTTGGTGTCTTATTCCTTTGTACCTTTTATTATCACAAAATTGAATCACTCTGTGTATGTCTATAATTTACATACATACACGTTAGTTGATTATTATAGATTACTGCTATGTGCTAACTTTATTGACTGTTATTTATTTTACGTTTAGAATGTAGGGTGCTGACACTAATTAAGGAAATTAAATAAAAAAGGAAACATAATTGCAGGTTCGAATGTATATTTACTTGTAAAATGGGATATTAAGTTCGTATTTTGTGATATATATATATATACTTCATTCTTTTCATTTAATGTTTTAGTGTTACTTTTATTATTACTGCCTTTGTGTTACTTTTTTATTATTAGGTGAACTTTTAAGGGAATCTTTGATAACGAATACTGCAGACTAATATAATCAATACAAATATTTATAAACAAAATTACATACCCCACATTTAAATTTTTTGTATACATACGTGTGTAGGTTTGTAGCTTGTTCAAGTTCCATATCGTCAATTTTAATTTTGATTTGTATTTGTTGTCGCAACTGATTTTTGAACTGAATAAAATAACTAGTCTTTTTGCATTTTTGTTAAATGTTTATTTCATTAGTGTGAGGGATTTTTATCAGTTGGGGTAGTTTTATTTTTATTGCCATCTAGGGGCGACTTGGAAATTAGGATTTATTTTCAGGGAAGGTGCTATTGATTTATCAACAGGCCACAATCTTTATCGTTTGGTATTTTTGTATTGACCAAATTAGATATTTTCGTTTCTTATAAATTCATTTTAAAAAGATATGGCAGAAGATGGCGAGCAAGCGCATTTTAATCAGGATGGTAGTAAGAAAATAATTCATACTTATCCACTAGTGAGGGTGAGTTTTCTGCGACTTTTGCTTTATTAAAGTTTGCTACATATTTATGTTTTCCTTTCAGAATTCTGATATGTCAGAGGAGATGATACAAGAATCTGTAGATCTTATTGTCACTGCATGCGAAAAATATTCAGCAAATAATGAGGTAAGTGTTAATTTGTTGGAAAAAATGTAAGAGATAAGGAAGTGAATTTTAGATGGCCGCGAAAATGATTAAAGAACAAATGGATAGAAAATACGGCCCTCCTTTTAATGTCGTTGTCGGGGAAGGTTTTGGTTTTCATGTAACTTTCGAAAAAAAGAATTTACTGTACATGTTCTTCGCCGGTAACTTGGCAATTTTAGCGTGGAAGTGTTCATAGTAAAGCAGGTGTAACAGTTACACAAACACATCGACTATTAATTATTTATTAGTGTATTATCAAAATACTCGTTTTTTAGATATTTTACAAGTAAATTTTTTAAATATCATATGTATAAAAGTAATAATAAAATAAAAGTACAAATATTAAATATGTACATTTATTTCATAATATCATTTTTATTTTCAACTATTGCAGAAACTATTATATAATTAATATAGTAAATGGAATTCATTGTCTAAAACACGTACAGCACAGTTAATTGTAAACTGAGTAATTGCAACAAGTAATTTTAATATTTAGATAAAAGTTATAAAATTAACTTAAAAAGTATTATTTATTCAGTCAGTTTATTAAGAATAAATTGAATAATACGAAATGATTGATTAATAAAATCGGGTTTTCGATTTTTTCCAGTCTAATTTTATCAATGGGCCGTATATTTCGTTACCAATATTTTCGTGTCTTTTGCAATTTCGTACGCACATAATCGAATTTTTTGTAAACAGTGGTCTACAATTTGGACCGAATCATTTGTAACAAGTTCGGTACATTCTGTTTTAAGACGTGCGGCACCCACTTGTAATCTCTGAACAACTTCGTTTGCCGATTCCTGTTGGATAATTAATATTTTAGAGATAACGGTTACCACAATTGTTGATTTCATTACTGAATTATTATGCATATAAAAAAAGAAACCAATTAATGAATATTACATACCAAGGGGATGGCTGCAGCCAAGTTTTCTACAGCGGCTTTAATTTTTTCCGCGTAAATAAGGCAATCGTTTCTCTCCAAACCTTGGATGCACTTCCATAGTTCTTGGATGCCCTTTGTAACTTGTTCTGTACACTGCATTACATTCTGTCCGCTATATAAAAACTGCGTTACGGCTCTATTATTTTCATTCTGTTTTGCGTGATTTTTAAGGGTTTGCCAGTTCGGTTGTCTCGGTCCTTCACGCGTTTCGTACATGCTGTTTGGCCTTTGAACTCGTTTCGATTGCTTCAGATCAACAATTGTCGTAGTTCCATTAACCAAATTATTGTTGTTTTCTGCGTTTATCTTAAAATTGAATCACTAAATTGAACAATATAAAAATTCATTCTGCTTTTTACCATTAAGAAACCATCCAAGGAGTACATTTCAGTTTCTCCATTGATTTTGGTATCGTTTTTTGAAATGTTAGTTTCTGCTTCCGATAATTTGGTCCTTAATTCATTATTTTCGTTGCTTAATCGTTCGACAACCTTTCGAAGATTACCAATTTCGTATTTTAAGTCTGCAATCGTATTATCAGATTCGTGAAGTCTTCTTATGAGCAATTCCATTGATTCTTTATCCGATATTCCACTTGTTTCGGTCGATTTATTAACTTTACTCTCAGATGTTGAGCGGTGCTGATCAGAAGCAACCTATTTAAATATAAAAAGGAATAGTTTAATAAATAAACACCATATTACAGTAAATGAAGGCTTACATGATTAGTGGCTGTCAAAAGTGCGTAATCGTCGTCAGAGGCCACCGAGTCGTAAAGGGGCTCGTCGTCGGAAATTTGAGAAAATTGACGAACTTGAAAGAAAGAAAATCAATACACAATAAATAAGGATTACTTTGTATGTATGCTTTGATTAACCTTTTTCTGAATTTAACTGTCTCCTTTGAGTGTCCACTAGAATATCGTGTATTAAGTTTTTCAATTCTGGGGTAGTAAAACGACCCAATTTCTGTCTACCTTGATTTCGAACTGTGGACAGGGTAGGGTTAACGGGTAAAAATGGAACGGCATTCGCATTTAACTCCAAAGTATCTGCACTACTCAACCAAACTAAATCAACAAAAAAAGTAGAATACGTTATTTATGTTTCTTTACCATAACTATAAATCGATATGATTTAAAATTACCTGTATAGTATCCAAGACTGATAAAAGTTAAAGGAGAGAAATGCAGATGTTAGAATTATTTAAAAAAAATAATTATTCATTACTTCAAACTTACTTGCTTCAGTTTCCCTACGATCTACTTCATCATATACATCCATAACTAGTTCTTCAAATAAATGATTTGGTAACTACAAATTAATTGTCATAAAAAAATAAAAAATTGTGTTAATAATAAACAACTACTTTTTTGAGTTTATAAAGGGCTGTTGCATCAGATTTGGTTCCTGCTTGCGGTATTAAAAAATGAATGCCTTTTTCATGATTTGGCCTTCTGTGACAGAGGTAGTCACTAAATTTATCAGTCACTTCATACTGACAATCTAAAAGTCTATTATACAGTTCTCGGTTTACCATTTGTCTAAAATATAAAAAATTGGAGAATCAACATGGAAATCTGTTAACAAACAAAAATATACTTTGCATAATCAACAGGTGTTTTCCCTGATGAATCTGGGCAGGTAGGATCTGCCCCATAAGTCAACAATAGTTCAGTCTGAAGAAGTTGACCGGCTTTAACAGCTGCATGAAGGGGTGTTGACCCTTTTTCCTAGTAAAACTACTTTTTATTAATTCTTATAGTTTAAATATTAAAAAAATGTTTACATCATGGAAATAGTTTGGGTCAGCTCCATGAACAATAAGGCGAAAAGACGTTTCTAAATTTGTACTCCTAACACTGGCATGCAGTTGCTTTCCCAGTTCATTTTCTACACACAATAGACCATCTTCATTGTTTGGACGATATGCAAAAGCACATTGCTGATGTTTGGCTCTTATAAATTCTGCTTTGACACTTTCAAAAGACAACATTTTTATTAACTTTTTTGTGGTTTTGTAAATGTGATTGCACTTTTCTTACTGTAAATTATCCTTTGGACTGGGTTTCTTTCTTGAAAACTTAGAATTATGTTCAAGGGCATGCTCCCAAATACTATTAACTCCACTGTTATTTAAAGTGTAAAGCATCTGTAAATAAACGATATAATCGAGTTTGTTACACAAAAGTTATAAAACTAACACTTCGTTGTGAATTACTCCAATTACTCTTCTGTAATGATTTAACTTGGGAAATATGATTTCCAAGACTTCTGTGTATGCTACAGCATTCTATACATAATAGAATCCCTTTATTTATAGATGCCCATGAAGGTTCTGATGTAGAAAGAAAATTATTGACTTTAATAATTAAAATGAAACGATTACTGACTCACCTAATGCTCCACAATCACCACATACTTCCGAATTGTATCGAGATCTAGCCCGCGACATTTTAATATAGCAATTTTCAAAGTTTATTTTGCTATAGTTTTGACTTTCTAATTATAAATTACTTTTAAAATAAGGGATAATTGATTTATAAAATTAATTACCGATAGAACATCTTATTTATAAGTAATATTTGACATTCATTCAAATTTGCCAACTTTAATGGGTAGAATAAATAAACAAACCTCAAATGTTAATGTTCCTAGAAACCTAAAGACAAAAAAGTAATTCTGATAAAACGCGTTTTCATAAGTAATTGTTCTTAGTTTATTAAATTAATATCATATTTTTTTATTTTTGTAATGCGTTTTCCATTTTTTTATCAGTGATTAATCGTTAGATATTCGATTGGAATTTTATTCGTTGCCGGAGACACCATCAATAGATAATAGATATGTTTTTAGAGTTTATTTATGGTTTGTTATATCTGTGGGCATAAGTGGCATAGATTAATCCAGATCTATGATCCAAATTAGTCTATGGGTTTATTTCATAATAATCATAAATATGTTTTACAATAAAAATTTCTAGCCAATTTAAATAAGAAAAAATATTTAATATATTTGATTATGGATTATTTAGGAGAAGCGATTGCATTAGCAATCGATTCGATCATATTGGGGGCATGTGTTAAATATTATTTAAGAAGCAAACATGCAATGACTATGATACAAGTAAATTTTAACCTAATGTTGTGTTCACTGGCTATTTAAATAAGTTAATAAAATGCTTTACTGTATAATATATTTTTAGGGTGCTCCTATATTAGATTTGGATAAGAACCTTTCAGAAATTGTTAATACTCATCCAGATAAGAGACTGTCATATGTTTCATTACGAGGAACAATAAAACCTATAGGAAACCCAATTATAAGTAATAACAATCCTAAAGTAGAGGGTGTAATTCAGTTACTTAGTATTAAGGAACACATTGTGCAACGTAGTACAGCAGGATTTTGGTCTGACCATGAAAGAACTATACAAGAAGTGCATAATGTTATGCCATTTGTTATTGAATCAAAGGGATATCAGGTTGAAATAGTGGACCCCCTTGCAGCAGATGTATTAGGTATTAATGTGACCAGATCTATTGAAATCATTGTGTGTACCAATAAGTATTTGTTTTGTAGATATGGATGTTATATCAGATATATTTCATCCTACAGTTCCAAGTGTTATGGATCATATTTGGGGATTTTTTGCTGGATTGAGACAAAGAGGTATTCAAACAACTGAAAGAATGCTTAGGAAAGGAACAAGAATAACAGGAATTGGAGAACTAGTGGCATCAGAAGATGGAAAAACTCTAAAGCTACAACCTCCACAAAATGGAGCCCCCTTTTATCTAACAACAATGCAGGTTCCCTCTCTAGTTAAAAAATTGGAAGATAGTAAAAGGAGTTACAGGTATTTCCTATAATTGCTCATTAAGCAAGCTTTAAGAGCCTTTTATTGTTTTTTTTTTAAAGATGTTAATTTAAAGTCTTTGTTAGTTAATGCAGGGACTTTTAGGCTATTATGTATCATTTTTGGCACAATAGGAGTAGTAATAGGGGGGCTGATGGTACGCAGATACTGGAAGAATAGATGTAAAAAATTGGATGAAGAAAGAAGACGAAAACTATTAGAGGTATCAAGAAAAGAGAGGCGAAGAAGAATGAGGGATGAAGAACTTCCAGAATTTCAGTTGTGTGTTGTTTGTAAAGACAATCCTAAAGAGGTGATTGATTTGTTATTTTTGATTTGTATACTTTGTTTTTGTTACTTTTGATTTTTTTGAATTTCAGATAATTCTCTTACCTTGTGGACATGTTGCTCTGTGTGAGGATTGTGCTGAAGGCATTGGTGATCTTTGTCCCGTTTGTAGATCACATATAGAAAAAAAATCTGCGGCATATTTGGCCTAAATAACTTATTTTCGGTTTTTTAAACTTGTTTTTAATTTCTGTCAAATATAATATACATACGTATTTAAATAACTCAGATACTGTAAATAAAAACTATTTTGAATTTAAAGTAATACATTTTCATAATCCCTTGATACAAATTTATGTTAAATATTTATCGATGATAAAAGGGTTTTCGAGGCCAATGGGTTGATGATAATAAATGACTTTTTTTCTTCAATATTTCATTAATCCTATTCGCTAGAGGTAATAAAAAACTCGTTCTCCACTCTTCAACGGTGGAATTGTAGTAAATTTTCTCTAAAGCGTGCGAAATTTCTTCATCAACTTCAGTCAAATCAAAGGACAGTCTTTGTAAATGATTAAAAAGTGTTTCGACGATTCGGGGGTTTGAGAATGAAAATTTAAAATTATAATCGTTCATCCACCCTTTGTATCTGTCATTTTGAATAATGTTTTCAAAATCTTGTTGTATTTGATGAAATCGTAATATGCTTTCTAGAATGTCACCTCCTGGGTAAGAACATCTAGGAGTACCGAATGCAGGACCTAAAAGACCGTAAGGTTGCTCACACTCGAGTAATTTCGCTACTTCGGTCGGAGGACTGAGGGGAGAATCGTCATAGCCTTGCAGAAGTCTTAAACATAAAGCCAAAGATGGAAGACTTACAGGAAGGAGCTCACAAAGGACGGAAAAGTGATCGTAACGTTGTCTTCCTGTCAGAATGATGCCTTCCAACTTGGTTTTCTCTTTCAATTCAGATATAATATACAGCCACGACCTGTGGTTTTCTAAATGATGCGTTACTTCCGTAAGGTATTTATTACTTCCCGTTGCCCCCTTAAAAGCGCTACTTATCCAAAGTTTTGGAAATATATTTTTGTACATGTGCCATAAACTCGGTCCTAAATCGGTGTAAACGTCGGTTGAATATTTCCACACCACGGGCTCTACCAAACTGCTTATTTCACTTAATTTTAATTCATCAGGCGAAATGTTTCTCAGTTGATCGTCATACATTAGGATTCGTAAATTGGAATATTTTTTGCGGATGTATCGTGCAATTGTCGTCATGTGTGTTAAAAATATTTGGTATTTTGTGTTTTTTATTGGGTAACTGTCGTCTTCTGTACCACATTGTGCTATGTAATGCACCTCATTAGCCCCTATGTGAATCATTTGAATTCTCGGATGCGCTTTGATAATCTGATCAATCATGGCAAATATAATTGCGAATGATTTTTTGTTATTGGGACAAATTACGTGGGGGTATTCGGGAATTGCCCGAAGTGACTTAAACTCTTCTAACTTTAAAATAAAACCTAAATGACCTAAAAAAAATAACATTAAAGGAGTTAGTTTGTATGTGAGATGGTTATTTGATAAATTTACTTGCCAATGGTTGGAATCAACGGTATGATTAATAAATTCGATAATTGCGCGAGTTTATTTACTGTTTCGATTTCTTTTAATGAGTATGCCTCGAGACTGCTCACGTTAGCTAGTGTTTTATAGTAAGGGAACATATCTTCATATTCTATCAGTAGTCCAGTGGCGCCTAAACTTGCCAAGAGCGGAAACAATTGTTTAAAATAACTTATTTTTGGAGGTGCTCCTTTCAAATCCAAATGGACAATTTTTAATCCCATGAAATTGTTTACTTCTACGTCTCCGTAGTCGGTATTTTCTTTGCTATTTGCGTCTGTGATTCGGTTTTCGTCAGCAATCTCTGACTCTATTTTATAGTAAGTACTATTTTTGTGAGTCACAAAGCCATACCAAATAGAGCAAAGTATAATACTACACAACCAAAAGAAGGTAATTGCTTTGTATTTATCTAGAAGTTTAAACTTCCCCTTTTGTCTGTTTCGATTCATTTTACGTGACACTGTTTAATATGTATAAAATATTTATTTAAATACTTGTCATTAAATACATTACAAGAATGTGTTGGTTTTAAGTAAGATAAGAAAGGTCATGTCAAAAGTCTTGATAAACGTATTATAGTGAATTATGTTCGTAAAGAATTGTTTTAGTGATATATTTAGTTCATATTATAAGTTTATTACCATAAAAGAAAAACAAAAGACGAAACAAAAACCAATTTTCAAAAGTAATAACAGCAGTAATGATGTGGCGGAAATTTGTAAAGAAGAAATTATCCGATAGATGGTTCTTAATCGAATAATATATTTTCATGTAATGTTGGCTGCATAACTACTTAGTTTATTCAAGTTTATAGGTTAGACTATGTTTGCAAGAAATTAAAAGTACACATTTAATTTTAAATAACATATTTTTCCTTTAATAATCGTGCAAAAGAAACAAATCAAGAAGAATGAGATGTACGAAGCATTCCTACAGTAATTGTTTATGGTGAACAATTTTATTCCTGTATTTATCGTATAATATAATATCGTATAATATAGTTAATATTCTTCTACATCAATCATTCCTATAAATTAAATAATGAGTGATAGCAGCAGTGAGGAGAATGAAGATACAACGTGGGTATTCTACAGAGATCGCCCAGAATGGAAAGACATAGAACCCTTATCTCAAGACGATGGGGTCGACGTACCAGTTGTTGAAATAGCATATTCTGAAAAATGTACCTTTTTCATCCATTTACTTATACAACTTTTTTAAAATGTTAATGTTGTAGTTAAAGATGTTTATGATTACTTTCGAGCTGTTGTTCAACAAAATGAGCAGTCTGAAAGGGCACTGCAATTAACAGAAGATGCTGTTAAACTTAACGCAGCTAATTATACTGTTTGGCAATACAGGTAATGATTTTGCAATTATTATTGTTATGATTGATTTGTGGTTTTATGTTTAAATACATTATGTACAAAAATTTATTTTATATTTTAGAAGAAACATATTGAAGTCCTTAAATAAAGATTTATGGGAGGAAATGAAATTTGCAGAAAAAATGATAAATCAAAATCCAAAGAATTATCAGGTCTGGCATCACAGGAAGGTGCTTGTTGAGGAATTAAATGATGCATCAAAGGAATTATATTTAACTGAAATCATGCTTGCTCAAGATGCAAAGAATTATCATGCCTGGCAGCATAGGCAATGGGCAATAAAGACTTACAAGTAAACTTTTAACTTATTAAAAATTCAAACTGGAATTAATTTTCTTTTTGTCTTTTAGACTATTTGATGACGAATTGAATTATGTTGATGAACTTTTAATTCAGGACATAAGGAATAATTCGGCTTGGAACCAAAGATATTTTGTTATAAATAACACTACTGGTTTTACAAAAGAAGTAATTGAAAAGGAAACTGATTACACATTGAAAAAAATTGAAATTGCAAAGGAAAATGAAAGTGCATGGAATTACCTCAGGGGGTAATTATAATCCTTTCAATGTAAGATGTAGATGAACTTATTTTAATATTTTTTAAGAATCCTCCTTCATGATGAACGTGGTTTAAGTAAGAATACTGAAGTGTCTAAATTTTGTGAAAACTTGTACACTTCTGGTTGTCATTCTCCATTCCTAATTGCTATGATTGTGGATATGTGTGATGAAAATGTATCCAAAAAACACAATGATCCTAATTTTTCATTAGAAAGAGCTTTGAATTTATGTGATGATCTTGCTACAAAGTATGATATCATAAGGAAGAAATATTGGGAATACTTTGCTAATGTCTTGAAAGAAAAAGCAGAGGGTAAAGTTTCACCTTAAGATCTAGATTTAATGTGAGTATGTGGTAATTTAGAATACCTTTTTTTTACTGATTTAATATACTATTGATATTCTGTTTAGTATATATTTTTTCAGGTCTATTTAAACTATAAGAACAATTAGACAATGATTTATTATGTTTTTTGTATATTTTCTGCTTTTTGAACATCTATGAATATATGTATTTAATGCATTAATGTATGTTCAGCTTCTAAGTAAATAAATTTATTATGAGCACAGTATGATGAAGGAGATGAATTACACATTGATAAAGTATATTTATTAAAATCTAGCTATAATATTGTACAAAAATTGAACTGAGAATTAAAACGCATTATGACTTTGAATCTATGCATACATTAAAATAAATCAGCGGATACACGTACTTATTGAAAAGTTGATACTCATTTTTTGGTAAATTTCGCTCTTTTTTCCGTTAACTTAACGCCACACACAGTAAATAACTGAGAGTTATATTATGTAAAGCAACATAAATAAAAACCAATCTATTATNAATTATGCAGTTAAGTTTTAATTGTAATTAGCTTAAAAGCTGTCATCGGCAGACTCGAGTAGGTAAACCTAATAATAATTATTGATGATTGATCTACACTTCGTGCATGGTTTGTACTTACACAATTTACAGCATTATGATACATTAACAAATAAACTTAACACTGTTCAATTATGCAGTTAAGTTTTAATTGTAATTAGCTTAAAAGCTGTCATCGGCAGACTCGAGTAGGTAAATTTAATAATAATTATTGATGATAAGACTTGGTCTTGAAGTCACACGAAACTGATACTAAACAGTGGACCTACATCTTCAACCTAAACCTGAAAGAAATTGCATCAAAAGGTAACATCCTTACAAAAATGACATGTACACATTTAAAAAAATGATAGAATGTATGGCAAAAACTATATGTTGCTATTATTATTATTTAAACTTTTAAGTAATAATAGTTACAGACTTTTAATAAACTACAGATAAAGGACTGTTAAATTCTCACGTATGAACAAAATAACAACATAAATAGTTTAATAAGATGTTTACCTGCAATTCCCGCAATGGCTTCGGATGCGGAATACTTGACGTCTATATCCGGGTCGGCATTGAGTTTGTCAAGTATTGGTTTAACCTGGGGCTGGATCACAGCCTGGTCTAAATGAGGCGAAATCTTTTGTAAAGTCTTGGCCACATTGAATCTCACGTTGGCCACTTTATCACCGGCCATACTCAACACTGTCGGCAAAAGAAGACGTGTAGTTATATCCGTTCCGCAGGCTTCGGCCAATACGTTGATACAAAACAGGCACGTCATCCTGTAGAGATAATTTTGGTCGCGTGACATCGCCAGCACCTTCGGTATTATCGTGTTCTCGGCCCATTCTGATCCGAATTGTTCTACCAGTTTCTTCAAATTCAATGTAGCTGCCTCACGGATGGCAAAGACGTGGTCCATCAACCATGTCATGCAGAGTGAATTTAGCTTCTCGTCGAAGAATTCTTGACCAAGCTGAAAACATTTGTATAGTCTTACAGTATTATAAAGCATTAAATAATTCCTCTTACCTGGCCAGCTAAAAGTGGCATATATTCTATGATGGCAGACCTCACACGCCATTTAGAGTCTTCAGCCAATTCAACTATGGCAGGTAACAGACTTTGAGACAATTGCTGAATTCCTATGACTTCGTTGACGCAATCCAAGTTTGAGATGATGTTCAGTCTAACTTCAGGACATTCATCTTTTAATTGTGAAAGAAACAGGGGTAATAGATGGTCAACAGTATTTTGTCTGCCCAAAATGGGACTTAGTCCCATTATAACAGACGCTAGAGCCGACTTAACATGCTGATTTGGATCAGACACAAGATCCTTAACGCAAGGCAGAATATTGTTCATTATTAAACTTTCTTGGTGAGCCTTGTCTAGATTTTGGCAGAAATCTTTAACTTTGTTAGCGGCTGCGGCACGAACCTCCGCTTCGGAGTCCTTCAGGAGACTTTGGAATGCAGGTACCAGATCGGTACGGGTTATATCTGGACCAACAGCTTTTTGCAGTTCTGTAAATTTTTCAGCTACCATATAACGCACCCTCCAAGAATTGTCACCTTTGGAGACATGAGTAATGAAAATAAAGGTCAATTTCAGGCAAAATAATTAAATTACCTGTACATTGCCTTAATGTGGGCATCACAAGCTGCTCCACATCTTCTTGAGGCAAAAGATTTGCAATGCTAACACATGCATCTACTGCTAGAAGTCTAACAGAATCCTTAAAATAGAATGAAAATTAATTAGTTAGTTAAAAAGTATAGTTTTCAAAAACTTACCTGTTCATCTTGTGCAAGATTAACAAACATTGGTATAAGGTCAGATTTCAAATATTCTAGTTCAACAACTTGTGCCAGTTCACTTAATTTTGATGCAGCAGCCCTACGTACCATAGGAGTATCATCTTGGCAAAGTGCCCTAAAATGTGACCTTAGATTTTCTTTCATTGATGGAGATACTCGAGAATAACAGACCTAAAAGACACTCATAATTACATATCCTACCACTTAGTAAGATTAATGTTAGCTTACTGAAAAAAGTCCACATGCTGATGTTCTAGATGTAAACCAATCTCCAGCAGCTAATCGTTGTAATAGTGGAACAAAGTGTTGTTCTAAATCAGCAGGACTATGTTGTTGGGCAACAGTTCTAAGTGATTCAACTGCTTTCTCTCTCACAACAGTTTCTTCAACTGTTGCCAAGCTTTCAAGAGGTGGCAGTAAACAGTATGCATACTCAGGCCCCCCCACAAGTGTAGTGAAATTTCCAAGTTGTTCAGCTAAAGCTAGAAGTACTTCATCTTCATCATAAATGGTTTCAGTTAAAAACGGAATTAGCTCTGATCTTGTACGTTCTACACCTAATGCTAGGGCGATGGTTGAAAGCTTTTTGATGGAGTTTAATCGAAGCTAAAAGCAAAAAGGGAAAATATATGTGTGCAGGTATGTACAAATCAGGGAAGGGTTTAACTTAAGGATAAGTACTAAATTAATACTCCAACAAGATGTTATCTTACTTGAACATCTTCATTTTTTAATTCATCAATTAATACGGCGATAGGATACAACGAATCATCGCCCGCTGAGTCGCTGGCTGCCATTGTTAGGTTGGATTCTTTCTGTATCGCTATTGTCAGCTTTGCAACGACAATTTCTCACGAATTTATGATAATTCTATCGAAAATACAAAGGGACAGCATAAATATTACACAAATATTATAATATAATTTGATACTCACATGAATCTCGCACGTACTGTCAAGTGAAATTAATCACAATTTTTTTTATTTCTTGTTTCTTTGCTCATTATTAAAAAGAAATCGTTATTTCCATCCTCAACATAATTTTGATAATTAAGAATAGATGGCGCCAGAGGTCTGCATTTGTGCAAAACTTTGTGGTAATTGTGGTTGCATAACGTTCGTAAAAAATCTATCAACAAAGGTATATCAATTAAAAAACAACACAAGAACTGCATTGCGTTTTAGTATAATATTATACAAAAGATAATTACTTATTGCCGTTTAATATATCATTACGACTTCTTGTAAATTGTTTAAAATATTTCAACTCCCTCGAGAAGAAGAAAAAGAAACGAACTGACGAACTGATTTTGACAGTAATAAAATACCGCAGTTGCGAGAGTGTTGATAGCAGAAATTATTAAAATCATACACTTCGTCAAACTTTGTAAGTTAAATAATTAACAAAATAAAAATTGCCATGTCTCGAGATGTAGGAAAGACCGAATTAACTCCTCCACCACCGCCGAACATAAGTAATTACACTCGGACATTGGAAGACGGTGATTGGACTTGCAGCAATTGCTCTAATGTCAATTTTGCAAGGAGAAATGCTTGCAATCGTTGTAATAAAGAAAGGGCTCCATCAGCTTGTAAGAAAATGAAGTTAGGCCAGGAGATTGGGAAAGTGGCTGCAGAGAAAAGTCGCGGTTTGTTTAGTGCAGACGATTGGCAGTGTAACAAATGTGGTAATGTAAACTGGGCACGCAGACAGCAGTGCAACGTTTGTAATGCCCCAAAGTTTGGAGAAGTAGAAGAGAGAACAGGGCTTGGAGGAGGCTATAATGATCGTGGAGTTGTCGAATATAAAGAAAGGAACGATTCAGATGATGAATATGATGAATTTGGACGAAAAAAGAAGAGAAAAAACGCAAGGGATACCTTGAAAGATGAGGAGATTGCGGAGAGAGAGACTAAAAAGAAAAATGATGAAAGTAATCCTCCTGCAGAATTGGAAGAAGAGGAAGATGATGAAGAGGAAGACGGAGAGGATGAAGACTTGTCAAAATATGATTTGAGTGATTGGGGTACTGATGCTGAACTTGAAAAGAAGAATACACATTCACGTTCAAGATCTAGATCACCAACAGAAAGGAAATAGGAACTATTGAAACTTTTGGCTTTTAAATATGCTTCAGTTACTGTGTAACTTGAGTTGAATTAAGCAGAATTGAATATGATAGAAGAGTGATTTGATTCTTTTCATCAGTTAACAAATTCCATTGCACTATAGCTTCTAATTCATGATTAAATAAATATTAAATATGTATTTTAAGTTTTAAATGGAGTTACAAGCGCTAATTATAACTATATGAAAATGTAAAATAGGAAAAATGCAAATACCATACAATAATCAAATGTTTCTTATTAATTGGTGTTTTCTTTTTAATGTTTTATAACTTATAAGCATAAAATGGGGGTTACATACATAGAAACAATAAATAATATGCAAATAAATAAATAAACGAATATATAAATTAATAAAATACTGTTAATGATTAAATGTAGTTACGGTTAGGCAACCCTTTTAACACCTGTGAACTGGGGTATCAAACTTTTTTATTAAAAAAGTTTTCCCGCGAATTTTAAATTGACGCACTTTTTGAATACATAAATATTATGTTGTTCATACGTTTTAATTGAATACGTGAAGGGGTTTTTAAGTTTGGGTGATTATCAATAAAAGCAAGCGTTTTCTTTTGTTGCATTTTATCGTAAATATCTAGAAGAGTCGTGTTACGTTTTGAAATAAAAAATTAAGAATGTGGACACTTTCCCTTTCTTGAAATAGAAAACTGTGCTTTAAATAGTAATTGTGCGTAATACCCGGTAACTGGGTAAGAGTCAAACTAGTTGTGTGGAAATGCTTTGCTTTTCATATAGTAACCATAAAATTACAAAATAACGCGAATGATATTATATTATTGCATTTTGAAGCCTAAACATTATAAATGGTAAAAATACTGCACATGTCATAAGCGTCGGTATGCCAATTCTAAAATTAAATGTATAATGGTAGTGGCATAAAGGGGCGTCAGCACAGCGTCGAGACGCTTTACTGCAACTTAGCTCACAGTAGTGGTCAAAATTTTAAGTGAACAGTATTAAGAAATTGGGTGTTTTTTTTATGACTCGTATGGTTTTCGAATTATCTCGATATTTAATATGGTATGTAGCTTTTTAATTTCAACACGTTCGTTTATTTTCATTACGTAGAGATATATTTGGTTGTTTTTCGTTTTTTCAAATTCTAGAATTAGTAAATTTGAATATACCTACTTATATTAAGGCACTCGAAAAAATGGCCGAATTTATGGGAATAATGACGAAGTAGAATTATTTGTAAAAGAAAAAGGAAATTCATTGTGTGGTGCTTATAAAAATTTAAACGTATAATACAAAAATACCATCATTTTCACTGAATTAAGGTTGCCGGCGCGGAGTTTTATTTTAGATTCTGTCGTGATAAAAATAGCAATTCTAAATGTATTTCTACCGTTTCTTTTTATGTTTTTACCCAGTAAGGGACTTTTAAGTTATCCATGGGTACAAACGCGTCCCTTTCTGTTTTTATAAATTTCGTAATGGATAATATATTATCGAAGGGAAAAGAAAAGAGACATTATTGTTAATATTATTATTTCTAGATGTGTTGGAATTGTTAAGAGACTTATAAATGTCGGGACAGGGTCAAGGGGGCCGCAAGGGTGGTGGCTGGTCACCCAGCTATTTTCGGCCCTCATCACCCTATGCTCCGTCTCCACCACCGCGACTGGGTAGTCCTGGTACTCCCATGTTTAACGCGAGGTACACACAAATCCCGGCACCAACACCGAGGTGGCCTTCTCCAGTACCGCAAAGTCCAATGTCGACTTCCTCAGTGTCACCAAGTCCGAAGCCTTTTAGGCCTCAACATCCAGTAAGTGTTGCGGAGAAGCACGCTTATTTTCAAACATTTATTTTAACTACTATCATCTTTATCGATTAATATTAACGAAGTGTGTTTAATTATAAATGGTACTTTTTGGTAAACGCCTCTCGTTTCTCGTACTTGTGTTGTTCTAAAATTGGACCAGTTGCATACGTTATTACGGCGCTCTTTAAAAATAGAACTCTTATAAATGAAATTGAACCTTTTTTCGTAATTCTTCTCCTTTTTTGCAACCAAATACTACTTATAGGACGAAGTCACAAACGAAACGATGTTAACCAAAATTTCACAAATGTGTAATCCCTAGTGTGCTCAGGTTGTTGAACGCACTTGTGATAATAGAATATAGAAAGAAGAACTGCTTTTTTATTTGTTTTATTTATCGTTAAAGCCATCGCCGGCTCCAACGCGTGGTTTTGGATCTCCAACTGCGTTACACCGTTCATCTCCCGTGTCCAGCAGACATCCTCGTTATCTGCCAGGATCTCCCCTGTTTGTTACGTCTCCTTTGACGAAATGTGCTTCACCCGATTATTTCCACGGGATCTCTCCATATTTGGCCGACATCGGTCCACCGAGTCGCGACTACGAATACGTCGGGGTGCCTTTGGAGCCGCCTCCGCTACCAAAAAATTATGAACCCGACGAGGACGATTCTGGACCATCTACGGCAGAAATTATCGCAGCTCAATCGCAGGATTACGTAGACGAAAAGTTGGCAGAATATCAGGCCACCATTTATCAATTGCAAGGTAAAAAAAATTTAATGTTTTTTATTCTTTTGGCTCAAAGAACCATTTTCGTCGTTTGGTAACTATTAAGCTGCGCCAAAATTGTCGAAATGAAAGTGCAAGATTTTCTATTAAGTAAAAGTAGTACGTGGAGTAATTATGTTTGGTACATTCGGTTAGTATTGGGGTCGTTGTCTCCGAGAAATCAAAAATAAGCCGTTCTGATAAAAACCAGCAAACATAAATATGGATTGGCAAGCTTCCATTCGGTTGCTTTATTAATGCAAAGTATGAGCGTGTTGGGGTTGTGTATATGTAAACGAGTACAGACATACATGTATGTATGTATGTATTTAAATATAATCTAAAGCACACTTAGGAATATTTCGCAAAAAAGCCATTATTATAAGTATAATAATAAATCTGCCTAAGGCACGTTTATCTTTTCGTGCTTAAAAACGATCCTTATCACTTCGACGTCCTTTCCAGGTAAATTTAATTCTGTGAGTGTACGATTGGCTGGTATTTACGATACATTTACATCTTATTAACTACTCAAACAAATCGCAAAAGCAAGCAAAGGTGATACAGCATGTACCTGCTGCTAGTTGAACTGTGATGTAAATGATAAAAATACATTTCGTATGAAAACATGTCGGATAATATACCTATGTAATGTTTTATTTATACAGTGGAGTATTGTTGAATGTTCGAAAGTGTTCTATACATACGAATACACGTACGGGACACGTTAATGTAACCGCTTCATAATAAGAATGAAATTAATAGTCTTTCTTTATCTAAATGACCCGGTGAAGTGTTGTTCTAAAAATAGAAATGATCGTACAGGACAAGGTAGTTTATATAAACATTTCGTACCTATATACGAATGTTTACATAATATACGTTGTATATTTGTTTTAATAGAGAACAAACATTACATGTTTACAGTAGAGTTTTTTTTTAATGTTTCCGAAACGAGAGAAATATTTTTACATAAAAAAAGTATGTCCCACTGTTGTAAGTTTACAAATTATAGCAATAATATTATGATACGATATCAGATACCTAATAACTACTATCCTCATTACTAGATAATTAAACTGATACCGATATATAGATGAATTAGTAGTATTTACGAATTTGTTTTTAATTCGAATTAAAGATAAGAATTAGTCATACATATTTTATAGTTTTGATAATTAATAAACTTTTTTGGTTGCATTTTTGCAACGGTATTTCCAACATTTCCACAAAAAATAGAAAATAAGAGTCTCATCGTTTATCGTCCTCTGAAAGGAATGCATGTTATCAATACGTATTTGTTTACAGAGATAAGAGCAACTTTCCGTCATATAGATAACCATGAATTTGTTACTTGATTACCTATCTAAACAAAAACTGATACCGCTGGTCTTTTGGCTATCATTGGTGTTTGGAAATACTTAAATGTTTTTATTAATTTTGGCATTTTTTTAATCGGTTATTGCTCTCGTGCCAAAGAAAACATTTTTTAGACTTCCTACTTAAACTTGGCACAAGGATTTCGTTCACTGACGAAAATCTGAACAATATACCTGCCTTAAAACGTGTGTCCTATCAGAAATTAGACGTTTGAGTTTTGAAAGGTTTTTTTTTTGTTTTTAAAGTGATACCTACGAGTATTTCATTTTTATAATTTTTCATCATAAGCTGTAGAAACAGCTTTTATTAATAATATCTTAATGTTTTTCTGAAACGATGATGATGAAATCTAAATTCATATTAATAAACAATAGTAAATAAATTCACAGAGTGCCTGCATTGTAGCTTAAACTTTGATGTTTGCATGTTTACTTATTGAAAATTTCATTCAAGTTATTTTTAAAATGCACTAAAATAGCGTAATATCATTTCTCACTTTATCACTTGATAACCTGTGTACATTTTATCAGCATATTTGTGTGTATTATATGCACAGTTTATTGCAAACAAACTTTTGAGCCAAATGGTTTTATATGGATTCATAAATTACTTTCGTATTAGGTAATAGATTACTATGATGTACATTCTTTTATGAATTGTTGATGACGCCGATATAATTGATTAATTTTTATACCTACATAGTACGTAAAGTGCTTTTAAACAAGTGTGGAAAGCATAAAATTTGCAATCTAGTTTATTTCTCATGGTAGCCGAAAGAAATAAGAAAAAAAAATAAACGAATACGTATTAGAACGAACTGGGCACATAGTAACTATAGACTTCATTGATCGAAAATGTTATTTTTAAAAATGATGCCACATAGAACAGAACCAGAGAAAATTGGTTTAGTTTTGAACAAAATCAATAAATGCTTGGTGCAAATTAATCAGCTTAGCCTTTATAATGGGCACACAATTTATTTACATATGTATTTATATATATATCTATCTACATAAATATGTATGTGTATATTGCATGATAGTTCGGTCAACAAAGCGACCTTCGAAGAAATGAAATCAGCCACTTAAATTGTTAATGTCATCACTATTAATTTGCAAGTAAAAAACAGCAACATTCTCTTAATAATTTAATAGTATTGTATATTTAGGAAGCTTGCATTTTTTGTTTAAGTAACTGTTTCAGTTCTATATGAGTATTGTATACCCTAGACAAAAATTTTCAGTCTCTCTCCAGTCTCTCAGAGTCTTTCAGCGTCTCTGAGAGCGTCGCTCACAGTCTCTCAGTTATTGCCTAGGTGTTTTTATGGATCTCTCACAGTCTCTGTATGAGAGACTCGAACGATAAAATTGATAATTCAGAGATTCAACTCTCTCTCACCGAGAGACTGAATGAATAAAACTGAAAAATTGAGAGACTCGAGTCTCTCGTAGAAAGACTGGGATCTCTGAAATATGTTGAACTTGGAAAATTTTAACCATGTCTATCGAAACACCACTTATTGAGAGATTCCGATCAGAGATTCGAGTCTCGTTCAGAGACTTGATACGTAATGAGGATCTCTCCATAAGCGACTCGAGTCTCTCGTTCAGAGACGCTAAACAGTTTTTTTTTGACAGTCTCTCTCAGCGACACCAGAGAGACTCGATGAGAGACGGAGACTCGAGTCTCGCTTTCAGTGACTCTGAGAGACCGAACATTTTTAGCTCGGGTACTTATTAAAAAATAGCAAACAGCAACAAAATTATGAAACTCCATTGTTTGCTAAAGAAGTCAGAAGTTTTTGGTTGCTTCTGAAGACTTCATCAGGTCAGTAACAGTAATGCTGACGTCAATTTTTCTGCATAGTGAGTTACTACATTTAGTTTTTTTGCCTTAGCATGCAGTTCACTTTATGCACAGCTTTTGGTATGGAGTACACTTATAACTACTGAATATTTTTAATAATATACATAAATTTTCGCAAACTTTGCTCTCTCCACAACTTTGACTTCTTCAGACTTCAAAACCGAAAATATGAATTTTCGAACAAAATGAGGCACGTGTGTGTATTTACAGGTATCTAAATCGCAAATTTTAAGTAGCTGTAACCTTCTGTTTGATTTACAACCATGTATGCACCTATATGGGCGTGTGGATATATATAGGTACATATATCTGTTAGTACATTAGGTATAAAAGTATGTCACATGAGACGAGACATTGCAAAGAGGTCATTATTGCATAATCTGTTCCTTTCGTAACAACAGTCATGACTGTTTTCTTTAGTTGACCACTCAAGGAACCACAAAAATTTGGTACCCAAATGTACAGTGCATTTAAGTAGGTGCTTCTTTTCTCTGATGTGAACATTCCGTTCTACTCTGGTGTAGATGTAGATAAACCTATGTTTTATACGTAAACAGGATGATACTGAATCCTGTTATCGAAAAAATAGAGAAGATCACAAGGATAAAAAATTGGTGCCATGTGGGTACCACCCTTTTCGGAAATGAAGTTATCAGGCGATAAGATTTAGATGTTACTAACATCTGACTATGTTATGCACGTATGTAAGTTTTATAGAAAACCAGGATAATAATGATAATTAACACTAATTGAAAGAGTAGTAAAGAGAACGAGTGGCGATGCGTATTTGCCGTTCTTCTGTTTTCCAGTTAGCGATTTAGCGCAACCAGCGAAGCGGCAGGTTTTCCGCTGATCGTGAAAGAGACAAGTTTTCAGACTTGCTCAGTTCCATTCGCGGTATCGAACGATAACAAACGACTGACGACAAGGACGACTTTCGACTACGACGCCGTAGTCGCGGAGTGCACGAATTTTCCGATCTCCACTCGCCCATCGCCTCACCAAACATATAAACGTGCTCGATTATCGTGGAAAGAAAACAGTGAAATGGTAGCTTTCTTGCACCTCTTGACTCACAGTGATCATTTTCCAATTGCCGAAGGTGGTATAATAATAGTATTGTTGTGCCAAGTGCAATGAGCGACGAGGCATCGTCGTTGGGCACGCCCAAGAGCAAGCCCAGACGGTCATCGACTTCTGAAGACACCGTCGACCATCAGTTATCTCATAGTGCAAGCAAGCGTCTCAAAGATCGGGTCACGTTCTTCGAACAGATATGGACTGGAGGAAGTCCAGCAAAAGCCGACTCGACACCATTTCCGGACGCAGAAGAATTCGAAAGGAAACTCAAAGAAAAAGATCTTAAAACGAAACGAGATCGTTATGAAGAAGAACAAGAAGAAACGTACAGAAAGACCACCACAAAAATCAACCAACAGTATACCAGGATTACCAGGACGAGTACGAGTAGAACACCGTCCGAGGAACGAATCGTTGACGATTCAGCTTACCATACCAGTTACGGTGGAGCGAATACTTTGTCGCATTCCAAATCTTCGAGCGTCACATCGTTGACCGGTAGATTTTTATCCGAGGACAGCTTGAGGGCGAAGAGTCCTTTGAAAGAGGATTGGGAATCTGTGTCTAATAATACCAGTAAAATGACAACCAGCTCGTCCTCCGAGTGGTACAACGAATACAAAGCTCAAAGCTTACATACGGCGTCGCACCACAAGCTCGAGTACGTCAGGAGCAAATCGCAATACGACAGTCATATAGCATCAATACGAGGTCAGAATCAGATAAAACACTTACCATTGTCCCTTTAATACTAATATCAATAGTTAATCTCTAGGTGTATGTATAATTAGATTCGTATTTCAAACGGAATGATCTATTTCACTAATGAAAACAGAATACTAATATATATATAAAAAACAAATGTTAACTTCCGCTACGTTATCGTTTGTTATCATAAAAAGCACTCTTTACGGCTTGTAGAATGAGAATGAGGGCATTAATATGACAAAATAATTATTTATCGTTAGTTCCCTATGCAGAAAGGGATGACACGAATATCTCCTGATGATACGAGTTAACACAAACAGTTTATTCAATAGAATCATTGGAGATGATTTGTTTTTCCACGGATTTGTGCGTTACGCAAATGTTCGACTGTATACTCACGTACTATTGATTAATTTGGGTCCATATTTAATAAGTTTAAAAATAGAGGGTTCCGTAAGCTATTGAACACTCTAGGTGTCTTCCTACACTTACACGAACTGAGAAAAAAAATGATAGAATAAATTCGATCGTAGATTTTTACTTGTAATTCAAAAGTTGTTACATTAAATTCTAATTACATCTTATAATGTTATACTAGTAACATTAATCGGTGTTAAAAATTGTTATAGACATTGCAGCATTAAATTAATCGACATTGAATAACAATTCTTGTTAAATTCGAAGAAAAGGTTGTTTAAATGGAAGAAAATCTCATAAATTTTCCCAAGAAAATCCATGAGCAACCTTTTTATTCTCCCTGAGTACTTATATAATATGCTGTTTTCTATTCTATTGTAAATGGCGCTTAGAATGTTTAAATTTATTCCAGATGAACAAGAAAGAGTCCAGAAAAAGACATTCGTTAACTGGATCAACTCGATCTTGGCAAAGGTAATAAAAATGTTGAAGGTAACCGATACTTCTTGTGGGAAAGATAGATGTAGGTAAAACACAACTCTTTTACTTCGCATCGGGTTATTTTTGCAGTGTGTGTTACGGTCACGCCTTGTGATTTACCATTTTAAATGTTAATGTTAAGGTCACGTAACATTCAGATACAATGCATACAGAATTGAGCAGCACGTTTCAACCGAATTGTTGCAAAATATTCTACAATTTGTAATTTACCTACTCCTGATACTCACTCACAGGAATTATTATTACTTTATTTTCTGCTTAATAAATAAAAATTTTCCCTTCGAAAGGGGGAATCGTGAATGGCTTTTGTTCGCCTGTTATCGTTGTTAAGCTCTACTATTTTGTTCACCTATTCACGCTTATTAGATGATAATAGTAACATGTTTCGGAAGTTTTTAACTACAAATTAAGGCGATATTTATTCTGTTGTAAATATAGCGGATACCTCCCTTGAAAATTGAGGATCTGATAGAAGATTTGAAGGATGGTACCAAACTTATAGCTTTACTGGAAGTTTTGTCTGGGGAGAAACTGGTAAGCTGGTATTAATTGTACATACCTACTGTAAAATTGTTGAGAGCTTGTACTTACGTCATCGACATAGTCTGTACGAATCAATTCAGAATAACACATTCACATACTGATTATATGTATAGAAAGTACGTTCCAGTTTATATTCTTCTTGCTTCAGGCAGCACTATTCTTATTAGTACTTACAATATTAGTACAATTAAATTAAATGTTGAAATATTGTAACCTAATACCTTCCACTTGGTTACTAGGTCAATTAGCAATAATACAAATAGTTACAATTATTTTTTTTTAGTCTCTCTCACCCTAATAATTACTAATTCCTTGTCCTTTTTTTACATCTCCTTCTATTAATATATATTAATATTATCTTGAGTTGTTGTTTCAACTAATGATCATGTCTGATGTGAGATGTTTACGTGTCTTATCCAGTTGAACGTATGGTCAATATGCAATCTCTCAACGATGTTACTTAAAGGTACATAGAACGTCTTTTATTGTAATAAAGAATGTCAAAGGAAATTGCGATTTCTTTATCGGAAATTTTTGTTTGTAGCCTGTGGAGAGAGGCAGAGTTCTCCGCAGGCCTCACTTTTTAAGCAACGCTAACACAGCTTTGCAATTTTTGCAAAGCAGAAGGATTAAGTTGGTCAACATAAACTCCAGCGATTTGGTTGACGGTCGGCCAGCAGTCGTCCTTGGACTAATATGGACTATAATTTTATATTTCCAGGTATTTATCAAATGGCATACATTTGCAATTAATAGATACGTTTGTTTATGTAACTGCCTGACGGCATACTTACTATTAAGGATTTGTATGCATCACGAGGATGACATGAATCAAAAACTTCTCTTCTTTCGCGTCTCTATTTAAAGATGAACAGACAATAAAAATTTATTTACCTGAGGATAACAAAATAATTTTACATGCACAAATCTGTTTTACAAATCATATTTGTTATTTACTGTTTTGTGCAAAATTGTGTCGCGAACTTCCAAAATTATTTTATTTTTCTGTGACAAAATTGTGAGTAAAGCATGAACCTTTATCTTGCTCCCCTTTTAAAGGCGCATTCTTATTAAGGGTATATATATATAATTAACAAGGGGTGAACTAGTCTTTTGCTGTTGTACGTTGAATTTGGGGTCATGATAATTGTTACCTAATACTTGCCAAGTAGATACGCCGTATTTTTTAGCGCTTTGACCAAAATATATTCATTATTATACAGTTATTTAATAATATGACAAAGTGAGCTTGTCGCCTTATGCAATAAATACTTAAAAAACAATTGCTTAATATCTTAATAAAACGTTTTCTAAGCTTCGCAATAAGGATGCAAGGATGCCACCGGTAAGTACCAGTTTTATTGTAACCTTAATTCCATGTACAAATCTATGTATATGATTTTTTCATTTCAATCATAATGAGAGTTATATTACGGTCTCTCAAAGCTTTCGTAGACTTTCTTATTTTTCCGCTTTAGGTTTCCTGTTTATTATTTATTATTTGCTTGCTGATTCAGGCTTTACATTTGTTATGAAACGGGAGCGTATAAAGGTTTTTGTTGAGTGATTACCGAAATATATCAAACGACATATCCTATATTTACACTAAAAATAAAAGAAATACAGAAAATAGTGCATGACTTCTGTTGCTACGACGATAAAATATATCAAACGACATATCCTATATTTACACTAAAAATAAAAGAAATACAGAAAATAGTGCATGACTTCTGTTGCTACGACGATACGACGATTATCTTCGATTTTCTACCAGTTCTTATTTCGTTTAATTGTTTAGATCGAAGAGAACAGCAAAGTGCTAGAGTATTTAGGTCCTTGGGAGAGCACGAGTAGTTTAGAAAGCGCAGGAACGTTGTCGTCTTCGACGAAAGACAAAGAGAAATGGAAGCAGGGTGCGAGAAAAACGCTCCTCCAATGGGTCTCGAACGCCCTGCCGAGCGATTGCGGCGTGGACGTTCGAGACTTTGGAGCCAGTTGGAGAGACGGCATAGCATTCCTCGCCTTAATTGATGCAATCAAAGCGAACCTAATTAATTTGGCCGAACTGAAGAAAGCATCGAATCGCACGCGATTGGAAACTGCATTCGACGTGGCCGAAAAAGATTTGGGAATCACGCGACTGCTCGATCCTGAAGACGTAGACGTTCCACGACCTGACGAGAAATCGATAATGACCTACGTAGCCCAGTTTCTTCATAAATATCCCGAACCAAAAAGCACAGGACCGGACGCCATCGCCGCACTTCGAGAGGAGTACGGCGACTTGTTGGCGTGGCTTTTGAAGAAAACTCAATATTTAGAACATTTACAACAAACCGAATCGCTACCACTCATCTACGACGAATACGAGAATTTTGTCGACGAAGTGGAAGCCAAGGAAATAGTCTACAGAAAGTTGAAAGGAATCGTCGAATCAAAAAGCATGGTGTCGATAGCGACCGAATCCTGGTTTGATATCAATAAACTCTGGCATCAGCTTCAGGGACAGTTGAGATTTTGGTTGGCTTTGCTGGACGCACAACTTCCCACAGACTTCCGCTTTGTCGGCGAATGGCTGGCCAAAGCAGAAGACTTGCTGTATTCCGATGATACACCCGCGGTCATGAACGAAGAGGCCGCGACCGTTATCAGTAGAAAACTAGAGGAACATAAGAAATTCTTTGCCGATTATCCTAACGTTAGATATAAGTTTGAGGAAGCGTGTGATACTCCTTCAGTTCGTCAAGTGCCTCCCTCCCAATTGGCTAATATGGCTAACAGACTGAACGCGGTTGTTCCAAAGGCTGCCCAAAGAAGGGTCAGACTTAAATTCCTTGAGCACAAGGTAACAACTCGATGTTATTACCCTTTATTTATTGTAATTAAAAAAATAAACGTGTTTATTGCAGTGTTGCCTTGTTGCTTTTCTACAACTGACTGAGAATAAGCTCAAGGGGTGGACGGTCAAATACGGACGACTGGAAAAAGTCGTGCAGTTTTTGGAACAGTATAAAAATTTCGTATCTAAAAATAATATTTTTCAAGAATTTAATAGGGCCTACGTGGATATGCAGGCAGTTATAGAAGAATATAAGCGCGATGGCAATATAGGTAAGTCACTTTCTTTTTTTTTTCGTGTGTGAACTTTTCTATTTAATTTGGACGGGTTTTAGAAAAAAAACAAGTGAACGAAATCGAAAAGTTTATGCGTGACATAGCGGATCGTTGGAAACATGTGTCGATGGAGTTGAGGTGTGTCGAAAGCATGCTCGAAGAGGTTGTTGCTTATTGGCGTAGATGGAACACACTTTCCAGCGAATTTTCCAACTGGCTCGACCAGGCCGAGAAACACATCAAACTTTCGGAAGACGATCGAATGGAGTTCTTCCAAGACATCAGCGTGTGGAGAGACAATTATCAACTTCTCGGCGACACTGTGAGCTTCTTGATTGCAACTTGTCAGGATCAAATAGCCGGTGAACTTCGCGAGAAGTACAACGAAATGACCGCCCGTTGGGATAACCTTTACCCCCACGTGAACCAGTACAGTCATGCAGGAGACATCCTCAGAAACAGAAAGGAGTTTAGGGCAGGAGTCGAAGTTTTGTCCAACTGGCTCCGAAACGCAGAAGAAGTCGTCAACTCCCAACAACTCGGTTCCATTGACAAAATCAAAGCCCACGGAGAAAAACTGTTGAAACTCCAAAGCGAAGTGGGAGGAATCGAAGACTTATTCAAAAACGCGAGCAAAACCTTCCAAACGTTGATTCAAGATTTATCGAGAGACGAAGTCGATAAGATGATGGACATGCTAAAAAGACAGAAGGAAGCGTTGGTACGAATGCGTGCCCTCATACCGCAACAGATACATCTGTTTAGTCAGCTGCTCGTTCAACAGGAGTCTCTGGACGCAGGATATTTGGAGATAAGCAATTGGTTAGATGAAGCAGAAGCGCATTTGAGCGGCTTGTCGCTGGGAGGAAGCAAAGAAAATGTACAGAACCAGCTCGACAAACATAAGCGTTTCTTTGCCAGAACGCTATACTATCAATCGATGTTGGACAGCAAAAATAAAGTTCTAAGGAACATCGTTAAAGCTATAGATCACGACACAAATTCCGACATCATGGAAATGAACGCCAAGATGCAAAGGTTGAACGACAGATTCGAGTACGTGATTAAGAACGCCCAAAAGTGGGAACACAATCTACAAGAAATTATACGTTGCTGGTCAGACTTCAACGAATGCGAAAGGGTTATCTCGACATGGTTAACCAAGGCTGAGGAGTTTATCGGCGAAAAACGCATTGATTCTAAGCAGACTGTCGAAAAGCACAAACATTTCTTCGAGAGTGTTGACGAAAGATGGATAAATGATTTGGCACAAACCGCTAAAAATTTACAGAAATGCTTGCAACCCGATCAGCACAAACCCATCGTCCAATCCGTGGAGAGACTTCAGGCCAAATGGAAAGAGGTGTTGTACTTTGCACCCTTGCACTTAATGAGATTGGAATTCCGCTTGGACGAGAGCGCCTTTAATCAATACGTGAAAGAAATGGAAAAAGAAATCGTCTCCGAAAAACAGGTGATGAACAAACAAGGCGACATTCAGGATGTTCTATTGCGAAACGAAAAATATTTCGGTCGACTTGGGCATCTTCGTGAAGCCGAACAGTGCCTACATAACATGGAAAAGATTGTCACCGTGTACACTCAGCACAACCCAACGGATAAAACTTTGAAAGAATCTTTGGATCAGTCCTATGAAAAGTGGAAAGGTGTAAACGAGAAACTGGAAAATCTCAAGCGACAATTGGACGTTATTCCGGAAAAATGGAAAGAATACCGTCAGAGATTCGAGAGCATGATAAAATGGATGACAGAAGTCGATTCCGTTTTGAATAAAATATTTTCCAACATCCAAAACATGGAAGATTTCGAAAGGGACAAGAGAATTTTTCAAGGCGTATGCAACGATGCAGATAATAAACGAGACGACGTCAAGTGGTTGGTCCAGTGTTTAGATTTTCTTTTGACCAGCTGCTCGGAAAGCGATGCTACAGTTGAACAGTCGAAACTGGAAAGTTTGATAACGAAATACAAAAATTTGATACCTACACTAGAAATAACAATGACGAAAACGGAAACCCTGACGAAATGTTACATGTACAGGAAAGAAGTTCAAGAAGTTTGCACTTTGCTTAGACGCGTCAGAGAACAATCTAAAGAAACTCTGCCCATCAAGGATTTAGAGACCATGAACAAAGTTGTTAGGCAACAAGATTCGGCTGTAGTTCAACTGGATCAGCAAAGGTCGAACATTATTTCGATGTTGCAAAAGGGAAAAGATCTCGCAAAGGACACGTTCGCACCGGAATTCCTTAAACAGGAAATCCTCTCTCTGGAAAAGGGCTGGAACGAAACATACGAAGAAACCAACAAAAAATTACAGACGTTAAAGACCACCCAGGTAGTTTGGAAGTCTTACAACGATCAAAAGGAAGAAATCGTCGGTCTATTATCACATGCTAGAGCGGAGTTGAACAGAGTTGCTCCTGATCAATATACAATTTCGACAATACAAACGGATCTACACATTAAAGAAGAACTCGACGTCCATTTGAGGGAAAGAACTCGAGAAATGTTGCAGAAGTTGAGAGAACTCTATTTTAGGCTCAGAGAAATGGAACTGATCGATATAGATTCCGAATTGGAAGAGGAAATCAAAGACATAGACGAGCGTGTTGAAACTACGACCAGAAGCGTACAAGAGCAGGTTCAATATCTACAAAAATACAAGACAAAATGGGTGGAATTCGATACTCGCCTGAAAGATCTTCGAAAATGGATAGTTCAGGATGTACCTCTCATGATCGAACACATAGACGAGGAGTACTTGGAACCAGAAGAACGCATCGAAAAAACGAAAGCTCTGAAATCGGAAGTTGCCGAAAAGGTTGATCTGCTCGATCAACTGTACACCAATTCCAAAGAAGTGATTATCAACGAGCAAACCCCAGAGGCTCATAAAGTTAAGACGGACTTGGCGGAGCTGAAAGATAAGATTGAGAAAATAAACGAAGACGTTCAAGTACAGTCTATTGTAATCGATAAAGATTTAGAAAAGTGGAAGAAGTATCAATCTGAGATCGGCACAATTAAACCGTGGATAGAAAGAGCTGAAGTAAAAATGCAGACCGGTTATCCAAAGCCGACCACCTTGGAAGAGACCAAACAGACACGGACGAAGATTGAAGAATTCAATAAGGACTGTGACATACAAATGACTAAACTGGAAAACATTAAAGATTTGAGTAGACAAATGGTAACAAAGAAACTTGTTAATCCAGACGAAATAGACACTCTATTTAGTAAATGGACTGTTATAAAACAAACTGCGTCCAACTGGAGTAACAAATACGACAAGTTGGTTAGAAACTGGGAAGAATTGGACGACGATATTAAAAAATTAGAAACATGGGTCGAAAAGAACAAACAAAGGATCGATGGTAATTTAGCTGAAAGCAAACGTCCCCAACTTAACACTTTAGAGAAAGAATTGGCAGATCTGCGAAGCTTCAATAACGAAGTATTCGCCCAACAGGCTAATCTGATGTCTCTGATGCAAAGCTCAGACTCTGTCGGCCATCTTCTCACCCCAGAAGGTTCTGCCGAGTTAAGAAACAGGATACAGGACTTGAAAACTAAAATAACAAAACTGGCCGAAAGTACGAGGAGTAAAATAGACCAACTTTCCGACGAAATTCTTCACAGGCAAGAGTTCCAAAATAAGATTGAAGAATTTTCAGATTGGATCAATCATCTGGAGAACAAGGTCAGTCAAGTCAACGAAATTAAATCGGACAAAGTTGACGTCGCCCTACAGACTGTTCACGACCTGATTCAACAGCACACAGATAAACAAACAATGTTTAACAATATTTATCAAGAAATTAAAGACATGTCCCTGGCAAGTCGCCCCGAAGAGGCAGACGCTCTCAACGAAAATTATAGCAAGATCGCACAGACTTACCAGACTGTTGAGCACAAACTCAAAGATAAAAAGACTTCGTTAGAAAAATGGAGGGAATTGTTGAATTGGCATCAGGAAACGATGAGACAACTGTCCCATACGAAATACCAAACTAAAAAACAAAACTTAAACGTAGAAGAGTTGAACAAGTTCATCAAAGACGTCGACACGACGTTATCGAAAATTGAAAATTGGAAATCGAAAACTAGTCAACTGGACGACAAATCGCGGCAGATAGTTATAGTCGACGAGAGTACCGGCACTCCGACTACTGCAGAAGTTTTATTGAATCAAGAAGAAGCCGAAGCAACCGATGTTAAACGATTACTCGTTGACAAAGTCGGTTCTGTGGAAAAATTAGAAGCCCAACGTCATTCGTTCACTAATTTACAAGAACAACTCGAGAAAAAATCTAACGAAATAGAGAAAGAGCTTAAAGAAACAATCGAAAAAGCAACAAGCATCAAAGATTTTCAACCGGTTGTAGACCACTTGGATAATCTACAGAAGAAGATAGCACAGTCGTCAGATTTACGAGAGAAACTGCATAAAGAAGGCGAATCGTTAATAAAGCACGATTTTCAAAACGTTTCGACAGTACAAAATGCACTCTTGAAAATAGATTCGAAATGGGAAAAGCTAAGCGAAAAAGTCGAAGAAGAAAAGCAGCGATACAGCGACAGTTTGGCATTACTTGACGAATTCCACGAAGAAAAAGAAAAGGTAACTAAAGATTTAGAAACAATTGATCACGCTTACAGCACTCAAAAACCTTCGTACGATCTAATCCAAGCAAATGGTAATTGTGCCGATGCGAAAAGAGCATTGGAAGCGGTGAAAAAGTCGAAGTTATATTTGGATAGATTGGAGAAAAAAGCTCAAATTATTCTTAAAAAATTCGAACCGGATTCGCTCATAGAACAAGAAATAAAATCGGAAATACACGAAGCGAACTCGTATTGGTCTAAAGTGTACGAGAAAATTCTTAAAGTTGTTCACTCCAGTGAGGCAGAGGCCATCGTTTGGAAAGACGTCGAGGAGGTGAAGAACGAGTTAATGGCGTGGTTAAACGAACAAAACGTCGGTTTAACAACTGCAATCGAAAGACCAAACGAAATAGAAAACGCCCAAATTAAATTGACCAAGTATAGGGAAGAACTTCCTTCGCACTTAAGTCTCAAGCAAAACATTTTGAATAAATACGAAAAGTTATTAGAATTCGAAAACGTTAAACAGATTCCCACCGTTGAATCTCTAGTACAGGTGCTCGAAGAACAATTCGCGGAGGTACAGAATAACGCTGATAAGCTCCAAGAGGTCACCTCGAACTATAGCAACAAAGAAAAGTCGATCCGTACTCAAATTAAAGAGTTCAATAAGACGATATCGGCATACAGAGAGAGAGCTGTGAAATGCGAAGATCTTTCTGGAGAAATCCCCAATGTCTTCGACCGATTAAACTCATGCCAACAACTCCAAAGAGAACTCAGCGGTTGTAACGATCAGGTCCAGAAGATCGAAGAAAGTATCGACAATATAAAAAGTTTGTACAGTAACGTTGGCGATGGTAATATCTCTAAAGAATTTCAAATGGCCAAAAAGAGATACGAAAGCGTTCTGTCGCAGACGAAAAAGGCCGAAAGCTCATTAAAAAGTTTCCTCGAAAAGTTGTACAACGAGAAATGCAATAATTTAAATCGAATAATAAACACCCACAGGGAGAAAATAAAATGGTGCTTACCGGAAGCAGACAGTGATAAGTACAATTTGGATATGAAATTGAACACGCTCACTAGTGTTACCGAAAATTTCGAGGAGTGCGACAAACGAATGAAAGAAATAGAAGAGTCTTTGAATCAAATTTGCCAAATCGAGACGCCCGAAACTAAAAAACTTCTCACCCAAGAAAAGGACAAACAAGCCGTTGAACTGAAAAAACTGAAGGACGAGCAAGCTAATGCCGAAAAGTTAGTAAAGAATTGCCTCAATCTTCTAGACAAACACGAACACATGGTCGAGAACATCTCATCGAAGCTCAAACCGATCGAAGATGTTGCTCGTTTAGAAAATACTAGTAGTATCGCCGTTGATTCCATAAACGACAAGATCAAGGAAATACAAGATTCAATGAATCGACTCAATCAATTCGAAAAGGACTTGGACCAATTAAAAGATTTGGACGAAGAAATCCAGAAGCAATTGCCTAATTCCAGGACTGCTCGTGCCAGCCAACAAATTTTTGCCCGATTTCAGGCTCTATCCAAGTTTATTTCGAATTATTTGGAAAAACTGAATGAACTGGAAAGCTACATTCAACAATACAAACAGAGCGTCGATAGGTTCGAAAAGTGGCTTCAAGAAGCCGAAACTAAGGTCAAATCTTACGAGCATATAGTTTCAACGAGTTCCAGACCTAATCAGTCTACTTTAGAAGAACTAAAACAATTCGTAAAAGAACGGGAAAGAGGACAAGAACTGCTGAACGACGCCGTGGATCACGGAGAAGCTCTCTTCTCTGGTATTACTCCTGCAGACAAGGAAAACATTCGTACGGAATTGCGCGAGTTGAGGAAGAAACTGGAAAGTATAATTGATGAAGTTAACGACGTCTACAAAAAAGTTGAGACGAAGCTGTTGCAACGTAATTCGTTCGACGATAGCTTGGAACAAGTGAAAAACTGGCTCACGGATGCAGAACTAAAGGTAGGAGATGAAGACGATCTGGATGCGACTTTGCCCGAGAAGAAGCAGAGACTTCACACCGTACGAGGTCTTGCCCAAGACGTTGTTTTGCACAAAAACATTATCGAACAGCTACTGGCAAAATTAAAACAAATAACAGACGAAGAAGCAACAGCAAAATTGAACGCAATCTTACAGAAATACGAGAATCTTGCGAAAAAGGTCGACCAAAAGTTGCAAACGTCAGAAATATACGTAAACGATCACGAAACTTATCTGAAAGAATTAGAAAAGTGTAGCGATTGGATGAGTGCACTCACATCAGAAACTGCAATATTTATAGACGACACCAGAACAGAAAAACCGGATTATAAAGTAACCGTTGCCGATAATTTGTTGGCCTATCAAAACGAAGGCAACGCGCTATTGAACAATTGTAAGGAACTGTTGGAGAAAGTCCTGAAACAGACGGCACCGTCGGGACACCCTGCTCTAAAGAAATTATTTAAAGAACTTGAAGACGCTTGGAAGGAGTTCATCAGCATTTGTTCCGAAGCTAAAGAAAAACTGAAAGTTATCCAGGACAAGCAGGTGGAATACGAAAACTCGCTTTCCGCTTTGGAGGATTGGTTCAAACAGAAGGAGATGCAGATCAAGGATCAAAGTTTGAAAAGCACCGAAGAAGCAAAAGCTGCTCACTTGGAGAAGTTAAAGTCATTAGAACAGGAGTTTCAGACACGCGAACCCGACTTTGCACAGCTGTCGCATTATCCAGAGATCAAGGAAGAGCTTGTTTCAAAGGCTTCTCAGCTTGCTACCAAATTCAATGCGGCTAAGAAGAATCTAAAAGAGAGTATATCTAAATACGAACAGTACGTAGCAGAGCACAAGTCATTCAATAACGATTACAACCACGTGCTCAACTGGATAACGTCGAAGCAAAACGATATTCAATCAATAAGTCATATTGTTGGGGATGTTGCTGTACTACAAGAACGACAACAAACGGTAAAGTCATTGATAGACGAGAGAAACCAAAAGAGCTCAGAATTCGAGCGTATACTGGAAAGAGGAGAACGATTATATCCACACACTTCACCCGACGGCCGGGAAATAGTAAGGCAACAGCTTAGAAATCTGAGAACCATTTGGGACGGCTACACCGAAGATTTGCAGAGCGTGGCGCTGAAATTGGATCAATGTCTCATCCAATTCGCCGATTTCGCTGCTATGCAAGAACAACTGACGAAATGGCTGAAGGACGTTGAAGCAGCTATACAACAACACACGGAGCTAAAGACAACATTGCAAGAAAAGAAGGCGCAACTTCAGAATCACACCATAATGCATCAAGAAATCACGTCCCATCAAAGACTGGTCGACTCCGTTTGCGAAAAGGCTCAAGAACTAGTCAACCAGACTAAAGACAAGTCGTTAAACATCTATCTCGAATCAATTAAACAACTGTTCAAGAATATCGTAACAAAATCGGAACAGCTTCTTTCAAACTTGGGCGATTGTGTCGAAACACATCAAAAATACAATAACCAAGTTGCAGTATTTAAAAAGTGGCTGAACGAGGAGTCGGAAAAGGTGCAAAGTTTCAACACCACAAAGGGCGACGAAACAGAACTGAGAAAAAGGATTGAAGACCTGAAAATTCTACAGGCTAATAAAATCGATGGGGGTAATAAATTGGAACAATTAAAACAAACGTTTGTAAGTGTGTCTAAATCGACAGCTCCGGCAGGAATAGACGAACTTAAGACAGAAATGAGCCAAATCGAAGATTCATTACAGAAACACTTCGCCAAACTTGACGAGGTCATTTCGAAACAAAACAATGCGTTACAGCAATGGAAAGAATTTGAGAGCGATATGGAAAAATTAAACGAATGGTTCAAAAGTATCGAGTACGAATTCAGAGATCAACCTCTTCAAGCGAATCTAAAAACTAAAACCGATCAACTGCAGAAATTCTCTCGGTTGAGGGACGAAATATCGTCAAAAGAAAAAGAAATCGAATCGGTCTGCGACAAAGGTCATAGCTTGTTTCAAATTAGTGAGGCGCCAAAAATGAAATCCGCCGTAGCGCAAACCGGAAGCCGCTATCAAAATCTCTTGGCAATAAGCAAAAACACCATTGACAAATGGCAAACGCTGGTTGACGATAACGCCAATTACGATAGCAAATACAACGAAGTTCGAGCATGGCTAAAACCGCTGGAAGAACATTTAGAATCGCTCCAGCGGAAGGAAGAAAGCACCAACATGGAAATTAGGAACAACATATTGCAAGTGTTGCTGTCCGAAAAAGAGACTGGAAGGCACAAACTCAACAGTTTGACTATTGTTGGAGAAAAACTTCTGCCTGATACCGCTGCCGAAGGCAGAGAAAAAATAAGGAACGACTTGAGAAATGTCCGGGAGAGATGGGATAAAATCGAAGAAGGTTTGTATAATAATATAATATAAACATTATTTCCAATGTTTCGTAACATTTACAAATCATATCCTATTTGAATAAAATAAATGAATGAGTTATAGAGTTACGAAACGTTGCGATGGTGTTTGGCATTCACTTATTACGATTTGCTGTGTTATATCCCAATTCCTTTAGGTTTGGAAAAGCAGCAGAAACTCCAAGATGCGCATGCTTTACAAATATCCAGTTATCAAGAGCAGTTACAACAAGTCCAAGCATGGCTTGATACAATGGAAAAGACTCTTCAAATAGACACCTCCACTTGGGTGACAATAAATGAAGTCAAAGCAAAATTACTTAAGCACAAAGCGATTCATCAAGAGATTGTTTCTTATAGAAAGGCGATTGATAGTGAGTTATATCAACAAGTTACATGTGCTAAAGTTATGCGCAAATTTTATTTTATAGGTACAATCGACAAAGCAAGAATTCTAGAAAAGTTCTTCAATACGGAAAACGAAAAACGAAACGTCGAAAAGGATATTGACTCGATTAATAACAGATACCGATCATTGGTTGAAAATTCCAAGGCGGTACTTGCACAGCTTGATAATTGCCAAGAGTCGTACTTACAATTCTCCGAAATGTACAAAGCGTCTCAAGATAATCTTAAACAATTATGGGATCAACTATCCAACTACACCGACAATTCCGGCAACAAACAAACCCTGCAAGAACGTTTGGACAAACTTTCGGAGATTCAAAATCAAATCCCTGGATTGAACATGAAACTGAAGGAAATTCAAGATTACGTCGACAATAAAATTTCCCTTTTACCTGTTCGTACACAAGAAACCATGAAAAGACAAGTTGCAGATTTAAAGGTGGAATTGGATAAATTCATCGCCACATTGAGTGATGTCAAGTACGCTTTGGAGGAACGCCTTCAACAGTGGGGAGAGTATGAAGAAAATTTGGACAAACTCTTACTTTGGCTCGGAGACGTGGAATCTTCACTCAAAAGCTACACCCAGAAGACAACACTCGAAGAGAAGAAAGAACAGTTGGAGAAATACCAAGCGCTTTTGCTAGAACTAAAAAGAAACGAGCCCGAATTTGACAAAATTGCAGATGTTTCTACAGAACTGGTCCAGAGCAGCGGAGAGAACCGTCTCTTCGTTAACATTCAGCAGATGCTTTCCAGATTTCAGTCTGTTCAGGTCACTGCCAAGGAAATAGCGAAGAAATGCGAACAGGCATTCAAAGACCACGAAGCTTTCAACGAAAAATACAAACAGTGTAGCGATTGGATTGCCGCCGCTCAGTTCAAGTACGACACATGTCAGGATAATATAAAGAAAGAACCTAAAAAGGAAACGATGCTCGAGGCTATTAAAATTTTCGAAGAGCTTATCGATCAAAGGAGCACCGTCAATTCTATGCTCAATAACATGATCGAATTGGGAGAGAAGACCTACTGGAGTACGTCCCCAGAAGGAAGAGAAATAATCAGGACCCAAATACAAGAACTTCAACAAGCTTACGAATCCCTGTACGACGCAATCGGTAGCAACGAAAGGGATATTAAGGACAAATTGAATAGGTAAGCCCATACTTACGAGGGTGGATTGATAAGTTTCCGGCCTGACCAAGAAAAACAAGGTTTTTAAAAATTTTTTTTTTTATTTCTCAACATAATCTCCTCCAAGGCTGATACATTTCTCCANGTGCTGTCAAACCTACACTAGCAAGGAGATCGGGCTGAAACTATAGCTACAAGCTATCCAAGGATGGTACTATAGAATGTCACCTCAAGGTAGGCCTAGTGGCGTCATCTCTTGGTTAGGCCGGAAACTTATCAATCCACCCTCGTATATCTTAAAGAACTTTTAAATTTAATGACGAGTGCATTGTTTGTTGTTTAGGTTAAATTCAGTCGAAAACAGTTTGGAACAATTAGAAAATTGGTTGAAGGAAACCGAAGAAAATTTACCTTTAGAATTAGAGTTGAAGGCAACGTTAGACGAGAAACGCGAACAGTTGCAGAAATATAGATCTCTATTGCACACCGTAACGTCTCACAAAGAGCACATAATGGACCTAAGGGTGAAGATCGACAATCTTCCAGATCACGCAGAATCCGTCGATCAACAGTTGTCGTCAATTTCGAGTCGTCACGAGAAACTGCAACAAAGAATACAATCATTCGTCGAACGATACGAAGAATTCGTCAACGATCATCAGCAGTACAGCAAAGCCGTTTTGGAAGCACACGAATGGATGGACGCGACGCACAACACCGTCGCTCTTTGGGAAAGTACCGAGATGGAACGGGTGTCGCTTCTATCGAACCTGAAACGTTTGAAGAATTTGCAGTCTTCACTGCCCGAAGAGGAGTCCAGAATAACGAAGATACGATCGTTGGGAACCAAAGTGATCCCCGGCACTGTCGACTACGGTCAAGCCAATATTCGTTCGCAGGCCGACATGTCTCAACAAGAGTGGGAGTCGCTCAGGTCTTTTGTGGCCTCGGCAGTGACATCGTTAGAAGCCAAACTAAACAGCTGGGCCGACTATGAGAACAAAAAGGACGAAATATTGGAATGGATCCGCGATATGGATACGAAATTGCACCTGATTGATCTGAAGGCAACGGCCAAAGAAAAGAGACAACAGTTTGAGCAGCTGAAACGCCTCCAGGGTGAGGTTAAAGCCAAAGAATTGGAAATAGACGTTTTAACCGAGAAAGCTCAACAACTACATAAAGATCTCGGCACCAGAAATTCTCAGATACTCGAACTTGGTGTAAAGTATCAGCAGATCGTTCAGAAAATTAAAGAACTAACATTAAGATGGCACAATTATGCTTCCAACCACGAGGATTTCGACTCAACCACTGAAGCCTTCTCGTCGTGGTTGAAGGATCTAAACGAGAAAATCGACCAGTGTTCCGACATGACCAAGCTGTCCCAAGGAGACCTTGAGACGAAGCTACAGAAGATTCAAGAGTTAATTCTCAACAAGGACGAAGGCTCTGCTAAAGTGCAAGCCATCGTTGAACTTGGGCAAACCATTTTGGCTAACACGGTACCCAGTGGACATGACGAAATAAGCAAAACGGTAACCGAATTGCAAGAGCGATGGTCCGATCTGGTATCAAAAATGATAGAGACCAAGAGCATGCTGGAAGACAGCATCGCCAAGTGGTCGGGACTGTTGGATCAAACTCAAGGACTCGACAAAACCATCGAATGGATGGAAGCTCAACTTGCCGAGTTTTCGGTCTTTGAAAACACGCTTCCTGAAAAGAAGTCGCAGCTCGAACGTATTAAGAACGCCGAGGAAAAGATTCGCGTGGAGAAGATCGAAGTCGACAATCTTCAGGCAAAAGTCGACCAAATATTAGTTACGAGTCAGCAAAGTCAGGCTGCTCGTCAAACGAAAACTATTTTGGACAAATTTTATCGGTTAGCTGACGAAACGGCCGTAAGTACAAAAATATAATCAGTTTTATAAATGTCTAAAAATATTTTACTTTTACAGAAACTATTGCACGCCAGAGGAAGTCAGTACAGGGATCACAAGACGTACAAGGAAGCTTACGAGGAACTTCAACGATGGCTAATGAGAGCCCAAGAAAAGATTCCTCAGCTAAAACAACGACCGTTGTCGGATAAAGCTGCAGTCGATAATTTTGTGGCGCCAATCGACGCCCTTCTTAACAAACAAGCCCAAGGGGAAGTCCTGCTTGAAAATCTGGAACAGGCTGCGCAAGTAGTTGTACCAACCACCGGTGCCACGGGTCAGCAAGCGATTCTCAACGAAACGAGAGCACTCAGAGAAAGCTTTGAAAGACTTTTCAAAGGTAAAAATAAGCGACATTTAGCGTAATACGAAATCGATTTATTTCTCTCTTTTTTTACAGACTTAAGGGAACAAAAAGAACTGATGGATTCCGTTCTAGCCCACTGGAGAGACTACAAAGACGAATACGAACGTCTTTCCGATTGGCTTCAACAAATCGCCATTCTCACCAAGAATCAAAAGATCGCGCTCTCAGCCACCGTTCCCGAAAAAGCGAAACAAGTACAAGACGTGAAAGACATACTAAAGAAACTGACCGATGGTAAAGTTCAAATAGACGCGTTTTTCAAAGCTTCAGAGGTGCTACTAAAGTCTCATCTCGACACGTACGTCAACAATCAACTTCAACAACTTTATTCCCGCTACCAAATAGAAGTGAATTTGGCTCAGGATGTTCTCAAAAAGGTCGAAACCAATCTGGAACAGCATGTGCAGTTCAACGAAAGCTTGGAAAAAACGCGAAACTGGATCGAAAACGCCCGAGAACTCATACGAAATTGTTCAGAAACCGGAGCGTCTTCCAGCAAGGATGACCTACAACAACGATTGCAGAAAATACAAGATTTGTTACAAAAGCGGGAAGAAGGTCAACACTTACTGTATTTGACAGTCAATAACGGCGAGAAAGTGTTGAGAAACACGCGTTCTGACGGTCGCGAAACGATCAACAACGAATTAAAGGAGTTACAAGCAGAATGGGATCGCCTGGTAAAGAAGATGTCGTCGGCCAAAGTCCATTTAGAGACTGCTCTTTTGCAATGGGCCGATTACGACAGTTCCTATTCCCAATTACAAAAATGGATCACCGAACGCGAAGCGAAGCTCCAACAAGTTTCCGAACAGAAAGTCGAACGTGCCAGAAAGGGGCAACTCGGACTTAGTTCCCTTCCCATTGGAGAACGCAAGGCAACCCTCCGAGAAACGAACAGCATCGTCCAAGATATTGTTTCTTTCGAACCTGTTATCCATTCGGTTGCATCGAAAGCGGAAGACTTGAAGCAAGCCGAACCTGCATCCGAAATATCAAGCAAATATGAAAATCTCTCGAAACAAGCCCGACTTCTCTACGAAAGACAAAAGGAAACCGTCGAACAACACCAATCGTTCATCGATGCCGTCACCGATTTCATTCAATGGATTCGGGTGGCCAAAGAAAAATTAGGAAAGTGTTCCGAGCCGACTGGTGACAGGGAAAGTTTAACAGGAAAGTTGTCGCAGTTGCAAGTGTTATTGAACGAAAAAGCCGAAGGTGAAAAAATACTAAACAGAGCATTGGTAACTGGAGAAGCCGCATGCCAATGTGCCGACGAAGACGACAGCGAAATAATCGAGGAAGAAGTCGCTTCGTTACAAGAAGAATTCGAACAATACGTGGAATGTTTAAACAACACGAAGGGTTTGCTGGAATTGGGCATCGTCAAGTGGACAGAATACGGAGAACAGTATCATCTGGCGCTCAAGTGGCTGGAGAAGTCCGAAGAAGAAATGCAAACCTACAACAAACTTCAGAACACATTGGAAGAGAAAAGGACGGTTCTGGAACAATTTCAAGTCCATTTACAAACGTTATTCGACTGGCAGACGAATTTAGACAATCTCAACATGAAGGCGCAAAAACTGTTGGAAACCTGCGCCGATACCAGAATCAGCAACGCAGTCACCCAAATTGCTACCAAATACAACGCCTTGCTGTCGCTTGCTAAAGAAATAATGAAGCGATTGGAGTTACACTACCAGGAACACCAACAACACAGCGCACTTTACCAGGAATGCCAGGAGTGGATTTATAGGACTCGCGAGAGGCTGAACGAATGTGGCGAAGCCTCCAATTCCTTGTCCGACATTAACGCGAAACTTCAAACCATCAAAGGCATAAGGGCGTCGTTAGAACAAGGCCAGAACAAATTAAGATACATTTTGGAATTGAAAGAGAAGGTCATTTTAAATACTGAACAAATTGGAGCTGTTAAAATACAAGAAGACACAGAAAATCTAAAACTGGACATGGACAAACTTCTGGCAGACGTCAACGAAATGAGGAACAGTTTGACTAGCAGGGCAGTGCAATTGGAGGAGTTGCAGAAGCTTCACAAGCAGTTGAGCGAATGGTTTGCTGACGTTGAAGGACGACTTAAGTCGGAAAACGAATTTCTTAATGATCTTAGCGAGAAGAAAGCCAAATTAGAAAAATTGAAACTACTCGAAAAAGAAACTCAAAATCAACAGGATCTTATAAACAAACTCAAGACCAGACTTGAAGAAGAAGAAAAGAGTAAAAAGTTCAAAGGAGACGAGTACTGGACCACTCTAAAGAATGTGGAAAATTTCAAGACCGATTTGACAAAACTTATCGTTCAAGTGCAACAACAAGTGAACGATCACGAAAAGTACAGACAGTCGCTTCAGGAGGCTGAAGATTCAATAAAAGAAGTTCGCTTTGAAGTACAACAGTGTTCGAACACGCACGACGATAAACAAGAAATGTGTAATAAGCAACAAAAGATGATCGACATAGTCGATTCTTTACCGTACGTCGAAACACTGGTGAAGAAAACCGTCGAACTGGGATCGACCACCATCAGTTCCACAGACAAAGAAGGAAGCAGCGTTATAAAAATGGAAATAGAACAACTGAATTCGGACTGGGAATCGTTACAACATTTGTGCAAGGAGACGCAAGATGTAATCAGGAAGTGTTTGGAATGTTGGCAGAACTACGGCGAAAAGTACAACACAATCAATAAATGGGTCGACGATTATCAAAAACTCAGTTCCGATAAATTAGAAACTGCAAAAGACACACCGCAAGAACTGGAAGCGTGTAAAGAGCTGCTTGCTACAATCGTAAGCAAAAAGCCTGACGTTGAAGATCTCAGCGACTTGTGCGAAACATTAACGGAACAAAGCGCCTGCAGCTGGATTCGTGACCAAACGGTGCAACTTCAAGGAGCGTACATAAATCTGCTGACTTCCATGCAAGGCTTGGTTTCGAGAATCCAGAAAAATTTGACCGATCACAGTGAATATTCAAAGATAAAAGAAGACCTCGAGAAATGGTTGAATACAGCTTTCGGAACAGTAGAAGAATGTACCGGTCTCGGAGACGAAAACGAAATTAAAGAAAAACTAGAAACATTACAAGTAGTTTCTCTACGACTAACCGAAGGTCTCCACTTACTTTCCAAGCTCCAAGACGCTTTCACCAAATTAGTGAGCACTACACCTGCGGAAAATCAGGAAAAGCTGAGGAAAGAAACCAGCGATCTTAAGAACAAATGGGATCGACTGTCTATGGAAATAAATCGCATTCAATCAGAACTGAAAGCGGGTCTCACTCGTTGGGAGGATTTCCGGGAATTCAAAAATCAAATCGACAGGTGGTTATCCGAAATGGAAAGTGCTTTAGCAGAAGACCGAAACACGAAAGGAGAACTAAGCGAGATGAAAACGCTCTTGGAACGTTATCGAAATCTTAATGTGGAAATCGTTAGCAAAAAACAAGACCTAGATCGTTTGGAATCTGAAGCCGAGGATCTCAAGAAAGGAGGTGTAGCGTTAGAGGAAATTTCCCAATTCCGAGAAAGATACGAAAAGGTCGAGAGCAACTGTTTGCAAAAGAAATTGGAAATCGAAATGGAAATGCAAGATTACAATAATTATCAGCAGAAACTTCAGGAGGCCGAAAAATGGCTCCTGTCGGTGTCATTCCAGCTAATGGCTCACAATTCACTGTATATTACAAACAGAGAACAAACAGAACAACAAATAAACCAGCATGAAGTATTACTAGAACAAATTCAAAAATATCAAACTGAATTAGACGACGTCAAGTCTAAAGGACACGGTCAAATAGAAAAATACAAACTAATCGCTCCGGAAGTGAAAAATGTAATCGAAAAACAATTGTCTAACGTCCAAGAAAGTTACGATTCTCTTCTACAAACTGCCGTCCAAATCAAAAATCGCTTGCTGGATTCCTTGGCCAAATTCAAGGAATATGAAAGCATCCTGCAAAGTATTGCCGATAATCTCGACGAATACGAAGTAGTTATAAACGAACAAGTTCAAAAGCCGTACGACAACTCGCTGGAAGCTAAAGAACTACTAAAATTCGCAAAGGTAAGTTCATTATTTATCGAGGGACATAATACCTGGATTACAAAATGTTTTTTATTTCCAGGATATGCATGAGAAACTTCAAGGTGAAAAACAAAGATTGGCTCTAGCAGTTCAAGCATGCGAAGCTGCGACCGCATCCATAAGCAGACCTAGCAGTCCTAGAGACAATCTACCGCCTCCGATACCACAGAAGGAACTGGAAGTCAGAGGCAGACTCGAAGATCTCATCGATCAGGTACAAAGTCATTTAGTTAATTTAGCGGCAGCTGTCAGCGATTTCGAAGGCAAAGAGAGACAACGTCGCGATCTCAAGGAATGGATAATGAATAAAAAAGCGGTGGTGACCGATTGTAAACTACGTCCCACAAAGTTAAGGTCAGAAGTGGCTAAAGAAGAATTGGACAACATAAACGATTTAGTGGACGCTGTCGGTCAGAAACGCATCCAGCTCTATTCCGAGTTCCCGGGAACCGAAGAGGAAAATTCGCATTTGGGAGGAATGCTGGGCGCGTTGGAAAACGAACTGATGGAAGTCATTTCCCAAAAGCGTAGCAATCAGAATCTGATCGAAGAATATCGTCAGCATGCTCAGAACATCAACAATTGGTTCGAGAATCTTGGAAAAAGGATAGACGTTATCGACAAAGGGTCAGGATTAACGTGCAACCAGAAACAAGCAACGCTAAAAGACATACAATCTGAATATAACAACAACGGACCTGAAAAACTCGAGCATATAAAGAAATTGGCCAACTCTGTCATTGATATCGTTAACAATTTGGATTCGCAGCAAATAGAAGACCAGCTGAAATCGATAGAACGAAATTATAACGACATCGGGAAGCGAATCAATCGTAAGGCTCAAGTTCTTGACATGATACGTAAAGGTATCGACGACACGAGAGAAGAAATCGAAGCGATAAAAGTGTGGGTCAAAGAAAAACAAACAGAACTTCGTGTTCCAGTACTTCTTGGTTTCGAAAGCAAGAAAGCGATCGAAAAGCTGAACAAGTACAAGTCCCTTCTGAAAGAGGCGAACAATAAAGAAATTCTTCGAGAGACTCATCTGAAAAGAATACAGAATATGACCAACGAATTGGAACATGTTGAACAATCTGAAATAGAAACGATACTCAGTGAACTCGGAAACGACTTGGAACAACTGATTAAAATGATTAAGGACGAAATAGATAGAATCAGCGGGGCCATAAATACACGACAATCCTTCGAGTCTAATTTAGACGCCGCAAAGGATTGGTTGAAACACAAAAGTTCTGAAGTGAGAAAATTAAGCGGCTATTTACCATTAAAGTCCGAACAGGTGGAAAGCGAGAAAATACAACACCAAGTGTACGAAAATAGTATAAATGAGTTTGGGGAAGGAGATTTTAACGATCTGCTCAAACTGGCTGCGAGTTTGTTAAAGGATTGCGACGAAAACGACAAGGAACGCCTCAAAGCGCTCATAGAAGAAGTCACCGAAGAATATCAGTTCCTAAAGAACGAATCGCACCAGAAAATATCCGCATTGAACGATCTGTTGGAAGGCCGTTTGCAATTTGAAAACCAAATAGAGAACTGCTGGAAATGGCTAAAGAAAGCTGATGTAGCCACCTCGTCCGATGTCAAAACTCAGAACCTGAAAATAATGGAAGAGCAATTAGCAAAGTACGAGAAACTATACGAAGAAAGTAAAAATGTGAAGGAGGACATCGATAAAATAACGGAACAGGGAAAAGCCATTCTACCGACGATAAGTGAGAACGACAAGATCTATCTTAATCAAATATTGAGCAATTTGACCGACAAGCACGCCAATATCGCCGCAATAATTCAACACAGAACGAACAGTCTGAAAAGAAGCATCCAAGAACAGAGAGAAGCTGCAGCCAGACTTGCCGAAAATCGACAGTTCATAGAGGACGTACAGAATCAATTGAAGAACTTAAACAGACCTATTGGCAGTAGACCAGAAGACGTAGAAAACGTTCTGTCGTTGTACGAAAAATTATTAAACGATCTCAAGAACAACAGAGCCAAACTGGCCGATGTATTGCCGTCTTCTCAGAATGCGGAACTAAAAGAAATTGCTCAACAGCAAGACGATCTGATCAAATCAATCGAAGACCAAATTGCCAGATTGCAACAGCTTCTTCTTTTACGTGAACAGTACATCGCCTTGATTGCCGACATAACCGCGTTCATTGCCAAGTACACGGGAATAGTGAAGGACATAGAAAACTCGCCAAAAAAAGTGGACGAAAAGATTAACGCCTACGACGAAGTCATTGGGAAAATCCAGGAGTGCGAAGCAATGCTTACCTGCGCCGAAGACAAGGGCCAACAGATCGCCAACGACTGTTCTTCGCAAGATCGTAATAATATCACTGAACAATTACAATCTATTAAACAATCGGTTCAGAATTTGCGTCGACAGGTCGAAAATAAAATACAAGAACACAAGGAAACTGCCGCCGAGTATAAGAAACTCGACGAAGAATTGACCGGCATTTTGGACTGGTTGCTTTCCAAAGAAGCCACAATTAAATCGAGACCTTTATTAAATCGGGACGTGGAGAGTGTACAGAAGGAACTAGACAATCATCAAAAGCTTAAAGAAGACGTCGACAAATACCTCGATCGTATCCGAGAAATATTGAGCTCAAACAATAAAGACGACGACATGCCAGGATCTCTCACGGAAAAGTTATCAGAAGCAAGTTCGCTACTCTCTTCGATACCCCGGGAACTCCAGGAGAGGGAACGCTATCTCGAAGAAAGCAAAGTTCTGCGTGAAAACTACGACTTGTTGAAAAAGAAACTTTTCGATTGGATTAAAGAAGCCGAGTTACGAATACGCAGTAACAAAGAGGGTGTCGATTTTGAGAACATTCTCACCGATCTCGAAGAACATAAGATTTATTTCAATACAGAAACAGTTATGAAAGAATTGGTGTCGGTTAAAATTCAACAGGCCGCCGATAAAATATGGCCCAGCTTATCGCCGAATGAACAAGAAGAATTGAGCAGAGATCAACAAAAATGCACGCAGATGTTGAAGAACACTCTCAATTCTGCCAAGTCGTTGCAAGCCAAACTGGAACAGAACTGTGACGTGTGGAAGGATTATTTGCAAATTTTGGGAAAAGTGGAAGCTATTATTGCAAGGAGTCGTTTCGTCGATGAGCCTGTGTCTACATTGGCCGGACTACGTTTCAACATTCAAAAACTTGACCATGCCCTGCACGACATTGAGGTGAGTGCATTTAATCTTTCTACTAAATATATGCTTAGGTATCTATAGGGTTGTTCGGAAAGGCATAATAAACAAATACTTTATTAAATTATATATTGACCGTTTTGGTCCAACACCTTTTGCCATCTTTCTGGTAGTAGCATATTTCCACGCTCATAAAATTTTTGGTCTTTGCTGGCAAAAAACTGATCGAGGAGGTTTTTGACCTCCTCATTTGAGGTGAAGGTTTTACCGTCTAAAAAATTTT